GTGCGGTTCTTGATATCCAGAACAGCTGATTGCTCGTTGGCCTCGGGGGTCGGGGCAAGCTCATCGGTGACCTTCTTTTCGTTTGCGAGGGCCGTTGCGGCACTACCGACCCGTTCGGCGAAGTAAATTGTCAATGCTGCGGGTCCTTGCTGGTTGGAGGTTTGTGCCACAGTCATCGGCACGCCTGGGTTGTGATATTTCAGTCGTGGAAGGCAGTTACGCCAGAAATGCCGCGCGCCTCCGTGGCCCTGGTCGATCTTGCGTGCATATGTGAGGTGGAGTCGAGTGACGGCTGGGAATTCTTTTGATGCGGAGCTGAGGTTGGGGAAGATGGCTGCACCTGTGCCAATTTTGGTCTGGAGCATCTGTAACAATGATAGAACGAGTCAGTTGATTGATTGCATGTCGCCTAGACCGTAGGAGACATCGCGAGTTCGACGACGGATGTTGCAGGTTCGGAGGTCTCAAGGGACGGGGTTTCGGCTTACTCTCTGTTGACAAGAACAATCTCACATTAATACACCAATTCCGCGGTACTTTGGGGGGCCTGGAGAGGGAGAGCCGGGAGAAGCTATACATACAGTTTGCAGCTTGCGAAGCCGCTTGAACAAGTTGACCATGTTGAAAGATTGTTCCGCACAGGGACTGGCCCTTATGCGATGAGGTGTATGGGTATATGGATAACACGAAAGTGTAAGATTAATTGGCAAGATACTTGCTCAAAATAGGTAGTATAGGGCCGGAATTGCAAGTTTGTTGATCGGGGAAATTTATCGCAGATGCGCTTGTCGGCGAAGAAGTTGCTCCGTGATAGTCACGTGGGACCTCCAATCTATAGATGGTATTGATCATGTTACAGAGATCATCTTTAGCTAAAGATCACTCTAGCAATAAGTGAGAAGTGAGAACCCATTTGATAGCCCAAACTACATCTATATCTCGAGTCAAGCTCTTCAATTGATCATCTCGTTCGCCCATCAATTCATCTTTACAACATCACAAAGGACATCTTGAGTGTGGAGCCCGCCTGTAAAATACAATACGCTGGAAATACCTTGACTCACAAACTAATCAAACAGATTTTATATCTCGCCCCGCGATTCTTTTGATCCCCTCCGCTCTTCAAGGGAAATTACAGGCCAATCTTGATCAGGAAAAATGGCCGCCGCAGCTGCATCCGTAGCTGAGCTCGATCCGAGCAACAGCTCAAAGAATACCCTTAAGCTGGAAAATGTTATTATAGCCCCTCCCCCACCATCGTCGATTTTCATTTACTAACTGACCTTTCACCTGGCAGACCGAAAAGCGAGACACCCTAGTCGCAATCGAAAAGAAGTACCAAGCACAATGGAAGGACAACAAGGTTTTCGAAGTCGATGCGCCCTCATTCGAGGAAGCCCCCCAGGGTGCCATGACCCCCGCCGAGCTCCGTGAGAAGTACCCCAAGTTCTTCGGTACTATGGCCTACCCTTACATGAACGGTACTCTGCACGCTGGACACAGTTTCACTGCTAGTAAGGTAGAGTTCATGGCTGGTTTCGCCCGCATGGAGGGCAAGCGTGCCCTTTTCCCTCTTGGCTTCCACTGCACGGGTATGCCTATCAAGGCCTGTGCCGATAAGCTTGCCAATGAGGTGAAGAAATTCGGCAAGGGCTTTGAAGGATACAACGAGGAGGCCGAGGCCGCCGAGGACCTTCGCGCAGCCCCCACACAAGAAACCAAGGTCGAGGCAAGCGAGAAGTTCTCCGGCAAGAAGAGCAAGGCCGCTGCCAAGACTGTGAAGATGAAGTACCAGTTCCAGATCATGCTGGCAATTGGCGTTCCTCTGGAGGAAATTCACAAGTTTGCCGACGCTGCCCACTGGCTCGATCACTTCCCTCCCCTTGCCATCCGTGATCTTGACAGCATGGGTGCCCGCGTTGATTGGCGCCGACAGTTCGTTACCACCGACGCTAACCCCTACTACGATGCTTTCGTGCGCTGGCAAATGAATCGCTTGCACGAGCTTGGCAAGATTATGTACGGTAACCGTTATACCATCTACTCGCCAAAGGATGGCCAGCCTTGCATGGACCACGACCGCACTGAGGGTGAGGGCATTGGTCCTCAGGAATACTCTGCGCTCAAGCTCCAGGTTAAGGAGTGGGCGCCTAAAATGGCCGAGCTTGTGAAGGGAAAGATTGAGGACGATGCCAAGGTATACTTCGTTCCGGCTACCCTGCGTCCCGAGACAATGTATGGTCAGACTTGCTGCTTTGTCGGCCCAAAGATCAACTACGGTCTCTTCAAGCTGAAGGAAAAGGAATACATTGTCGTGACCAAGCGTGCCGCTTGGAACATGGCCTTCCAGGGCCATTTCTTCGGCGACAAGTTCCCTAAGACTCAAGACGAGCTCCCGCAGGTTCTTGAGGCACCAGGCTCCGCCTTCATCGGCACACTGGTCAACGCTCCTCTGTCTTTCCACACCGAAGGTGTCCGTATCCTGCCTATGGACAGTGTTTCGGCATCTAAGGGTACTGGTGTCGTCACCTCTGTCCCCTCCGACAGCCCTGACGATTACGCCACCATGATGGATCTGGCCAAGAAGGCTGAGTACTATGGCATCCAGAAGGAGTGGGCTGAGCTGGAGATCTTCCCGCTCATTGAGACTCCTACTTACGGCAATTTGACAGCCCCTGCTCTGGTCAAGGAGCTGAAGATCAACTCTCCCAAGGATGTCACCCAGCTTGCCCAAGCCAAGGATTTGGCCTACATGGAAGCTTTCTACAAGGGTACCATGCTCGTCGGTAAATACAAGGGCGAGCCCGTTAGTGAGGCAAAGGAAAAGGTCCGCAAGGACCTCTATGAAAGTGGGGATGCCTTCCCCTTCGCTGACCCCATGGGCAAGGTTGTCAGCCGTAGTGGTGATGACTGTGTTGTGGCTTATCTGGGCCAGTGGTTCCTGAACTACGGCGAGAATGATGCCGAATGGCAGCAGGAGACCCTGAACCACGTTGTTAACAACCTCAACACCTACTCCGCTGAATGCAAGAACGGTTTCGAGAAGAATCTGTCCTGGCTGAACCGCTGGGCATGTGCCAGAACCTACGGTCTCGGATCCAAGCTGCCATGGGACAAGCAGTTCCTGGTTGAGAGTCTGAGTGACAGTACCGTCTACATGGCCTACTACACCATCGCTCACCTCCTTCACGGTGATCGATACGGCAAGACGACCGGCCCCCTGAAGGTGACTGCTGATCAGATGACCGATGAGGTCTGGGACTACATCTTCACAAGACGGGAGATAAGCGACGACCTCATCTCCAGCAGTGGAATCAGTAAAGAGTCCCTGCAGCAAATGCGCCGTGAATTCGAGTACTGGTACCCTCTGGATGTCCGTGTCTCTGGCAAGGACCTGATCCAGAACCACTTGACCTTCTTCCTCTACATCCACATTGCACTCTTCCCCAAGGAGTACTGGCCCCGTGGTGTCCGTGCTAACGGCCACTTGCTCCTTAACGGTGAGAAGATGAGCAAGAGTACCGGTAACTTCCTGACTCTCAAGGATGCCGTTGACAAGTTCGGCGCCGATGCTACCCGTATTGCATTTGCCGATGCTGGTGACAGCATTGAAGATGCCAACTTCGAGGAGTCTGTTGCCAACAGCAACATTCTGCGTCTTTACACCCTGAAGGAGTGGATCGAGGAGGTTGCCAAGGACGAGACTCTGCGCACTGGCCCTGCTGATGCCTTTGCCGACAAGCTCTTCAACAACGAGCTTAACAGCCTGGTCCGTGAGACCCAGAAGCACTACCAGGAGTAAGTTCGCATTTAATCTGATTCCTTGACATCGATAACTAATTCTTTAACTAGCACCGACTTCAAGCTTGCTCTTAAGTCTGGCCTGTATGACTTCACTAGCTCCCGTGATAGCTACCGTGAGGCCTCCACCGCTGCTGGCGTGGGTATGCACCGGGATACTGTTCTGCGCTACATTGAGCTGCAGGCTCTGATGCTGGCACCCATCGCTCCTCACTGGGCTGAGCACATCTGGCTCGAGGTTCTTAAGAAGGTCGGTTTTCTTCCCCCGCTTCATGCTTAACCTTGATCTAACATCATCTAGTCCGATTCTATTCACTTCGCCCAGTTCCCTGTCGTGCCAGAGCCCTCTCCTGAGCTGACCGCCGCCCAGAACTACGTCCGTAGTACCGCAAGCAACATCATGGGCTCCGAGGCCAACTTCACCAAGAAGCTCTCCAAGGGCAAGAACATTGGCTTTGACCCCCGCAAGCCCAAGAAGCTTACCATCTTCGTTGCCAAGAAGTTCCCCAACTGGCAGGAGAAGTACATTGACCTGGTGCGCGATTCCTTCGACGCGCTGAACCTCTCCTTCAACGACAAGGAGCTCAACGGAAAGGTTGGCAAGCTCGGCGAGATGAAGAAGGCCATGCCCTTCGTCCAGAGCCTGAAGCGCCGTCTGGTCAACGCTGGCGAGTCCCCTGCCACTGTCTTCGATCGCAAGCTTCCCTTCGATGAGTTCGCCGTTATCTCCGAGATGGTGGGTGGTCTGAAGCGCACATCCGGCTTCAAGGAGATTGAGGTCATTGCTGTTGATGAGGGTGGCAAGACCGGTGAGGTTATTGGCACTGGCGAGAAGCGCGAGGGTCTGTCCGGCGAGAATGCCGTTCCTGGAACTCCCACTTTCCAGTTTGTCAATGTCGAATAAACGACATTACATTGAAAAATACAGTCTCATTTGCCAGTTTCAAAAATCATGCTTGATGACTTTGCAAAAATAAAATAAAACACATAGCATATAGCATTTCAATTTTTTATATTCCCTACGTCTTTTACTCATCAACCAAATGAAAGACCACTTCAGTGCTATTGAATCTCGAAGTCTTCGTAGTGACATGAAGAATACTTCATGCACTTGGCTTCAAAACACTCAACAATCTGTAAACGTCACGAAACAATCATTAACCAGCCACAGAAATGCACAGAAATCATAATCAAAGAACTCACCTGTTAAGGCCTTCCTTCATTGTCTCTTCTTCCTGGGAGAAAACCAGCCGGAACCACCCAATATCCTGCGAATGCTCTTCCGCAGGATGCAAAAAGACGCCAGCATCGACAAGCCTCTGTGCAAGAGCGAACTCCCGTAGTCGAGGAGAAAGAGCATTGTCAACGGGGAGATAAGGTGATAAGTCGATGTACACGAAGAAGCCGGCGTTTCTGAAGACGGGATTAGATAAAATTTTGAATAATGTCTCCTACGAGTTGGTATACTCACCCGCCTTTGACATAGTTTATTCCCTCTTTGCTGAGCACCGACGTTGCAAGCCGGTAGGCTGAAGCGAGACCTTGTCTTGACTTTGCCGTGAAGCTCGACACAAAAGCTTGGTCTTCTAGAATCGTAGTGCCAATCGTTACCGCTGCCTGTGAAGCACCATGGAGTCTCCTATATATATATATATTTGGAGTCAGCTCAAACCAAACATCATCCAACTTCCATGGTGTAAAAGGGAGAGAGAGAGATCCCACAGGATTGCTTTGCAAGCTTGACGAAGCTGTTGATTTTGGGTCACCAAGAACCCAAGGTGAAGGCCACCGGAAGCAAAGTCCTACAATGGTATCACGTCAATTTCGTTGGCTTTATCGAGATTGTTAGATACATACCTTGCTGAAGCCATACAAAACATGAACCAAATTAGGGTCAATCAACCCCATAAAATCCAGCGAGAGGATTGACGTAAACGGCACAGCCTCAGGGTCACCAGAGTCAAACACACAGGAAGCGTAGACCTCATCACTGATGAGATGAAGACTGTGCTTGTTGCAGAATCGGGCGATAGCCTCGAGTGTCTCGACGGGGTAACAACGACCTGACGGTGGCCGATTAGGTTCAGTTCAATGGACGATGCGGCATATCTTACTCACCAACAGGGTTATGCGGGTTGACAAGTAGCACAGCTCGAATTTCCTTGCCGTGTTCCTTCGCATCCTTCAAAGCCAACTCATACTTCTCCACGGAAGCAGGAGAGAAGGCCTCTTCCACAGCTGTGTCAGCGTAAACCATTGTAATGCCCGATTCAACGCCGTAGTCGAGCTCGAAGCGGCCGTATACAGGTCTGCTGACGAGAATGCCGTCCCCGCGTTCTGCGAGATTGTATCCTAGCATACTGCCAAGGGAAGTCGGAGAGTCTGCGACGAAGATATGCTCTGGAAGAATTGCAACATGTGGTTTGAGAATATTATTCAAGTGAACGGCTGTAGCGGCAGGTAGTCTTGCAGCGGTTGGTGCGCTTGAGCGGTAGCTGATAGAATCTTGTGTAAAGACGACCTATGCGAGGCTGTTAGAGTGGGATTCTTGGCTACTTGGATTCTTTTGGTCAATTGACACCATGTTGGTATGAAGGCGAAGATTGGAATATGCACCTTTTCGTTGATATATTTGGCTATATCTGCCTTCATTGGTTTCTGCTTAGAAGTTAGCTTCTGGTTTCCATATTGCGGGGGGGATATAGATACATTCTCTGCCATGCCAAATGAGATGAGCCCCGTCGGGTTCTCTTTTGGATCATAGGTCTGGGTTGGGCTAAAGCGCCAAGGAATAGCCAGTTCTCTGACATTTTCGGTAGCCCGAAGAGACAACATTGTGAAATAAACAAGGGTATTTGTGGGAGCTGCTGATTGGCAAGGAACAATATATATCTTGAAGCTCAGCTCTGATATCGGGGCCACGTCAACAATGGTGAAACTGTTTAGATAAAGACGGGTTAACTATTCAAAAGAAAAGGTAAACAAAACCAACAAGGAGTTGAAATAAAGTCGGTGGAAAGAAGTTAAATGAATTAGGGTGAAAGCCTAAATGTGAGGCCCCCCACCTGCGGGGGCCGTGGGGACGAGCATCTGTTACAACCTAACATATAGAATCAGCCATGGTGATATGGGGGTACTTGTAGCTCTGTGCAGATGAAGTCAGCAGACAAAAATATATTGTACATATAAGAGAGGAGAAACGCCGCGCCGCTATGCTAAATGGCCCAATGTACACAGGTCCAGTATCTAAATTACAATCAATATCTCGTTCGCGGCCGTTTGCGTTTGTCGAGCTTTTTCTTCTCTGCGATAAAGTTCCAACATTCAATCGGACGCCGGGACCCAATGTGCTTCCCATTGGGAGTGAAAACCTCGACCTGCGGATAGGAAGGTTCGTCTTCAGCGTCCCGTTTACTGCGGATTTGTATACTGAGCTCGATCCAGCCGCAGCCCTCGATGAGGATATCTGCCGACATCACGCGGTATGGCAATGAAGGCACTGGAATTCCTCTGTCGTGTATAGCTTTGGCAAGTGAGGTGGGAAGATTTGAATTAGTGGTATCCCACTTCAAATCGAATATACCAGCCGAGGCCATTGCGCTTCCGGTTCCTTCCTTCATGATGACGGTCCCCCGGTAGGGAGTTTCCTCAGCCTGCGTCTCGATTGCTTTCTGTGTGTTGGTAATATGAGACTCGAGAGGCAGGAAACTGGCGGACATGAGCGTATCTTTCGGGTTCACTGGGGTGATTCGAACAAGACCACCACCAATTAGAAGAGACTGACCCGGTTTGATGGTCGAACGTTCAGGCTTGACCCGCTTTGTCATAATAAGATCACGCTTATGTTCATCTCGAACGAAGTCCTCCAATAGACCGCGCTCTAGACCGGGCAAATCGATGACCTCGCCCTTTCCGCGGCCGAATGGAATACGGATAGGCGAGACTGTAGTGCCTGGAAGGGAAGACACGACAGGGAGCACAGGGTAGAGATCCTCGCGAGGGGCAGGGGGCAGAAGGCTGTCGGGGTTAAGAAGGGCGGCCTCACGCTGGTTTGGAATCTCTTCCTCTCCACGGCGGCGTTGAACCCACTCTTCGATTTTGTCCACATTCTTGGAATCCTTGGGGAAACAGGCTTCAATGAAGCTGCTCTTTCCGACGTTTGCCTTGCCAACGACCCAAATTCCGCCGCCATGCTCTCGGATCTCCTCCTTAACTTCCTTGGTCCACCAGCCACGGTGCGCGCTAATCATGTGCACGTTGCCCAGACGGGCCTCCCTCCCTGATCTTCCCAAAGCTGCGCGGAGCTCTGTGCGAATGTACTCCATCTTCGAATCTACCTGTTCTTTTGTTGCCGCTAAAAGGTCCGAGCGCGTGATGATAAAGGAGAGTGTTGGAAGTTTTCTTCCGCGTTGGTATGTCTCATTAGTGGAGCGACGGTTTCGTGAACGTTGCTCCTGTAGCATCAAAGCCCAATGGATACGTGGAACGAGAGACATTGGAAAATCCGCAGCATCGATGATGTGGTAAACACGATTGTGTTTATAGGGCGATTCTTCCAAATAGCTTCGTATAGACGTGATAGTCGGCTTGGGCGAAGAGACTGCCTTGTTGTGGTGTATCAAGTCATGGCAACGATCGCAGACTTCGGTAATTCGACCCGGAGGCCCAAGGGGTGTGTCCTCAGGATCGACAGCTTCATCTGGAAAAGCTCCATCTTTGTATTCAGTCAGCAAATGGCACGCTTAAGCAATTGTGTAGATGTCCCACCTTGAATGGGCTTGGGTGGCACTGTCTCCTCGATGGCATCGTTCTGCTTTGCGCTCAAGCCACCCCTCTCAGTTGATAAAGCATCATTTTGTTGTATATTCTGAGCTTCAATTGCTTCCTTTCTCACAGCGAGGAGCTTCCGAATTTGCTTTCGTGATGTACCGTAGTATCCTGGCTCGTTTGCCTCAACTGTTTGGGAGAACGCGCCACATCCTGGGCAGCATACAGGCAGGGAATCGGTTAAGGAATCGGTCTGAGACTCAGCCACGGGCTGTTCTTGCTGGAAACGAGTTGTTGAGAAGCATCGGCATTGCGTGCGGAGGTCCGCAACAACTTTGGATTGTGGCGCGGCGCGCGATTGTGAAAAGAGCGTTTGAGCTTGGGATCGAGGAATGCTCGTTGAAATTAGGCGCAGCAGATTTATTCTCGGATTTCTGAACACTGCGCCCCGAGAGCAGAGCGACATGATGGCGTATGAAATTGCGGAGTTGCGGAGCCTTTTTTTCTTTGGAGGCAGTTATCTATCGATAGCGCATATGGCAAGTTCAGGCCGCCGTACTATACCTAAATATAAGCCAAGCCTGCGCATAAGACTTGCTCATTATGTACCTATTAATAGACCTAAAAGAGGCTTGATTTGGCACCAGTGGACACCATTTGTATTGAAAATCCCTAACGGGGGCTGCAATTATTGACACAGAAAGCGTCGAGCGCTAGAAAATCCTTAAAAGTAGTAGAGAAAAAAACGCTGTCGTGAAGCATGGACAAATATTTGGGTATGACAGAATATCAGGCACGCGCCTTTCCCTTTCCCTTGTCAGATTCATCCACCTCGTCATCAGAGTCGCTCATGAACTCGTTGTCGTCATCGAAACCAATGAACTTCTTGGGTGCAGCCTTATGAGGCACAGAAGGCCCGGCAGCATTAGATGATTCTCCATTTCCCTCACTCTCTTCGTCCTCGCTAGATGAAGCATCCTCACTGCCCTCATCGCTGGCGCTAGTACTAGATCCACCCAGGATTGTGTCGCGAAGATTGTCTGTCCATTCGCCATCTTTCATAGCCTGCAGGACAGCGTCACGTGCCCTTTCGCTCATTTCTTCCCTGTCTTCCATCCACTGTCCATCCACCATCTGCCTGCCGTTGCCATTCTTCAATTCGTCTTGGCGCTTTTCAGCCATCTCCACCACGGCCTGCCAGCGGCGTTGACGCTCTTCCTTTTCTTTCTTGTCCATCTCTGGCTTGACAGCGAGGTACTCTGCGAGAGCCTTTGCCTCGTTCACAGTGCGCAATCTGCGGCCATCGAGGTTGCGACTGGAGCCATTGTTGTCGCCTTGATTGCGCTTGCGCTTGCTGGACATGCGGCCACCGGCGGCACGCAGTTGGGAGCCGAAACCACCTTTACCACCGCAGGTTGGGGCTGACAGGCGCAGCGGAAGAAGGGTGGAGGTAAGGACGCCATCGCGATTCGGGAGGAAAGATTGGATGGATTCTGACGTGGCCGTGAGGTGTTTGTTATTTGTTGTAGTAAGGATGAGTGACTGAAGAGAGAGTGATGACGGGAGATATGAGGCAATCTTGGCTGTTAGATCTGATGTGCTCGCTGTTGATGGCAAGGTGAACGAAAGGGTCGCCGGCAGCGACAGTCCTGGAAAGGACGACAACAAGACGTTGACATTTGAAGAAGCCATACTTCAGATTTGCTAGAAGCAATTTTCTAAGAAGAGCGTAGGAGTTTGCAGCTGGCGAATTGTACTTGTTTGGAGAAAGAAAGTATTCACTGTTGTACCTAGGTAGGCTTCAAAGATCGAAGATGTTGCGATAAGATCGAGAATCGGGCGGTCGCCCCAGTCAGGATGACTCATCATGTCTATTAGTCACCGTCAAGCACGGTGACTTACATCACGTGATAGATACATTATGTGATAGAAAAGTATATCATGTGACTTGAGCCACAAATTGATTAGGGTGCTAACCCTACACCCAGTTCGGACCGTCGCACTTTTCTCGCTGCGAAGCTCCACTCTTCATCCATCATTTAAATCAACCATTATTTTCGGGCGTTGTCAAAGCGATTCCCCGACTTGCACCAGGAACTCGCGACAATGTATGTATCCTCGTTTTTGCGCTCAAACCCCGACAGAATATTAACAATGGCACAGGCTTATCCCCAAGGACGACCGCAAGAAGATCCACGAGTACCTCTTCCGTGGTATGTAACGAGAACCCTCGTCGACGTCGCGACCCTGCGAGCCAACGACTGAATCACATTTGTGCGGATTTCACTAACATATATTCTAGAGGGAGTGCTCGTGGCCAAGAAGGACTTCAACCTTCCCAAGCACGCCGACATTGACACCAAGAACCTCTATGTCATCAAGGCCCTCCAGTCCCTGGACTCCCGCGGCTTTGTCAAGACTCAGTTCTCGTGGCAGTACTACTACTACACCCTCACCCCCGAGGTACGATCCATTCACATCTAACGCGTCCACATGTCCGAATACTAATTCATTAACAGGGTCTGGACTACCTCCGTGAGTGGCTCCACCTCCCCGCTGAGGTTGTCCCTGCCACCCACATCAAGCAGCAGCGTTCCCACGCTCCCCCCGCGGCATGATGGGCGGTGAGGAGCAGCGCGGTGAGCGTCGCGGTCCCCGTGAGGGTGGCCGTGGTGGCCGCGAGGGTGGTTACCGCCGTCGCGAGGAGGGTGGAAAGGAGGGCGGTGCCCCCGGCGAGTTCGCTCCCTCTTTCCGTGGTGGCTTCGGCCGTGGCCGTGGTGCCGCTCCCCAGGAGTAAATGCTGAAAGGCATTGGGGTCCTGTCAACCACTTCTTGGTCAATCTAGAGTCTTGATGGTGTATCCGAATTCGGCTGCCGGACTAGGGGTTTCTCGAAACGGGCCTTACCCTCGGTGCACCTAATCTTGTTCCAGCTTTACTGGGACTTGTGGGGATACAGGAAACAAAATAAAAAGAAGAAATTTATGTTTCCAATGATTTCATAACGTAGACTAGTTCAATGTTGTAGCTTTACGTGGATTAATTTCTGTAGATACCATGGTAAATTCATGATCTGAATGGAATTGGTCTATTCGTAAACTTCGTGTAGGTCTTGCAGCTTTCTTGGCTAGTCGACGTGTCTGCATACTAATAATATATGCATGTTCAGGTCTATAAAAGGCCCTTCTGTCAGGCTAAAGTAAATACTCGCCTTACAAGAATCTCTTCCGATCATAGCGGACCACAGCCTGCAAGATGACAGATGCTCCAGTAGCACAATCATCGGCAGTGGAGAACTCCTCAGGATGATGACTGAGGCCATCCTTGCATGGAATAAAGATCATGCTCGTTGGGACACGCTTAGAGGTGAAGACACTGTCATGGCCAGCTCCACTCATGATGGTCCGCACAAGTGACTTTGTATCTGCAACAGAATCATCTGCAATAACAGCCTGAGATGACTGCTGCACGCAATCAATGCAATCTTCATGGAACTTGACAGCAGGCGAGTCAAAATCTAGGGTCCACTCGACACGACAAGGCTTACCAATACCAGCTCCCTCGGCGGCGGCAATGGCATCGAAATCAGTGCGCAGCTGCTTCTCGACTTCGACAACTAGCTCTGTCTCGGGTCCACGGATGTCTAGGCTAAAGCTGACCTCTCCGGGAACTGTGTTGACACTACCGGGCTTTGCCTCGATAATACCAACACTCGCCAGACAACCCTTCGAAGCTGCCACTTCGCGTGCGCGCACCATCATTTGTGCGAATGCATAAAGGGCATCTGCTCGGTGTTCAAAAGCGGTGGTTCCTGTGTGTGTATCTCGACCGATGACGTTGAGACGGAACCATCTGTACGCCTGCACAGCTGTCACAACTCCGACTCGCTGATTTGCCGATACCAGGTATGGACCTTGCTCAATGTGAACTTCGAAATGGGCGGCCATTGGCGTTGATTTGTATGAGCACGGAACATCACCCAAGTAACCGATCTTCTGTAGGGCACTCTTCATGGTCTCTGGTGCTGATGCCGCCGTTGGCAGCGATGCCACAGTTGGCACCTCTTTGAGATTATGCGCCTGTGCCAATGGAATGCACTCAGCCCACACACCACTTGAGATCATGCTGATTGGGAATCGGGCGCCTTCCTCGCTGAAAGCAGTCAGTGGTATTCCTTTTTCCAAGGTGAGAGTTGGGATCTTACTTGGTCCAGTCGACAACTCCGACTCCGCCCTCTGTCTCCAAACCCATATCGTTCATAGTCTTGATGACTTCAATACCTGCCAACACGCCCAGAATACCATCGTATCGGCCACCCGTCGGTTGTGTATCGAGATGACTTCCAATGAATGTGGCAGGTACATCCGCCCTGCGACCAGGACGAACAGCGAAGATATTGCCCATCTCGTCCACAGTGACGTTGCACTTGAGATCTTTCATGGTCTGAATGAACCAGTCACGGACACTCTTATCGTCTTCTGAAAGCGCCAGGCGCTGCATGCCAGTATCTGTAGGTCCACTGGCAATCGCCGTTTATTAGTGGTCATCCTCCAACAATCGCAGAAAAGATGGCTGCAGCTTACTCGCCCCATCTAATTCCAGACCCCCATTGACATGAGTGATGGAGATCATGAGCCAGGCGTTCCTTGTTGGCTCTAAGCGCAGAGACCTCGGTCTCGGAGAGCTCTGTTGTCAACATAGTTTGTATTCGTGAAGAGAACGTTCGAGTAGGGTGTAAAAGGACAGGCTTGGAAGATCAAAGGCCCGTTGGAGAGTTCGCAAAAATTGAGAATGAGCCATGATGTCCTATCGCTTTATAAAGGAATGGGGTGTTGGAGTATGGCCGTTGATAAGGCGGACAAAAGTCCGCGAGTCCGCGATAGTCCGCGATAGTCGGCGATAGTCCCCGGGTTACTTCCCCCGCAATCTGGAATCGACCTGTAAATGAGTTGACTCTAACACATATGTATACCAATATTCAGGTGCCTACTACTGAGATCCAAATCCCTGCAAATTTCTACATCCAAGGTGTGTGAAGATTGTAGATATTCTCGGTTTCAACCTATTTCTCTCCTGAAGTATACTGACCCGCTTGTTGGAGTCATCTTCGGCATTGGGGTCCATAAGAGCTCCATTATTGGGGTTGATTTATTATGTCAAATGTTCAGGCAAAGCTACGTACTATGGCAACTATCAAAACATGTATGTGATACCCAACGTGAAGAGGTACATACTTCTGTGCTAATTTTGGGCTGATATCTGTAATTCAATGTCTCAGTTTGCATACGAATAGAAAAGGCTAGAGCGTATAGAAAGGTGTACGCACAAAGTATAGTGGGCCTTGTCTGTTCATGCTGTCGCCCTTTTCTCTTGTTCCTCTTCTTTTATCCTCTCTCTCTCTCTCTCTCTCTCTTACGAGTTCGATCTCATCCATCAACAACCAGATTCCATCAAAATGTCCCCTGTCTGTCCATATGCTGACTACCATTTGGGCACTTTATCGGGTATGAGTCTATTGTCGATGGGATGAGACACCATCTGCCATGACGAAAACCCTGCGGTGTCGGCTCCAATCCTGCGAATGGATTACTCTGTGTGCCCGCCTCACATACTACCAATGAATCGAGACACCGAATGATTCGTCCTGCTGTGAGTATCATTAATCTTTTCAAAGAGAGCGACTTCTATTGGTAATTTCTTCGCAAGAGATATACTCCGACACGTGTCATCACGTCGTCTGTCATTTTGTGTCCTTCTACATCTGCGAGAGACCTGTCAGCAAGCTCCCACCCCCGTGAATCAAAAGTGAGACTTTGTCCAACGAGACTAGCGAAACAAACAATGCGGTACGTCCGGGATGTCCTAACGAGTGACTTGCGCACCGAAGCATGAGGCTATGTCTGCTGTCCGATAAAATGAGCAGGATGGGGGTTGGATATCCCCGTGCTTTGACATGTTACAATTCCTTGTACTGATACCGACCTTATCCAAGACTGTGGCAACGATACTTGGTTTCGTCCCAGTATCTAAGCTTTGTTTAATGGGCTTTGTGGAGGGCTCCAAGGTCCAGTTGACGTTCACCATGGGTTGTTTCCAAGTCTATGGCACCGTGGGAGGAGACTGAGACCAAGATCGAGACTTGTGTTCTGTCAGAAAATGAGCATGTGGACTTCGTGCCCTCTTATGTACAAGAGTAACCTGCTCAGAGCAATACCAGAATACATAAGACATTGTCAGAAGTAATGATTCTATCGCCATTTATTTCATCTCAACTTGTAGGCATAGATCATTACACATAGGCCATTTGAAAATCCAAGTGGGCAGGCAATCTTTGGTATCGTGTGGCTCATAGCCGTGATACCGTGAATACCAGACCACGATTATGACAATAAAAAAAGGGTAGACCCAACTGCATAGGGGATCGAACCTAAGGGTTGTGGCCTAGAACGCAGTCTTGAATGGTGTGAAATTCGTGCGCGATCTACGAACTAGGCCACTACCACTCAAGTTCTTATTAGTACTATGCTGGCTTTGGTATGTAACCAACACCCTAATTATGACATGACAGCCTGGCTATAATGAATTTTTGCTTTGTTCAAAATGTCTTCATGTATCTCTATATCAGATGCATACTTAGACCGTGATCTAGAGGGGAAAAAGACAGGAGAAGGCCAGGAAAAAAAAAAGGTTGAGCGAATCCAGCAGGGTTATGGCGAGACATCCACCTGCAACTTGCGGTCTGAGGCTTCGAACCCATGAGAGGTGGCCTAATTAGGCAGTCTGGAGCGGATATGGCTCGTTGGCAACAATACCAACTAGACCACCTCGGGTTTGCTGACATTTTACTCTGACTTGGATATTTAACCGACACTCCCGCCCTGTTCCTTCGCAGTTGTGACCCCCACAGCCCAGAAGACAGATTAAGATCTCTTTGCTCTCACCTCCTTCAATCTCACTTCTGTGTCACGTCTTTTTTCTATCTTTCATACCAGGTATGCTAGTTTGATCAGAATTAAGCCTCCCAAAACGACTGAAAGCATCCTACAAAAGGACGATGAATTCGACCAGGCCAATGAAGGCGCTTTCCAGGGCTGACGAAGACGTGCCCACGGAGAAAAAAAGAAGAGAAAACAAATCATTCGCGGGTTTTCGATGACTTGTGAAAGACGCAGAAGTACAAGGACCAGTGTCAAGAGCATCACCATTTCTGCGAGGCAGTGTCGAAGTCGTAAGCGGTCCCTTCCACCTCTCGTGGTAGCTAGGAAGGTTAGGACTGTTTGGACTATTAATATTCAGGTATGTATAACCTTGCCCTTTTCCCTGCGTGCGCGACCCCTGCCTTGCCAAGGAACAAGAAAGCCAAAAGCATGTATCACCATTGACCTGATACTAATTTTGATACTAAGGGAATATAGTAGCTGTCACAGAAGTTGTCAAGATGGCTGGTAGGCAATCAAAAAAATCCGGCTGGGCAGTGACGGAAGCTGTCTCATACCACCGAGGCTTTGTATCTCTACCTAGTATAGCCTCGGCTGATATGTTTAACTAAATTCCTTACTTCTTGGCCAGACTTTCTAACAATGTCTCTTATTTAAAGGGGCTATTAGATACTTTGGCGAGTCTCCTGTATGGCCTTGTGACTTTTCACTGTTTACCTGTACATATATCTCTTTTATAGGTTTTGCAACAACTTACTCCAAAGTCTAATGATTCTCACTACCCGGCCCTATGTATGTCCCAATTCCTTAAGGGCGAATCGGGCCGCACAGGTTCAATCCAAAGACTAGTTCAGTGTAGGATGTACCTTTTCCATGGGTTACACATACAAAAGGTACACATACACTGAACTAGTCTTTGCATTCAACGTGTGCAGCCCAAATCCGGAGGAGTTGGGCAGTGCATAGAGCCGCGAATCATAATTACCGAAAGAACAAGAAATCCATAGAAATGTAAGTAGGAAAATAGAAAGGTCGAATTGTAATCAAGAGACCCCAACTCCTCCTTGGGTGAAAGCGGACCAGGCAATCTTATGTCAAGCAAGAAAGATAGAAAGATATAACTCACGATTAATCAAATAGGTCCTCTGAGGGCCTTTCTAGAGATCAGATTATCTAACTCGTCGAAAAAACCCAGGTGTCAACAGGGTCCCAGACATATTGGCCTGTCGCCCCTACCAGAGCTTCCATGGCACTTTGAATGCCAGCATGTGGCAACAAGCTCTTTTAAGCATTAGAATTTACCCATCATCAAAGTCATATTATGAAACTTACTTCTCTTCTTGCGCCTCTTTCGGACAGAGTGGCGCGCAGAATCATGTATGACCCGGATGAGAGAGGCCTATATCAGCCAAATATTAGTTCAAATTGCGTGAAACGTAGCGAGTTGTGAGAAATGAGGAAGGATATTAGATATTCCGACAACAGGGGAGATCCGCAAGACTTGACAGGTCGCGATTATAGAAGACACGAGGACTTACCACATTAAGCACCCGCTTATGACGGCAACGATGGAGGATTGAATCTCTTTTCCAGTTTTTTTCCTTAATCTCCCTGTAGAAGAAAGGCCCTCTTTGAGAATCGTGATCATTGACGCTGGATCATGGGTGGCTGTAAAATTTGTTGTTGATGAGGGTCAAATTATTCTCGGTGGGGAGGTGAAAGTCATGGAAGATAAGTGGTCCGACACTGGGGGTAAGCATTATTGACAGGTTGAAACTAAAGAGGACCCGAGTACTACGTCGATTTCCATTATCACACCAGTAGCGGGTCAAAATGGGCTCCGTTTGGATTCAGTCCCTTTTCGGGCTTTTCCATCGAATGGGGGTGTCTCCGGATTTTGTTCGTATGGAGCGAATGACGATTGCACAGAGAAAATGAATGATTGATTGGGTTTCTCCCAGTGATTTCTGGACCAAGGCCATGATATCAGATGAGGAAAATCTAGAGAGAAGAAGAATAAGAAGAAGAAGAAGAAGAAGAAGAAGAAGAAGAAGCTATTTATGCGAGGGAATAACTGTATAGAAGGAAGAGAAGAGAGGGAAAGCACAAGTGTCCGCAGACATGAAATCCAAACTTGGAAGGAGCATCTTGGCTGACTTGGGCATACAGACAAAGCGCCGTTCAGTAAATATATGTCAGTATATAATGAACTAGTCGAACCTATATGACTATTCACTTGACGGATGAGATTGGAAAAAAAAAAAAAAAACTAGAAAGTAGAAGAATGAAGAAGTTTAAAAAAAGAGTTGAGCGAATCCAGCAGGGTTATGGCGGGACATCCACCTGCAACTTGCGGTCTGAGGCTTCGAACCCATGAGAGGTGGCCTAATTAGGCAGTCTGGAGCAGGTATGGCTCGTTGTCAACGATACCAACTAGACCACCTCGGGTTTGCTGATGTTCTACAACGACCTTGATATTTAACCAAGAGATGCTTGTTGGATTTTGCCATTGTCCGCACCTAATTTATAAAATCCAATCTTTATTCTCATATCCCACTGTATATATTTCTATCTTATTCTTAAAGCCTTGCTCAACGCTCCTCTCGGCTTCTTGAGAAATAAAACAGAGTTCATGTTGAACCCTCTGGAAATTCGACTTAGGGCATATTGACCACGTGACTATATATTCATGTGCCTGTCAGGGTCCCCAAGGGTATGCATGCCACTGAGTAGCAGCCTGATGCCATTCACGGAAGTACAAGCCTTCACTAGCAAATCATTTTAAAACTAGGCATATAGATAATTGAAACAGAGCTTTCTTTGATATTCAAGTCTCCCAAAAATACATGGGACCAAAATTTTGCCACGATCCGTCATAAAATAACATCATCTCATCCATGGACTCGCCAGTTCAGTAATATCAATAATATCAGTGGGCTCACGTAAGGCATGTTGACGGGAGAGCTCTGCTTTGTGTATTTGTCTTCCATGAGCTGTAACTATCCCTCAGGGTGTATTGCTCTGCAACAAACCTATTTTATCGTCCTTTCAGCGTTAAAAATACAGTCTTGTCAACATCCCCGTACTCCTGAAGACTGGGTTTGAAGCGATCCTGGAAGACATAGCAGGCAGAACAGACATCAAGGGCGCAGTTGGTATCAAAGAGGAACAGATTGAAGGAAGACAAACTCTGTGGTGGTGTCCATTGCTGGAGACATAAATTTTACTTGATGTAGAGAAGCGCAGAGTATGAGAATGAGGTATGCAGAAACGAGATTGGTCGAAATGACACGTTGGGGCGTAGAGAGAATGACGATGGTAGTGGCCAGCGATCATCTCCCACTTAACCAAAGGCCAAAATAGATATTGAGTCTAGGTGCAACCGGTGAAATTCAAAAGTCAATGATATCGCATTATGGTACGGAAGTGCATGTTGTGAGCATACCATGAATGTCTCGACAGAACGTCATACTAGAATAGTTTATTTGCTGAAATTTAAAAAGTAGAGGAAAAAAGAAGTCAAAAAAAAGAGTTGAGCGAATCCAGCAGGGTTATGGCGAGACATCCACCTGCAACTTGCGGTCTGAGGCTTCGAACCCATGAGAGGTGGCCTAATTAGGTAGTCTGGAGCAGGTATGGCTCGTTGGCAACAATACCAACTAGGCCACCTCGGGTTTGCTGATACTACTATGATGACTCCAATATTTAACCGACACCTGGAGCCCTCTCTACCCTACTTCTTAGATCTCCATCTATGGTAGTCTTTTCTAGGCGCTTTCATATATGTTCCTCCTCGTCTTCCAGTCACTGGAGTTTGTTTCAACTATTTTTAGTGTGTCAGATCACTAGACGGCTCTGATCTTCAACAAACTCAGTGGCCATCCTTGCCTCAAAAGACTTGGGTCTTTTTGAGCAAAGGCCAAAATTGAATAAGTTTTTTTCCAGGTCATCTGCAAATCTGGTAAAGGATGCACTCACATCTCGGAAGTATTATACACAATATATATCACACAAATTGATGTATCTTAGGTCTACAAGATTTCTCGAGATCATGATTGATTACGGACTACTAGATTACTGAAAGTGGTAGGTTAAAGCGGTCATATTTCCCCGATAAGACTACGCAAGGGATCTCGGGAGTCTTACCAATACTGGTACTAGTAGATAAGCTAAGTCAAATAGCCCCTCGGATCGCCGATCCAACGGTCCCTCCAACTTATCGAAGAGGCCCAGCGGGTCTACAGGATCCTAGCCGACCTTATCAGTCTCACGCCTGTCATCAATCTTGGCGGCCTCTGTTAAGAGCCGGGGGACTGGACTGGCAACAGCACCAGCCGACGAAGCAACACCGGGGGGAGGGCATATAGCAGTAGGGGAGGACACAGCGGCAGAAGAAATCCCAGAAAGGGGCGAAGTCACAGCAGGAGGGGAGTACGCAACAGCGGAGGAGGGCGCAACTAAAGATGCGGGAGAATCGGAGCGCGAGCTAGTGGGCCCGGCGGCAGAAGAGTCGTTTGGTGTTGATTCCCCATTAGCCTCATCAGCGGGGGCGGCAGTGTCAGAGGCGATCTCTATTATATTATTAGCATCCAATTCTCGATAAATGCCAATGTAACACATACTCTTGCGCTTACTGTCTCTTCTTCGGCCAGGCTTCCGGTACTTGCGCCGGCGCTTAGGGGGAGGGCGGGGTCTCGCGTGCGTGGGGGAACAGGAGGCTGTTTCAATCGAATGTAAGCTCAAGCCTGAGTATACGTGAAAGGTGGCATATGGGAAGGAACTCAGTATGTATCCAAGTAGTTGAATGCAGTCGAGATTGTCGACATATTGAGACTAGCAAGGATGTGAGACTTACAACATCGATACCCTGCTTTCGCAGGTAACGTCGGAAACTAGGGTTCCGCTTCTTCTTCTTGTTGGGGGTTTTTCCAGGGGACGGGGGGTTTTCCATGATGAGGCATGTGATGGTGGTAGTTTGAATGAAAGGTGGATGAGATGGGACGCGAAGGGAGAAGAGAAGAAGAGAAGTTTCAAAGCATGAGCCATTACCTCGTGAACTGGATGAGTCCTCTTTTATTCTACATGTGAGATACTCTTTAGGTGACACCTATCTTCTTTCCAATAAACGACTGTTTGTCTCGACTGTCGGAGTCAGCGTCACCCTGATACATATTTCCCAGCAACCTCATCAGCTACCAATCTCTGTTTTGTGTTCAGACTCTATGGGACTATGGACTTATTTCAAGGACTTTTCACATCCCCATACAGATAAACCCTTCAAGATAGATCCCGAAAGATGACCAGTATTTAAACTAAAATAATGGGAAACAGCAGTTGTGAAGAAGTACGAAATTTGATTAAAGTAATAACTCGAGGCTGCACTACAAATAGAAAGCCATGGAGGTAATGGAAAGCCTTAGTTGTCACTCAATCACTCAACCGGATGTCTTGTCTCGATGGACAAGAGTCATGATTGCCGCTGGACCCAAATCGATCCCAACATGGTTTTCTTCCATATGCTCATCTTTGGCCTCAGGTACAATACTCTTCTCAAGAGTCACCGGGGGAGTGTCGGTAGGAGCAGAGGTACTTGCTGCTGCGGGTCTTTCTTCGGCTTGTTTAGCAGCCCTCTTAGCAGCTTCGTAAGCAGCTTCTATTAGCTATCAGCATTGAACTTGGCATCACAGCTTATAGTAATACATACTGTTGGCCTTTTTGGCTCTTTTTTTGCCGGGGTGACGTTGGTTGCGCTTGGGCTTTGGCGGCAGGGCGGGATCGCGTCTCTGTTCGGGGGGTGGAGGGGGCTATTGAATTTCGACATATTAGCTTGACCCTGCACAGTACTGTCATAGAAATTGAATGGCCCACTTACAACTGGAAGACCCATGCTGCGGAGACGGAAGCGCTCATTACGTCGGTCGATCGAAGCCTGCGACCTGTTTCTCCTCCTCCTCTTCTTTTTCTGCTGCTGCTGCTGTTGCTGTTGCTGCTGCTCAAGCAGAGGATGCTTGGCTGCGTCCTCGATGTTGCTCATCTCGTCCGCCATAACGGTGTCTTCATTGGCGTTGTAGACCTCGTTGCCCTTCTCCATAATGGTTTGGGACATTTGAGCAGTTGGATTTGATGAAATGATTATGGCTGAGATTAGACTGGAGACGAAAGAGATGAAAATTACGGAGGAAAGAAAAAGGGGAGCAAGAGGGAAGTTGGAGGTGACACTGTCTACTCGCGTGAAATGGTTGAGACGTGCCAACAGCTTGTCTCGCCCAATTTGCTTGCCTACATTTGTTATCCAGTAACGCTCACACTAAAAAATCAACGTCCCCGTCATCATCGAAGAGACCAATACCATAAACATGCATGCAAAATATAAATATCAATCAAAATATGAGCATTTGCGTTCTGCACCACGCGGGATCTCCATACGTCTCATACATATATGTAGTGTATGATCGATTCCGTCGAGAGCGGTTTCCCATATTGAGTAGGGACAACAGAACGAAAAAATTGTCGATAAACCAAACAATCAACCCAAAATTAACTTAAAACCACTCTCTTATGATACTATCTATACGTTATAGACGTCCATGGGGTATTTCGTAGCCCCGGATGTTCATCAAGTTAGGGCACGGGTATCCACATGAGGATCGACATGCACTTAGGAACCAGGGTCTTGATAGTCTTGCAAGGATATTAACGAGCAAAAGCGACATATACTCCCATTGATTTGACATCGAAATTGAACGCAACCCTCTACCATACCACCGAAATCAAGACCAACAAAAAAAAATCAACAAGTACCCCTGTTCATACCAAAGCGTGGCTTTATGCGGCATAGTGGTTCCCGATCACGTGGACATTCGCCTCAACCTCAACCAGTGGTCGACATTCAATTTTTTTCCCGAGAGGCAAATATACTCACCGGGTAGATCAATCGAAGACCATACACCCCACGCACTCGTGTACCCTGCCTCCAAGTGTAGGTGGTAAACCCCCGACTTGAAACGCATATCACAACTCTCAAAGGCCGACAACCCCCCAACCCCATCGGCACTCAAAGGAACGGAGATCCAACAACCTTATACATCCCATCCTTTACATTCACCCGGAGTCCACGTTGCCCGAGTCCACCAAACACAGGAGAAAATGTTCGAAGACTTCTCCTTTACCTCGCCCTCGTCGCGACCCTCCCGTCTAGCCCTCGACGCCGACGACCGCCCAATGGTCGACAGCGACAGCAACTTAATCTCCCCCCTCTCCTCCCGCTGTCCATCACCGCAATCGCAACGTTTCCGCAACCTCTCACGCTCACGCTCCCACTTCCACCGAAACCAACAACCCCCAACATCCGTCCCTTTCCCCTATGACTCAGACCACAAACGTCTCTCTATCTCAACCCTAACTCAAAAACTACACGAACACACCCTCGCAACACCAACAGACAATCTTCATACCCAGCAACCCCAACCTCGATCCAGAGACGGGAGACACACACCCGGCTCACGCCGGTACCCAGGCGTTCGAACCGTCCTCACACCCCCAGACACAGACCACTCCGATGACGGCGTCGGCGACTGCTATTCCTCCCCCTCTGCCTCCTCAACAACAAGCCCAACCTTCAACCCCCCAGACCTGCTATCAGACTTACCAGATTTCGGCCTCGGACATCCCCTCTACCCGCAGCCGTATCCGTACCACCAAGACGTGCGCATGCAGCGTCAGCAGATCTCCAGGTTGCAATGCAACGAGTCTGAAGTCGAGGCTATGCAGCGCTCATTGCTAGAGGAACCGTCGCCTGTTTCTGGGGACTTCTGCGACGAAGATGATTGTCATCCTAGTTCGTTGCCCCCGCGGTCGTCGCCACGGAGGAGGGCGGTTACACTTGCGCGGAGTCGGTTTGGGCCGGAGGGGACTGGTGAGGGGAGACGCAGGAAGAGTTCTTCTGGGGCTGTTTTGGCGAGTCGCATTGAGAAGAGTCATTATGGGGGGTTTGCGGGGAAGAGGAATGAGCAGGGGCTGAGGAGGAAGAGTCTTGTCAGTGCGGCGCTAGCGTCGATGGTCGAGAGGGATGATGATTGAGTGTTGGGTTATAGTTTAGGTTGGTGTTGGATTCCGTGGATTGGAGTTGTATATACCCGATTTTGATACCCTTATATAAAGAACCCTGGAAAGAAACATCACACCCATGGAGATGATCATGCAACCATGTATGTAGAAGGTCTACATGCTGATTGGCCTAGTATTCTGACACATTCTTTAGTGTAGTATATTCTTGGTTCACCGATTGTGGCCGTGGTGTGTGAGTTCTGCCAAGGTTATCGTCAAGATTGACAGCATCGAATTGATTATGCATGTGCCATGTTCAGAAGGTTCAAAAATAACCGGAAGGTTGACAAGCGTCAAATGTAAATTGATATAGACACAATGTGAGTCTCAGACCCAGAATAAAATCAGTAATAAATAAAATAAAAAAGGACAAGGTAGAAGAAGCCCCAAAGAACGAAAAGAAAAGAATCAAGACTCGTATCCAGCCAGTCCATCCAATCCAATCCAACACCCAGGCGCCACGCTCTTGATCACAATGGACGTAAATTAAAGTCGAATTCCCGGTCCAAAAGTCACATCCAGCCGGCTGGCGATTCCAGTAACAGACGAAGTTCTCAGAACTGTCTAACTCCCATGCTTCCAACTGAAGAATTTCCTCAATCCCTTCTTGTGAGCTCCGCTCTTCCTCTCATCACTCTTTCTCCGCTGGAACTCGAATCGCGGACTGGTCTCGCCAGAGCGCGCCCCTCGCTGCAGCTCATCCAATGCGCGTGCAGGACTTCCCCGTAACCCCATCGTCTCGGCGTTCGCGGCCGCGAGGACGGACTGAACGTGTGGGTCGAGGTACACCGGGTCGTAAGTGTAGGGATCGAAGGAGGTGGAATAGTGTGGGAGCCTGGAGGCGGAGACGGAGCTTGGGTAAGGGTAAGCAGAGTCGAAGGGAGAGCAGATGGGTGAGTGCATGGGCGAGCCACTTGGTGTCTCGAGAGGACTTTCGCGGGGTGTTTGCTGGTCTTGTTCTTGTGAGTATGAGAAGTCGTGGTGGTCGGGTGCTGTTTCGTCTTGGTCGAACAGAATGCCCCTGTCGCGCTCGTCGACTTGGGCCCAATCGCCGTTCGCGTAGACGGGTGAGCCGGGCTCGCCAATCTCGCTTTCCGAGTAGAATGTTTGCGTTGACGGGGTTGAGGGCCGATGGGATAAGTCTAGGTTTGGAAGCTTTGATTCTTCTGTGATAGAGGTCAAATGCGGTGATTGCGGGGAGTCCCTGTCGCTGCTTGAGTGATTGTAGGTATCGGTGCGCGGATCTTTATATTCAGTGTGCTGTACAGGTCGGCTCCAATAGTTGAAGCTTTGTTCATTGACAGAGTAGTCGGATAGAGACCGGATGCGTTCATCAATTCCCGGAGAGGACGACGGAATGTCCGTCGGTTGACCCTTGGGCGTTGACGGATCGGCTGGAATGGATGTATACAGCGAGTTGGTTGAGTAGAATGATGGTATGGAGGCATCCGTGAATTGCGACAGAGACACCCGGTCCAGTCCTTGTTCGATGGAGAAAGTCGACTCTCGCTGATTGTCTGTGGAGACCACGGAGCAATTGTCGACGTCTTCAATGTATGAGACGATGCGTGCTAAATCTAGCGACTTGCGCGGATTCAGGATCTCAAAGCAAGCGCCACCGTGTGATACGGTGGCAACAGCCTGCGTACTGACCAGCATTGAGTCTGAGGGTTGAGGTTTGGCACCCTCAGCTTCTTCTGCTTGAGTTTGGGCCCTTTGTTGAAGCTTTTCACGGAAGGTATTCTGAGACTTTCTATCAGTGAGTCGGCTCTTTGCTGTGATGTTTCAGTCTACTTACCAATCGCTTTCTATTAGGTCTAGCACGAGTCCCAAGATCCGAGACAACAGGTAGTCGTGGGCTTTGGGCGGGTTGGTAATGAACTATTGAACTGTCAATAAAGGTTGCTAAATATTTGACTGAATAAAGGTAATTGGAGAAGCTTACCAGTCTGTGCTTCCCCAATTTCAGGCTCTTCGCTCCACTGAGAGACGACGCTATGGGAGTAGGAAGGAGAGAGCGGCGGAGGACTCGATGCCACAGAGGATATAGATACAGGATAGGAGATTGGAAGAGCGGACGGGCGATTCAAATGCAATGCAGCAGTTTTTCGCTTCAATTTCCTTCCTGTATGATCGACAGGATCGCCGATGTGGTCTGCAGACTTGGAGAGGAACTTATGGTAATCATGGATAGAAAGGACCCCCGTGATACGAGATTTGATGGATCGAGGGGGGAGGGACAAAGCGTCTGCCGAGTCTACTGAAAGGGGTTTGGAGAGAGTACATGCATGATGGTCATGAATTTCGAGACACTTTTGGCAGATGGGGCTGTCCAGCAGCTCGCCATGCCAGGTATCACTGGTAGCGGAGTAGTTGACGTTTTCGTTCATTTTGCTTTGCAACCGCGAAATATCATTGATTTCGCTGTTTGAAGTCCTGCTTCTTCTGTTCTCGGACCACCGTTTTAGATTGTCGACATATCCGATGCAGTAGATCGAAAACCCACTTCTCCACACTAAACTTGATTCGTCAGATTTACGCCGCAAGGGATGGATGAGATAGGCTTACCGTTCGCAAAGAGATGAATAGATCACAACCAAGATGCAAGGTACAACAAGTGCAGAAGTAATTTTATGTTGAAATGAGAGAATGAGAATGTAAAGAGAATATAAACCGGGATGAACAGGGTGTACCTGGATGTTAAGTGTATATCCACCTTATACCCACATTTCTTTCTATGAAGTAACCAGTTTAACTAGTCAGAACGGGGAAGCCGAGTAGGCCGGACCAATTAGGGCCCATTGACAGAGTAGAGGAGTTAATCCAAGTAGAAAAAGAGAGAGAAAAGATGAAGAAGTTCCAGGCCTTTCAGTTCACGGGACCCATGGTTTGTCAACTGGTCACCGTCATCTGGAAAAGTCGGTCAGCGGAACTTTGAGAGATGTCATTATAAGGTGAATAGGCTTGTACTTTAGGAAACTCACAATGAGATTGAAAAGGATGCCCAGTGTGCCCAAATCACTTGCAGATAATCTCAGCCTCGATCTACATGTTAGTGCTTTCTAGTCTTTAGCGTCCACCCTCCCGTCTCTCCATCTCCAACCAATCATCCACATCGGATCCAAATCATCACCAGCCTCTCTAAGCCCCGAACCAGTCAGCGTCCAGAACAAAGCCTTGTCTTAGCTCACGGCTGAGGGCTAATAAAGAAGTCCTTTGGGCTGTGGCTGTTGTAACACCCATGATTGGCTACCCGGTTCTAATGAGAATGTGGCAATGAAAAGAGATTTTTCGTCTCCACTGCCAACATCATGACTTGGTCATTCGTCTCGGAGTTCCTTCCAAGGCAGACAGTGGATACAAACCACGATATATCTTCGGTATGCACGGAGTTGCAGTGATGTACCGTTGATGCAGTCCGTAAGGGGAATTTTCTATTGGATCATGTGATTCCGGCGCTCACGACTCAATCACTTCCCGGCTTTCGGCTGACAATTCTCTGGACGGAGTGGATGTCTGCTTACTCTTCTGCTCTTCCATGGTTGGGCATCTCGTACCTCGTACCTGGATGCAATAAGGCATACATGCGTATACACACACCTTGGACGGAGCACAGAGTATACAGATCGACATGCCAGCTCATCTCAATTTAACCTGCTCAAGTCATCTGCCTTGCAATACGACTGCAACCCCCAGGTTTATGTTTCACATGCATGATGCACGATGCAATTTAAACGGGTTGCTGCCTCGTTGCCCCAGGCCCCCGGAGATTGAAACATACTTCACCCTTTCAAAGGCCGTGTGGGGTTTACGGAGTACTGGGAGTCCAGAGTAATGGGTGGCGACTGTCCAAAGGGGTATGTATACTCGGATGCTACCGCGTTCTTAGGAACTGCGATCGACATGACCCTTCTTCTGGTACTAGGTGGATCTGTAGAAATAGATCGGGATGAAGATCCCACTTGATTCAACAAATTCCCTGGGTTATGCAGAAGCTAAAATGACTTCAAGTGTTGAAATGATAGTGAAAGAGCAATTTAAGAACATAATGCGCTGGTGATGTGGTATCGAACTAATAGAGCAATGAGACAAGGAAAGCAAAAAAGAGCCCATAAAAATCACAATAAAAAAAGAAAAAAAAGGCACCATTGACTATGCATGTATTTACGGAGTATGCAAGGTCCTAACCTGAGGATCCCAAGTCGCGCAATCTCAGTGCCGTTTATACTTCTAGAAAGGGAGTCAGTCACAGCCTCAAAACATGGTTGGGAAACTTACATCTTCCATCTTGCGCCGATTGCTCGGGTCAAGGGTATTCCCCGCACCAAGCAGAGTCTGTCCCACAGCCTTGGATACCCCGATGGCGGGTCGAAGGATGACCGTAGGCGCACGCTTCCAGACTGCCTTTGCGGCAGCCTTGGCACTCCCACTCTCGACCACCTCCCCAGGTACGGCGACGATCGCGTCGCGTGCCAGGAGCAGGTCGCGCTCGAGGCCGCTGAACGCCCCACGTAGTCCCTGTACCACCCCGACTGGCTGATCAGCGTACAACGAGATCTTCTTTGCTTCGTCTTCGTCAAGGGAATCGTCGTCGAAGGCTGGTGCGTTGGGGGTGGTCAGCAGATCCTCTGCGCCTTGGAGGACGGTTTGTGTGCCGATGGCGAGTTTGGCACCGAGTTTGACCAACTCGTTGGAGGTTGTCTTGGCGAAGGCTAAAGCACCCTTTTGGATACTACGCACGATTCGGCCGTCCTTTCTGTACTCGCGCATTGGGACAACAACCAGGTCGCGCACGCCACCGCCGACGTTGACTAGGGAGCGGATCGGCGCGAGACCAGCGAGTACACCGGGTAGTTGGTTCTGTTTGACATCTGGCATCCAGATGTCGTTGAGAGTTTGGCCCATGCGGTCGAATCCGGACACTCCGTAGATGATCACATGGCGTAGCACCATGTCGGCACCATCCAGGATGAAGAAGTTCATAAACTCGGTTGTGCGACCAGACCTTAGTCCTGCGTAGTCGACCCGCTTAGGCTTGAAGTCTAATTTGACCTGCACGGCGTTGATCTCTACTCGCTGCAAGAATGGAACTTCGCCCGGGGTATCTGATGGTCTGGTGGACTCATCTCTAAACTCGAAGAACCGACTCATAAAGTCGAGGGCGTCTTGGTCAACATGCAACCGGAGTGGTAGAATAGTGGCCTAGGAGTCAAATTAGAAACTGGTCTGGCTAACCGATGATTTGGGGAACAGACCTTGAGAACAATCTCAGACGCAGCTAGCTCAGGCACGGGCTTCACAGTAAGTATTTCAAGGTGAACCATGCTCGTTCCGCTCTCTTTCTCGCCAGCCTCATGCATATACGTTGCGAATTTCTTCCATGTGGATGTCGGAACATGATCATAGATTTCCAGATCCTTGATCCGCACATCTAACGAGCTCTGTGTCTCTTCTAAGCCCGGTGGAAAGATAATTAGATCGGCAGAGACACCTTTCAACTCAAACGTCATCTTGTGGTGTTTGCTCCGATGCAGGCGTAGTTTCTTCTCCCTCTTAGAAGTTGATCGACCCTGGTGACTTCCAGCCCCAGTCACGGTAGTGGTTGTTGCATAGCTCCCAGTCTCACTGGTGAAATCATCGATATCATGATTGATCTCGCGGTGGAGCTCCCGTGGATCCTTGTTGGCAGGAATACCGATGTAAATCGAGTTGAAGAGGAAATCGCCAATGACAGACTCCTCTTCATCGTCTGCCGAAGCTGACATCCGTGAGCCCCTGGAACGGCGTTCTGTGGCCTTGGTCTCCACGTCCTTGACAGCTTTGGATATTGTGTCACGGGTGCGCTGCCAGTCATATCCATCAAAGAGATTCCAGATAAAATGCACGTCTCGCACGCGCACGCGCAAAGGACTCCGCTCGAGCTTCGTGTCATTGGTGAAGCCGTAGGTGTTCTGGGTAGAGTCCCACCGATGAGCTGTTCCACCCACTGCGGAAGTTTTTGCAAAATGGTCCTCCTGGAAGTCCAATTCTGTCATGCTGGAATTCACTTGATATTGGGAATGGAAGCTGTCCAGCAGATCATTGTAGCCCGCGTCCATACCGTCAATGCCAATACCACCAGAGCCACCCTTCACGGGATAGAAATCGCTGACATATTCAAGTTCATCGGTTAGCTGATCGTCCATGGAAGATCCTGCGGAGATAGTTGCCGTATCATTATCATTATCATTGGGGAGGGTAGGATGGGCTGCGAATGCGTCCCCAGTGAACGAGGCAAACATATCTTGAATGGGCATAACTTCTGTTCGATATTTGACATCGACACTCGGAGGAGTTGGAGGTTGAAGCCCATTCATGATGCTGATGAGCGTCTGAGTTGAATCCGCGCAGGTCTCAAGGATTAACAGATCGTCTCTCAGCTCGACGTCCAGAGACTTTGTTCCATCTTCAGTGCTGGTAAGCTTGACGCCAGCAGTCGCTGATGAAATAGAAGACACAGGAACATAGCCTTTATCGATATACGCTTGAGCCTGGGTGTCTTGGGGAACGACCGAGGCCCGTTGGTGCAGGTTATAAGCACCCTCATGGTAGACATCGTCGATGATCATAAGCGAGGCTTTCCTAATGTCCAACGCTGCCTCCGCAGATTCCCCTCCATGCATACTTCCTTCGAACTTGGCATTGGTGAGAACTGCAAGGCCTTTTGCAGGAGAATTGCGAGGGTTGAGGCCAATAACACAATCTCGGAACACAACAGCCAATTTGACCGGCTTCGCCAATGGGGCGGATTCATTTGACATCGGTGAACCTGTCATTAAAGGTGACGGCATCGAGTGTTCTGCAAGATTGGCGATAGAGTTGACCATACTACTGGCCAATTCTCCGCTCATCTTGTCACCACCCAAGCCAAGGAAGGCCGCAACTGATGGCACCGTGTACTCGACAAGAAGATTGTGCAGTTTGATCTTGTAGGTAGGATCCATCTCATCGGGTATGAAACGAGCCATGAGGACCGGTGGATTAGGCTGGTCCAAATCCTGGCATTTGTTTGGCGGCCACAGGGCATGCCCCACCAGCTCTTCGTCGCTATTTCGACTAATGGTCATGCTTTTGATTTGGGCCGCAGTGAGCGAAGGCATGGTAATGTGTGCAACTTCAACATCGACAAGTTGGCTTTGGATGTCCCCAACTTCTCCGCCAACGTGGAAATGCCCTTGAAAGTCACGGACCAGGATCAAAGTAAGAATACCAGGGCGATCGTCTTCTGGCAAATACTTGGTGACATTGGAAAGCCGACTCAGCTCGACAGCAAGAGACGAGAGGGGCTCGAACCCACTGGTATCTGAAATGAACGTTTCCAAGCGCCCCACTGTAACACGAAGAACAGATCCTTGTCGTCGCTGGCGCAGTAGTGTGTCTAGCATGATATCATCTTCCACTTCGAACTTGTCCTGGGACGGGGTAATCAATGTCAACAGACGATCGAGGTCAAGCTCCTTCGGGGCGAAAAGGAACTCAAAGCGGATGTTGCTCAAAGTGACTTTGGCGGGAGCATCAGCTGAGGCATCATCAATTAAAAGGGGTCCAACTATCTTTGCCTTGTCAATTTGAACACCAATTCCCTCAAACCTGCTGACAATTTTGACAGCGGTTGTGGTAATTTGAAGACAATGAGTCTCTCCAGTAACATCTACCAGGATGGCACCAACTCGGGCATTGACTTTCCATAAAGTTGGCGTGCCCTTGGTCGTGTTGACAGCTGGGGCGGGTGTCTCAAAATGCACACCGCGAGGGCGCTGTTTGGAAGGAGGCGGACAGCCTCTGACTGTGGACACGGATGACATGGAACTACCAAGTTCGAGGATGGTGCTCAGGCCGCCCATCCAGCCTAGGACCTCTTCAAGGCGCTGTATATTGAGATTGATGTGGAGAGGCAGCGTGGAGATGTCTATCTTAGCCAGCTCTGCCGACTTAACCAAAGATACAGAAATGTCTCCTTGGGAAGGGGATAAAACATCCCGCGTAGATTCACGCATTTTCAATCTTTCATCGAAGAATATGATATCCTCTGAGGCAAACCCGAATGCAAACTTGGACACGTCGAGATTCAGTTTGATAGTTGTACTTTGAGCCGAAAGACGAGCATCCAGACCTGATAGAGTAAGACGAAGAATCACATCTTCTATGTTGTAGGCAGGAGACGAAGGGACACCACTATTGTCGGACGAATAGACATACCCCGAAACACGCTCGAGGAATTTTATCGAAAGCGCATGGACAATAATATGAACAGGTGGTGTGCGCGCAGGTTGGTCCTTTTGCGACTGCTTCTCAGTCGGATCTTTTTCAGCCGTACCAAAGACATGGGACAGCTTTTGTCCTATCTTGGTTAGAAGCCAACCAGTTGCAATATCGAAATGAATGGAGGCAGAGAGCAGTTCCACGGCAATTTCAGGTAGTTCAGTCCCAGTACTTGACTGAGCCTGGGGCTCAACAGAGCCTCTCCCAAACCTCATAGATTTGTAAGCCCTAGAGGCAAGTAAACTTTCTTCAGGTGCAGAGTCTCCGAAGTTAGCTGTGGATTCATTTAGGTCACTGTCTGTGTGCTCTGTTTGTGGGGTAGGCGACGGCTCGGCTGACTCTCCGTCGTCGGAATCAGGAGGCGAGAACCACAGGAAAAGTTTGTCAACAGTCAATACCGATTTGATCATTTCGTTGCTTCTATGCAAGCCAGAAGATGATGGAGTTGACAGTCTGTCTGTGTGTAATGTCGGGACTTGGGCTGGGTCGTCCAAATCATGCTGCTCAGTGGTGTTGTCGTCTGATGGGGCTGTGTATCTTGAATTCGCTTCAGCTTGAACATGTGTGGACTGTGCCGGATCAATACGTTCAATGGTTTTAGATTGGCCATCAGAAACACTTCGGGATTTCGATGCATCATCAAACGAGCCCCATGCCCCCGGCATATGTGGCATGAAGCTCCCACTTTCATCCTGGCTGATAGCACTCATGTAAATACTTTGCGCTTCATCGTGGGAGAAAACCTTGGACTCGTTGAGATCGGCATTTGGGGTTTCTTCTCTTGAGCCAATGCTGTCAGGCTCTGAGCTTGGAGGAGATGTACTGGAAGGATGGGATGATACGCTCAATTGTGATCTTTCATTATGTTCATTTCCGTCGTGATCATTGTAATGCTGTGTGGGCTGCGTGATTTCGTCAGTTTCAGAGCCAATTTGGCTGTGATGTGTGTCGTAAGCTTGGGACATAGGATATCTCTCAGATGTAATTGAGGGCTCATCAGAGTATTCGGCCTGTGAGCTCTGATACAAGCTTTGTGTGCCACCGGGAAAATGGCTTCTCCATTCACTCCCGGCCCGTTCTTCCTGGAGATGTATTACCGGCGTCTGCTCATAATCAAAATCATCGAATTGAGCGTCAATAACAGAGTCTAGGTACCCCGGGTTGTCCTGGAAGGGGTCATCCCCAAACATTTGAGAATCCTCCAGATAATTACCGTGGTGACTACCTGACTCGGATTCGGCATCTGAGAATCGGCCATCGTGAGAAAATGTAGATGTCTCTAAACGGTCTGTGGTGGTACTTAAATGGCCGAAACCTTGCGGCGGCTCGAAAATAGTTGATTGGGTCATGGAAAGGGGTTCTTCGACAGAGCGATCCAGTGGGGATGGCGATGGCGCTCTGCTTGACGGCTGGCTCCCTTTTGACCGCATGGTCGTCGACGGAGATGCAGGGACGGCAAAACGAGAGTAGTTCGAGAACACTGATGGGTCCGAAACCAAACCAACATTGATATCAATAATTGAGATAAGCCGCTTTCCTTTTCGGAAAGGAAGACCATCCTCCGAGCCAACATTTTTCTCTGATACCCCATGTACATTGATTTCCCCGACGCTCAACAGACCTGCGACAAGGTCCAGCTTATGCTCAGGTTGCCGTTTCGACATTCCATCCTGCTTCAACTCCATGTCCAGACGCACAACTGCATCTTTTATCTTAAGTTGGAATCGATCCACAACGCCTTTCAAGAACCCAGCCACGAAGCTCGGCAGTGAGAGAGTCTCACTCCCAAGACCGAGCTCGTCATTGTCATCGACGGACCAGGCTAGCGGGTCGTGAGGCAAGACCTGCGACTGTGACGATATTGCGGCCTGCAGCTCTTCCCTTTCCTCCTTGGGCTCGGACTCAAGGAATGACTCCGCAAGATTAGACGGTGTGGGCACCGCTGAATGGTCATCCTTTTCGCTTTTTCCCTTTCCATGTTGTCCCTTTTTCGGTTCGTCTGACAATAATCGAATATGTACATCGATGCCGTTTGCCTCGCACAGAATGCCGCTATTGTGGAAATCGGCAGGAAGTGTGATCCGAAGAAGCTGAACTCGGGCGCTGAGCAGCTCGCACGACGGAGGAAGATTAAGTAGAGTCGATAATTTCTATTGCGCCATATAACCAGTTAGCCGGCACTACTCCATGGGTCGCGTTTGATGATCACGAAAGGTCGTCCTGCCGCCCGCGGAGGATCACTGCATCCACTCACCTCTAGTTTGAGGCCAATATCCCTCAACTCAATGGTAGAGCGTTGCCCCCAGCGGATGCCTAGGTTATCTGGATCCAAGGCCTCTGTGTCGACCAGGCCCAGACGAGATAGAGCGTATTTGAGGAGCCTCTTCTGGAAGAAGGATGGCATAAAGTACGACGCCATCGTGACTGAGAGCCAGGACAGGGCTCGTTTACGTGTGGACTCGTATCATCGAAAATAGATTAACAAAAACAATAAAACAGACAGCTCCGACAAAGCGGAGTGGATGAGTCGTGAAGGGGGGAATGTTCAACAATGACGTTCCGGCACCTGATAAAGGCGATAAGTGATCCGAGTCAGGCGCCGACGTGCCAACTCACCGATTGACACCAATTTTGACCAATTATCTCCTTATTGACTTGTGATATATTCCAAATTACTTCAATAATCACACAAATTGACTTCCACCGGTTGAAATATTGCCAAAATGGCTTTTGTACTTTCATATTTGTTCTAGCCTACGATGTAGGTATGTGACTCGTATATTAGGATCAACATCAGGTCTTCAATCATCCCCATCATCGAATTCAGCAAACTCCAGCACAATCCACTCGCAGAATTTCTCGAAATCCGAGCCGAAGTCCCGCAGACGATCAGATTTCAATCCCTTCCCCATTACCCCATTTTGAATGCCAGCTTTCCAGTCGGCGGTCGACTGGTCTTCATAACAGCTCCACCGGATGGAGTTTTGGGCCATCATTGATAGGCCGATCAAATCCACATTTTCGAGTCCCTGCAAAGCCTGCCAGAAATCGTGCGTCAATCCATTCCTTCCGTGGCCAAGAATTGCGGGGTCGTCGTTGCACAGCGAAACGGGGACGCCTCTGGACAATAGCGCGGGCAAAGGATGGGATTTGATGGAGCTAGCAAGGCGGAGCACTTCGTTCGAGATTGGGCAACATTCAATGAGGATTCTCTTCTCTTTGACTAAATCAATGAGCAGAGGATGCTTGTATAACGAGAACCCATGGCCAATTCGTCGAGTGCCAAGAAGGATGGCATCGAATAGGTTGTGATCTGTCGCGTCGCCGTCGCCGAGACATTCTCCAGCGTGGAAAAAGAAGGGAATATCGACCCCTGCTTCCGCACATTGCTTTCGGAACCAAAATAGCACCGGGACAAGGTCAACTAGCGGCCTACCGTTATCCTCTTGGCCAACAAGATCAAACCCACTGATCAGAGTGGGAAACTCCTGCTTTGTCTCGATGCACTGCTTCATGCTATCGACAATCTTCTCGTTGGTGAACCACCGCAGCGTAGTGTAGATGATGCGAGCACCGTAGAAGTCCTTCCCTTCATCCGTCTGTTTGAATTGAGCAATGCCATCTTCCACCATGCGACACCACTCAAAGTAATTTTCCTCATGTTGGTCGTTTCCTTCTTTTCGGAATTCAAAAACAAATCCAATACGGAACTCCACATATCGAATTCCATCCTGAGCAAGCTGGCCTAGCAACCGGCGGAAACACGCACGGAAGATAGGCTCGTACATCAAGAGAGAGTCGACAATGGGGAAAGTATTTGTAAAGATGGACCAAATCGCATCAACGCCGTGGTGGTGATGATACGAATGCTCTGGCGCAATAATACATCGAGTGGTCAACCATTCCCGGAAGCCCTTCTCTCCCCCTGGGGAAAGAGGAGGCGGCCTTCTGAATCGAGATCAACGACGAGGCCTCGTATGTCTCCGACCAAATGCTTGGCTTGTCCTCGGATGCTTCTAGAGGCTGCGTGGAATACCGGAAACACACGGGCGCTGCTTCGTAATCCTTGGCTGTGATCAAGGGTTTGGGTGCGAACATGTGTATGCCCGGTGTGGAGAATGCCTGGTCAATCAGGAATTCAATATCGAACATGGCGTCCATGTGGGCATGCAAGAGGGACCCCTTTGGCATCTTTTCGACAATCTTCCATAGTTTAGTTTTCTCCATGCGGCCTTTGGCCAGATTGAACATGACACCGGGATACAGAATCTCATCTACTTGGTGAGCGACACTCTCATCTAATCCATTTGTCCACACCTCGTTTTGCTCCTGAGATCGGATCTGCGACACGATCTTTGCCGCCCGGGCAGCGATGGGTGATAAAGATTTACGCAGATTTGCATCTATAAACAGTCAGAGATGGGGGGTTTTTTTTTGTACTTGAGGTGGGAGATACCGTGACGTCGCTTTCGCTCTTCCATAACCAACGCATCACGTCCTTTTAGATATTGTTGAATGAAGGGATCCCCAAACTGAGGGATCCCCTCCTCAATTTCCCATTCATTTTCTGTATTTGCCATTTTGAATCCAAGAACGAAATTGTAAGAGTGATGTGCCTGAGCAGAGGGAGGGGAAAAGATACGCTAATACGCTCTCCCCGCCTGGATCCGTTTTCATCTGGCGATTTTCTTTTTGATTGGCGCAAATTGGAGATAGTTCGATTGTTTGGATGTAACGTGCGGATGAGACGCTCAATTAATCCGCAAGGGATATAAATAATATTCTTACGTTCATAAGGTGTAGTGGGGTTGAACCACATCCTTTCTCTCTTTGTTTATCTCGACGTTTTGGCTATCACAATATCTCACATAGTCCCGGCAAGTGTGAGCCATCTTGAACGCCACTCCTCCATAGAAGCATGATGAACGCCCAACAACTCCACCAACTCCGCATCCCCATCTGGTGCTGGCGTTCGCAGACCCCGATAATTCCACACTACCAATCCAGTGGAATACATGCGCCATAAATCCCAAACAAAGATACCTAGCCTCCGATACGGTTGAATGCTTAGCCGAGTGTAGCCAGGGTTGGGCCTTTGATACGCCCAGTTTTTGTACATTTCCATGTGGATGGTCCTCCGCCCACAGCCTCTCACATCAAGATTCCACGACTCTGTCACTAGATCATCTGGTGGTGTTGGTGGTGAAGGCCAAATTGGGACATTCATGCCCCTTGCAAATTCAAGGGAGTGAAAAAGTGGTGGTGGCGTCTGCGATGGGTACCACCAGACTGCTTGTATAGACTCCTTGTGTTCACCCAGGTGCGGGTAGGAGTAGACTGGACTTAAACCCAAGTCCGACAGTACTGCAGCAACGGTGGAAATGACTTCGGTGGTCATGCGTTCGATGTCATTCCATGTGTGGTACTCTCTGGCTCTTTTCATGGACTCTTCAGGCCAATTCAATCGAGATGCATAGTGATGCAGGTCGGAGTAGTGTCTCAAATGCCACAGACCCCAATACATGTTAGACTCCTCGACCCAAGAGAAAGGTTTGGCTGCCTTTTGGGCACGCATTGACCCCGACAAAGGTCCTGCCGGCGAGGCACCGACAGCGGAAATGAAGTTTTCCTGCATTGTCCATAGACATGTACATGCAAGGCGTTGGATCTGGGCACAAACTTGCATCATCTGCAACACTTCCGCGTCATTGCTATGGATACCGAGCTGGTCGCCAGTGCGCTCAGTACATTGTATGTACTCCTCAAAATTGTGGAAGTTGGATGAGGGACTATGGAGAAGCCGAACTTTCTGAATGATCTTCCGAATAGGCGCAGCTGAGGATATTGAGTTTGATTCCATCATCTCTTGAAATATTAGACCGGGTCGGTCAAGGAACACAGCACGTACTCGGGGCGAGGCTACCAGGAGACTTTCTACGCCCACAAAGTCAGATGTAAAGAGGAGAATGTGGTATATGAGCTCGACGGGAAGCCGTTCAAAGGGGTCCATTGCGAAGAAATCAGAGGGGGTCAAGGAGTGGGCTGAGGTGGCTCTATACAAAGGAAACAATGTGTGGAGGCATATTCCTGCTCTCACTAGAGATGGAAACCAGCTTCTTATATAGTCCCTCCGCAAAAGTTTTTACTCAAGATTTGAATAGGCAACAGCTGCTGTGGAGATCGAGTGGCGCCAAAGCTCGGCCAATTGAGTTGGTGGCTCGGATAAGAGGCTCCTTTCGAGAAGATTGCTAACGAACGATCAGGGTGAACACAATTCTCAAACATTCAAAAAATGAAATGTCCACAGCTGACAGGCTGTGTTTTCTTCCAGGATCCCTCGATTCTATAGCCTGATGTGGTTGAAAATGACGGGTGTGGGCCCAAAAAGCCGTCCCCCCCTACAGAGTATACACTTGCCAGATGGAAGACTTTCTGGAAAGCTCGCCAAAGCCATTGCAAAGCAATTTTTAATCGGGGTAAATGATCTGCACCAGCAATAGATTGGATATGGAGGTAAATCCTTTCCTCAGAAATAAGCAGGGTGTGGCTTAAAAAGCCTAGCAGTCGTAACCTGCTTTCTCTGATTCAGAAAGAACTAATCCATACTATACCGTGGAGCCGAGTAATTTTGTTTTTAGCGTCCTTCGTCCCCTTTCTCCCTTCATAACAGCAATGATATCACCGAGCGTCTTCGGTAAGTGAATATGGGGCACTTCATCAGACATCTGATCACCCATCCGAGATTTTTCACTCGCTTCAAAGATAAGTCCTCCCCCTTGAGGGTCGCACATTACAGGGGTGCAAGTCCCTAGCCCATAGGAGATGGCGAGGCGATATCCCTAGGAATCTACTGCTGCCCATTCACCCTCATAGTCAAGCTCGTCCGGGTCCATTGTCCATCCTAACGGAGGGGAGACCTAGGAACATTATCAGTAGGTATCCCATATACATCACGTAGTCGTGCGCCCATGCCCTCGAGGTGTTGACCTTACGGGATTATTTCCATTCGTTATAGCGATTCGTCTTCACTGGTAGAGGATTCGAAGGTATACCTAAGTAAGGTATAGTGGATCTGGAGGCCAATTGTGTGGGGGAACTGCGTGATGTGTTATAACTACGAAGGCGCATAGCCATGGATATTCTGGCCTGGTCATTGCCTAATTGGGACTGAGTCTACATAACTTGCATATATACTACCGAGGTGCGAGTCTTGGATTGAGTTTCTCATTTGGCGAGACTTGACAAGTTATTCCCATCTCAAATACATATGCCGTGTAGACCTCAATTGCATCTGGTTAAATAACCATCCCAATTTGGCCTTACCACTGACTGCTTTCTTTGTTGTAGGATGTAAAACGATGATCCGAGCTCGGCATTCAATCTGATTACGCGTTTATTAGGAAAAAGATATCAATCAGCGTCACCAATGAAAAGTAATCAAATCCGAAAGCTTGGCAAATCTGATAACTTTTCAGGATTTTTTGCGCGTGTTCCGGTTGATGGGGCCAAGGGTCCAAAATAAATTTCCAAGCAGCCACACGAAGCTTGGACTGACGTCGAACCGAATGAGTCCTATGGGGCCTCAATGAAGGTAACTGGAAAGGGTAATGATCTTTCAGCCACTGGCGATCTGATTAGATCTTTGTCACCGGCCGACGCCGGGTTGTGCTGTACCTGGTGGAGTTGGGCTCCACAGGTTGAACAAATATGTTTGGACTACATTATATTTATACCACGTATGTTGTAACCCTTTTGATAGAGGAAAGGATTGTCGTTCTGACCCACTGATGGATGTTCAAATTACCGTTGGTCAATGTGCCGACTTCGCTGTTTTATGTGGGATTTCTGTGTCTTTCATTATATATTTTGCCTGCCTTTCCTCGCGGGGCCGAAACAACTTGCGAACCTTCGACCTGTTTGAGATTTTGGATTTTTATGTTTCATCATTGTCATGACGCTTCGTCCATTGATTCAAAGGGCCCGGTCGGTCTTTCATCGAAGAAAAGTCGACAATGACGAGGCTGCAAGTTCTTCGGTCGACGTGGACACAAACACAGTAGAGCCAGAGAAGTCAGATGGGCCAATAACCCATCCTGAGGAGGCACTTCCAAATAATGGTGCCGAGCTGCCCGGTGTGCCCTATGAAGAGCTTCAACACGGTATCCAGGAGGTTGAGGCCGTGGCTCAGACCTGGTCTAAAGCGTCCTTGATCTTCGTTTTCATCAAGTAAGTCAACTCATTTACCATATATGCACTATTACTAACATTGTACTTCAAAAGTATGTGGTTCCTTTACTTCACCTATGCCTGGATATCGTCGGTTGATGGTAGCTTGAGCACTTATGTCGCTAGCTCTTTCCAACAACATTCATTATCTGGTCTTCCGACCGCTATTGCAGATGCTTTCTCTGCTGCCGTTTTTCTTCCCGTGGCTAAAATGGTGGACACTTGGGGTCGAGCCGAAGGCTTCCTGGTAATGTCGATTTGTGCCACCTTGGGCCTTATTCTCATGGCCTGTTGCAACAGTTTCCCTCTATATTGCGCTGCAAATGTGAGACAATCTCTATGAATCACCAAGCAGATGCTAACAAAAAAATCAGGTGTTCTATTATATTGGCTTCGGCGGTATGCGATTCGCTGTGGACGTTATCACCGCCGATCTCTCACAGTTGAAAAACCGAGCCCTTGCATATGCTTTCACATCTTCTCCATATATCATTACGGCCTTTGCCGGACCAAGAGTGGCGGATCTTTTCTACGCCAATACTGGCTGGAGGTGGGCCTATGGAACTTTCGCGATCATCTTTCCCATCGTGGCTGCTCCGTTGTTTTTCGTCCTAAAGTTCAACCTGACAAAAGCCAAAAAAGGCAATGCTGTGGTTATCAGAGAGAACAGCGGACGGTCATTCCTTCAAAGCATCTGGTTCTGGACTCTCGAGTTTGATCGTGAGTATTCCAAGCCACCATCTTATTCTTGTCTAAAAAAAGCAAAGGTACTGATATATCATTTAGTAATCGGAGTTTTCATCTTTACTACGGGACTTGTCCTATTTGAGCTTCCATTTGACATTGCTAGCGAGGCTCCCAATGGCTGGGGCACAGATTATATTATTGCCATGATTGTGGTTGGATTCTCAATGCTTTTTTTCTTTGGCTTCTACGAGAGGTACATCGCTCCTACCCCGTTGCTCCCTTACTCCTTCCTCACAAATCGGACCGTCGTCGGCGCATGCCTCTTGGATGCCACGTACCAGCTTTCAAACTATTGCTGGAACAACTACTTCTCGAACTTCCTTCAAGTGGTCAATGACCTCACTATTGCCGAAGCTGGGTATATCGTCAACACGTTCGACGTGGTTTCTGGTGTACTTTTGTTCTTTGTTGGGTGGGCAATCCGGAAGACCGGTCGCTTCAAGTGGCTCCTTTATATTTCTGTTCCTCTATATATCTTTGCCCAAGGTCTGATGATCTACTTCCGTCGTCCTGGCCAGAGTATCGGGTACCAAATTATGTGTCAAATCTTCATTTCAATTGCCGGATCAATCTTCATCATCGTTCAGCAGCTTGCTATTCTCGCTGCCGTTGATCATCAGCATGTTGCTACAGCCCTTGCCTTGCTCAGTGTGGTTGGTACCATTGGAGATTCTGCAGGTCTTACGATATCCATGGCAATCTGGAACAACACATACAAGAAGGCCCTCACTTGGTACCTGCCAGACTTGTCAAACTTGGAGATGATCTATGAAGACCTCGAAACACAATTGAAGTACGCTCCCGGTACGAAGATGAGAGAGGCCATCCAGAAAGCGTATGGCTACACACAAGTTAGGATGCTTTCTGCTGGCTTGGGTGTGATGGTTCTGGCGTTCGCGTGGACTATTATGATCAAGAACATCAACCTGAAGAAGGTTGCTCAGGTTAAGGGTATGGTGTTCTAAGGGATGAATGTGGACCTCAAGAAGGTTCATCGTGGAACCTGCCACCCGCCACCTGGCTTTTGTGCTTTGTTTGTCTGCACATATTGATTCTTCTTTCTTTTTTTCATTCAGAAGGGCATTACAATGCGGGCCATGTAAATACTTCGTTTGATTTCTTGCTTTGCTTCACGATGCTCCAATATTGTCTATACCCGCTAGATCTATTTTTTTTTTTTTAAATTGAAATCATCGATAGTTGTTATATACACATGGTTTTAATGTTAGACTCTTAGCCTGCCAGATAGAGTGTCGAGCCTGTAACCCATACTTCGCTCAAGGTTACCTAGCTGCAAATATCTATCCGCAGATCAAGATTTGTTCCCTTCCACTTGACCCATTGCATATTGGCTGTCTGAACCCACACTTCTACCTCTGGTCTCGCATCAAATAATTAGCAGCCTTGGGGGTACCTCGATCAAGAAATCCATGAGTTTAATAGATTGCCTGACTAAGAGCCCTTCTAATAAGACACTATAGAACCAATTGAGACCTATCGTTAGCATTGTACACCTCAGCACAAGGAGCTAGAAACAAACAAATGACCTAGAAAGGGTCAGTCCACAGCTTTAGGCTAAGAAGAGTCCGAAGCTAAACCTCAATCTATACGGAGTGCTCCTACCAGCCACAGATAGAACTGAAATATGTAACCATATTTTCGTGCTGCCCAAGATCAATGCTACAGCTGCCGTGTGGCGTAGTGAGAGTATATAACAACACATCAAGAAGTGAAGTCTCATATAGAGACGAAGAAAATACAGAGTATTGTATTAGGTATTGATGTATATCGGCTCAGAGAAGTGGAGGGGCAACCAAGGTGACAGAACTCTTGTATAAATGAAATCGTTACCTGGACGGTTTCTTAGGCCGTCTCGGCCAATCTATCAACAACCTGGGCACAAAAATCTCTCATTTTGAGATGATGCTCCGCCGGTAGCCGATGTTTTCTACCGACTAGTACAGAGTATGCTTAGCTTGGTTGCATACTTGGGCATTGGAACCAATCGGACAGCGCTTTGTAGATTGAAGGATCTTAGTAACTGGATGCTATTGGTCGTTCGTAACGGAGCGAGGGAACAATGGGGCCCTTACGCTTGGCGTAAGATCAGATAACTCGAAGAATCCCATTGAAGTCTTAACAAGGAGATCCGATTTCGGATCTATGGCCTGCTGATTGGGGGCCAAAAGGTTATCAGATTATCAGATCAAAAGACATAAATAGAACCTCATTTCCTCTAGTAGCATCTCAATTACCATCTATCCTTCTTCAACCCATTCAAAACATTGAAAGTCACAGCCGAAACCACCATGAAATTGTTCAACGTTGTCCTTGTTGCTACTCTTGCTGCTTTCGCCAATGCTGCTGCTGTGCCCAACCCTGAACCTGCTTTGACTAACCCTCTTGAAAAGCGCTGCAAAGGAAGTATGTTCCGATCATCATTGCGATAGCAGCATTCAACCTCTTCGTATTGTTAGAAAGAGAAAGCTAACTCCATATGTGATACAAGCTCGCAGTCTTTGCACGCTCTCTAGCCAGTGCTGCAACGGTGCGTGTGTCGGTGGTACTACTATCAACAAGTTCGTCAAGTACTGCAATTGAGAGCCTTTGGCTATTTGAGATGGTATGCTCTATTGTGTCGGCCCAATCATATATGATGTTACTGACGACAAATTTCCATTGGCAGTTGCCTCGGAAGTTATATATTTTAGTTAACAGGGCACTTGGGGCCGCAAGTGCAGGGTACACAACTTCAAATTTAAATAAATAAACATATTCAAACCTCCAGATAAATTCAATGGGTACGGACTTGATTAGGTGAGTTAAAAATAGTCATCCTATCTCACAGAGGTCTGTTTGTTCCCCTCCTTCAGATATCTTCCAAGTTTGCTTTCTTCTTGGTCTTCCTCCTTTCGACATCCACCAACAGATGGCATTGTCCTGATTTGCCTCTTCTCGTACCTCTCTTTGGATTGCGAGCACCTTACTCGCAGCCTGTATTCTTTAACCCCAAACATACTGTAATGAAAGCTTGTTTTGCCGCGAAGTGTCACGCTGTGACATCTCCGATCCTCGGTCCCTGGTGCAGTCACTTCGTCAGCCACGCCCACCTGTATGCATGTTTGGACTCCATTGACAAATTTGGTAGTGACCAACATCTACGCCCTCCAGGCACAATTTTTCCCACTGAGTCTTCTCCCTCAGCGTCTGTCAAAGACCACGCAATTCTCTCCACGAGACTTTCACTCAATACGCATTTGAGATACTGGCACGACATACTCCATCCATTCTTTACTTACAGTCGCTAAGCTCCATCACTCGACCGCGCCTGCTTCATCCGCCACCATGTCGACTTCTACTGAAGAGAACTTGATCTTTGACTTCGAACTCAGCGAGAATGAGAGGGACTTGATTAGATCTGTTCCCAAACTCCAGGGCGAGTCCAATTGGAGAGCATGGGAGGCGAATCTATTCACAGCACTGGGATGCAACTATCCTATCTGTGTGTGGTTGATTAAAGATCAATTCAAGATGCCCCCTGCTCCCGTTTACGACGATCCGTCTCATGCCAGTGTCAAAGCTCTTCTTTTTGAAGAAGCCACGGGCAACAAAGAGATGGAAAATAACATTACAGAAGATGCCATTGAAGCTCGCTCCATCGAAATCGTCGCTTCAAATCTGTCGCTGCGGGAGCGCCACGCAGACGACGAAGAAAAGTGGGCAACAGCTAACGCCCGAGCTTCCTTCTACCTACGATCTACCGTCGGACCTGAGGCTTTATCCATGATTTTTTACATTCCAAATGTTCGCGAGGCCTACCTTAAGCTGAAAACGGTGTACTGGAGCCCATCGCATCATGCTATCTACCGACGGTTCAAGAAACTTGACCACCTCCGCTACAGAAAAGGAGATCCTGAGACCTTTGTGGTGCGTTTCCAGAAGATCCTTGGGGACTACACTGCGTTTGTTGGAAAAATGACCCCCTTGCAAGAGCTCTGCCACTTCAAGAGAGCAATTATCGGCAGTCCTCGGTGTCGTGTCTTTATCCCAAGCCTCAGGGTTAATGAAGAAGACCCCGACTTGATGAATCAGGTCTACCGCGACTTTGTCACAGCCGTGAGAATATTCCAGACGTTACCAAAGTCCCGATGAGTTTAGGTTGAGACCATGGCCTTTGAGTTCCCATTCGGCAAGGACTCAATTGTTCGTCACATTGTGCATGCTTCTCACCTGGGTGGAGGTTCATTTTCATACTTGTTTTACTTTCATTTCGCTCTAGTTTTGTTTCGCTTTCAATTCTATTATTTTTCACTTTACTATTTGTTTGGCTTCTGTATCAAGCGTACGTTCTTCCCAATGAATGTACCTTAATTTATGCAGGGTTTCGGCACACAGCTCCCACCCATAGCTTGACATGTTCCACCCCCCCCCTTTACCTATCACATCATTTCATTTGGTCAAAAGTTCATCTAGGAAGGCATTTTATTAGCCTCTTCAGCCGAGCCCTATCACGTAGGGCCATGGGAAGTTCAAATAATTTTCATCTGATCTTCAACATGGTAGTCTACGGAAGCCATACTACATCAACCGAGAATATCCCCGATGTGAGCGAACAGCTTTGACGACATGTAATCAATACTTCACTCTGACGATGGTCCCTTCGTTCTCTTCTCTATGCAAGCGATTGACCCTTGAGATACTCACTAGAACATTGATCTAGCATGTGTCGAGGTGGATCATATCTTGGCTGTGGCGAGGATGACCCTTGAATGGGTTCTCGTTCTGTCCCAGTACACTGGGAACGCTGATGTTGCTCAACTATCGACACCATCGAAATCAGTGAAGGTGGCGAGGTCACAATGCGGCGACTCATTTCTTATTCCCTTCTATCTTTTCCACTTCAGACCTATAGGTCCTCTTGGGGAGAACGACTTACTTATTGATAACCAGGAGCTCAGGGAGATTGCCCAGGCAATCTAGAAACTTGAGTTCTCGGGTTGATATTCCTACTTTGGCGTGGTTTTGTCTATCTCTATACTTAATTAGTTGAGTTATGTCTTCTGTATCTTCATTATACAATTTAGCTTCTCTCACACAAAGGGTTCTTTTTTGCCTTTTCCCGTGGTCTACCTATAGATTAGAACTGGAAAGGGGGGAGATCTTGAAGAGATCTAAGAAGAATATATGAGCAGCCTACTGAGAAGGCCGCATAGGCGGCCGTTGACTCTTGCTGATCATTGACCGGAAAGCAACGATCTTTCTAGGACGCCATTCTAGTCCTATAGCTACGGCTGCATGGAACAGCGAGGTTATTGTTATTAGTGGCTTTTTCGGTCCTTTAAACAGGCGTTTAGTTAGCTTATGCGGGTCCTACCACCGCTGGCCCCTGTTGAGAATGATCATCTGACCCCTGTTTGCTCTGCTCCAGGTACCTCGCTTTGCTCCTCGTCTAGACACTTGCAAGGGGTGGATTCATGCAGGGACTGTTTTTTCCATTTGCTTATTTCCTTTGAAGTAATACGGCGTTTAGCGCAGACGATAGTAAGAGCCAGGGTATCTGCTTACGGCCTAGGTATATCCTTGTCTGACATGTGCCATCATACCCCTGTAAAGCCAATCGGTGAAGCCTGAGCGATATCGCCAAGACCAATCAGTGAAGTATATTTGGAGATACAGTCAAGGCCAATCAGGGAACCGTATAAGAAAATATCGGCACATTCCGATGTCTGTTCATATTGCCACCTATTCTTTCATTTCCCGAACGAACTTGTAATCTCCTCGATATAGCCAAGGATGAACTATGTTGCGTACGAGAAAGAATCGGGCAAATGTATCCTATGAGCTCTTCTGGTGGCGGGAGTGTAGACTGCCCAAAGGCTAGCTATATTGGGATGATGTTTGTTGGACAGATATCAAAGTAAGCATTGCAGCTACACATGGGTCGCTTTTAACACTCACCCGCTGCGGATAACAATGTCAATTTGCTCCTTTGTAGACATTATCAGCCCCCTTTGTGGGGTCGTTTTCGGGCTGATTGGCTTGAACAGTCTGCCAATGCTTTATCAGGGTGAGTTCCCGGCAAGCCCGAAGGTCTTATGGGCATATATCGTAGTGCCCAAAACACCGTATGTATAGTATGGAGTATGCGTACAGATATGCCGGCAGCTGACCGACTCATCTTTAGCGGCACCGGGGTCATGTGATTACGTAACTACATGGTATCGGGGCACCTAACTATGCAGGTGTCTTCCAAGAGAGGTCATAACCGACGAGATGGCCTAGAGTACATGGTTAATATAAATATCATCCTCGTTCAATCCTTCCATTGATTCGAGATAGTTTTTCCGGGGCCGAGATTGCCAAGCCGTGTCTTCTGATGCGCCTATCTTTTCAAAATGGAAAAATATTACTGAGAGCCAAACGTGTGTATCTCGGGCCTTCATTGCTTATCGAAGTTTTGTAGTCTCCGTTTTTTTTTTTTCTAACGCTCACACGACACATATAAATGAATTCAGATATCAATATCAGTCAAGTCGCAACCAATGCAGTTCACACTTCTTTTTTTTTTCACTTTTTTGTTCAGCCTCTCAAGTGCTTATGGGGAGAGAATCCCATCCCAGCTAGTTTGGAAGCACACGACCCATATTGCTCCACTCCTACCCGGTGCGGAGAGAGTGTCCAAGAGAAATCGTCGAGGCCAATCAGTGGAGAGGGCAAGGATTACTGTGGCAAGATAATGTTACTGTCTTATCAATTTTGCCGTCGATGTGGTTACATGTGGCTGCAGGGGGCTTCTGGGTTGGCTCTAGGCGAGACAGGACCTCCGCTGTACTCCGTCGGTCAACCCGTTCATTGGCATTTCTTGCAGCCAAACATGACAGGAAGGGAAGAACTCCGTTGGCTAGTGTCTTCTAATCCTTGAATGTTCTTTATCTCCCCCGGAAAATGTAATATGCAATAAAAATTAAATCAAAAGCCAGGATTCGAGGAATGCAGAAAATACCAAATGGGAGATTCCTATTTAATTGCCCATTTCACTTCGTTATAAAAGTCCCGGTTTCCTCGCAGATGAACAAATCTCAGGCGGTCTGAGTTTCCTGGTATTTTTTGAGTTTTACTGCGAATTGTAAATTTCAGACGGGTTGCATTGTCGTACTTTTCATTCCAGTCTCGAGTCTGCGAAGTTGAAGATGGATAAGACACAGGAAGTCGATCCCAGGGGATCGCAGGTGCATCATGTAGATCCTGCATTGGATCCTGAGAATCAGCATCACCATGCTCATCATCACCACACTGCCTTCGCCGAAAAGGGACGTGAGGATGAAGTGATCTACACCAAGGATGTGCCATTTGAGAAAGGCCCGGAGCCAACACCTCTGGAACAGAGCAGCAAAAACTCCGACGAAGAAGCCGGCGAGAACCTCCCAGCCCAGCGTACCTGGTATCGCCGTGTGGGAAGACAATGGAGACATATGGTCCATGCTGTGGTCTGGCTTCTGTTTACTGGGTGAGTGAACTACTGTGGTTCTACTCCGGGCCGCAATCATAATGCTCTACACATACGCTGTACTCAACTCGAGGCTAACACATACTCTTCCTCTAGCTGGTGGATTGCCGGCCTAATCCTACACAGACATGATATCGGATGGCTCAAACCATTCCTACTCTGGCTTGCCATCACCCTACGAATCATTTTCTTTTATGTTCCCATTACTATAATCTCAAAGCCCATGCACTGGGTCTGGGAGCGCACTGCTCATCCTTTCGTACGCTTGATCCCCGAGAAGCTCAGAACACCCGCTGCTGCCCTGCTTTGCATCGGTGTGATCCTTATCGGCGCATTTGCGTCTGAAGAGTCCCTGGATAACACCCGCAAAAACCGTGCCGTCAGTCTGTTCGGAATGATAGTCTGCATCTTTGGGCTATGGGCAACATCTCGAAACCGCAAGAAGATCATCTGGCACACGGTCATTGTCGGCATGCTGGCGCAATTCATTATTGCCCTGTTCGTGCTCCGCACCACTGCAGGCTACGATATCTTCAACTTCATCTCGGAATTAGCCCGTGACTTGCTTGGTTTTGCTGCCGACGGAGTCATCTTCTTGACCAGCAATGATTTCTACAACTTTGGTGACGGATTCCACCCATCACAATTTTTCCTTATCACTGTCTGCGCCGCCATCGTTTTCTTCGTCGCCTTCGTCCAGCTTCTATACCACTGGAAGGTCGTGCAGTGGTTCATCGGCAAGTTCGCCGTCTTCTTCCACTGGAGTATGCGGGTTTCTGGTGCCGAAGCCGTCGTCGCCGCCGCATCCCCCTTCATCGGCCAGGGTGAATCAGCCATGCTGATCCGTCCTTTCGTCGCCCATCTTACCATGGCAGAGCTGCACCAGATCATGTGCTCCGGCTTCGCCACCATCGCAGGAAGCGTCCTGATCGCCTATATCAGTATCGGTGTTAACCCACAGGCAATGGTCAGCGCCTGTGTCATGAGCATTCCCGCCTCACTGGCAGTCTCGAAGATGCGCTGGCCCGAAGAGGAAGAGACCCTCACTGCAGGTCGAGTCGTTATTCCCGACGATGAGCAGCACCAGGCCGCTAATTCTCTTCACGCATTCACCAACGGAACCTGGCTCGGTCTGAAGATTGCTGCCATGATTACATCAACCCTCCTGTGTATCATTGCTCTCGTCGGTCTCGTTAACGGTCTTCTCACCTGGTGGGGCCGATACCTGAACATCAACGACCCCCCACTGACCCTCGAGCTGATCGTCGGATACATCTGCTACCCTATTGCCTTCCTGCTCGGCGTCTCCCGCGACGGGGACCTGCTGTTGGTCGGCAAGCTGATTGGTACCAAGCTTGTTACCGTAAGTTCCCTATCTCTATACATAATCATCTTCTCTTCTAACCAGCCACAGAACGAGTTCGTCGCCTACGATGCCCTCCAGCATAACGCCGAGTATGCAGTTCTTTCGGACCGCTCTCGCCTCATCGTTACATACGCACTCTGTGGATTCGCCAACATCGGCTCCCTCGGTAACCAGATTGGTGTCCTATCGCAGCTCGCCCCTGGTCGGGCTAATGATGTCTCGCGTGTCGCTGTCAGCGCTATGATAACTGGAGCTATCAGTACTTTCACTAGTGCAACGGTTGCTGGCTTGTTGATTACCAATGAGAAGCAATACTTCGCTGCCACCCCCGCCGCCTAGGTACGGGCTGAATTTTAATATGGGTGGTGAACGTTTGATTTCATGGTTTACTTTAGTATTTATTTATTGGGGTTTCCACCCCTGGTCGTATCGACTTCAAAATTATGACACGGAATCGATTTTAATGTGACATATTTTGTTCCTCCACTCCTACAAAGGCAGTAAAGGGAAATCGTCATACAAGACCTCTCAGCTGCACGAATAGTCGGAACCTGTCCTTGATAAAATTTAGGATTTACCACCTCTATACCCCTGCGGAACTAACCTTGCGAAATTCTACAATGCAAAACGAGTGTTCCATACTTTTGCAGATACCAGACACGCAAAGACTATCCAATACGATCTTGGAAGCAAAGTGTACAAGATCAAATTGATCTACAACGACACCGACAATGAATCGATCCACCTCCCTAGGAGCAACGACCAGAAGAAATGAAACGAGAAGGAACCGCCCAAGGATCTTATAGACATGAGTATCTCAAGCCTGTACCGGAATGCGGAGACTCAGAGGTACTAGTAGTAACGATAGAAACAAAGATAAAAAAAGGTGCGTAACCTAGCAAACCAGAAACTCCCAGGCCCAAACCAGGCCCGTTATGCATTTACAGCACGATCTCATCGCCCATAGGTGGACGAGCGGGCCAACCGACGCCGATGCAGAATAAAACAAACAAAAAAAGTATCAAATGCAACGATCTATTCATCGTCCAGATCTTGATGACGTGCGAGAACGTGGCGCTTGAATTCCGCCTGGTCCGAGTCCCAAAGCTCGGCTGCTTGGGCGTTCAGGGGGCTTGCACTGGGTCAATGTTAGTGCTGATGGGAGACAGAAAGGATGTGGACGGGTGGCTTACTTGTTAGGCTCGCCCAGCAAGCTTTGCAAGCTGAGCAGGACACTCGAGACGTTGTAGACGGCGCTCCACTTGTCCTTGAGGATGTCGAGGCAGATGCGGCCGGAGAAGTCGACGTTGGGGTGGTAGATTGGGGTCTTGAAAAGGACTGTCGGGGGCGAGTAGGGGTAGTTGTTTGGGAATTCGAAGGATAGTTTCAGTGTGAGGCCCTCGTAGGGAGTCTCGGTCGGACCGGTGATAGTTGCTGTCCAAGAGAGGAGGTTGCCGTCTGCGTCCGGGAAGGCGGAGATGCCGGGGGAGGGTGAGAGCATGAGTTGCATAAGCTCAGCTTGCAGGCTGTACGGACGAAAGAGATGAGGTTAATTATACGTGTCATCTCGAGTAGCAAACGGGATTGTGGAGCTGTTTGTAGGTGCTGGGGAGACGAACCGTTTGGTTACGCTCTGGGTGTCGGTTTTTTGACCGGAGGTGTTCAGCTTGTTGGCTTGCTGCGCCTCGGGCGCTGAGTTCTGCGTATCTTCCATGCTGTAGTCCATTGTGGATTGGGAGGTGAGGTAATTGAGGTGAAGAGATAGTAAGGTGAATTTTGTGGATTCCTTGTGGAATGCTTGTAACAGTAGCACGAGGGTTTGGAATGACGCCGGATGCGTAAGGACCCACGGAGGACTTTAGAGGAAGATTTTAAAGGAGAGATAAATTGGGAGAATGGAGTGGATTTATGAAGTGAACAAAGTGAAATTGAACAAAGAGGAAAATAGAAGTTTTGTTTACTCGGCCCTTGGAACACCCCGGGCAACGCGAGGACCCCGCTTAGGTGAATTTACTTGGACCACCCGTGGTCTTCAGTGAAAGAAAATGCAATGATACTTGATTATATATGTAAAACTGTACAGTCTAAATCAAAGCAATATTTAACAGAAGACAAGAATCAGTACAATTGAAAAGATAATGTAATGGTCGATCTGGCAAAGTTAGTGCGATCGTCGACAAATGAACTGCGGGTCTGCAGTTTCAAGGTATTAATAGTATTAATAGCATATGTAGTATAATAATATAGTACAGCATAGTCACATACGTATCAAACAGTAGAGATCTAGCAGTCAACCTATCTCCTCGTCTATTTTCAAGGGCTCTATTGGGTCTTTGTCAACAGACTACCCGATCAGGATAAAGTGGTCCGCGTCTTGTCCCGCGTTTCGCTACCCTTGCTTCGACGCGACATTTCAGCCTACCTGGTTTCTCACTCGTTATGCCATTTTAATCTTAATTGATATCCTGTCTCTGCGTGTATTTTACTGTTACATTCAGTTGCACTTTCTGAAACGTCCCTGTGGTCTTCCTCAAAATGCAGCATTCGCAGCTGGCCCCGCTTCCGAATGATGTGCCGTTTCGCATCGTGTCCAAGACTATCGGGCAAGGTGCCTATGCATGGTAAGAATAGGATGCGTCGCATGAGAGTGCTAAATCTGACTCGATTCATCTCATCTAGCATAAAAAAAGCCTGCCCTTTAGATTCGGAGAATCCAGTCTTCGCTGTCAAGTACATCCACAAAGATTACGCCGCTCGACACGGGAAGATCAGCGCAAGACAATTACAACTGGAAGTCACGGTACACAGACACGTCTCGGGTCATGGGAATATTATCAGTTTCTATCAGACAGGCGAGGATGAGGTGTGGCGTTGGATCGCAATGGAGTTGGCCGAAGGCGGGGATCTCTTCGATAAGATCGAGGCCGACGAAGGTGTGGGGGAGGATATCGCCCATGTCTATTTCTCACAGCTTGTCAGCGCTGTCAGCTTTATGCACTCCAAGGGCGTCGGTCATCGCGATATCAAGCCTGAAAACATGCTTTTGACCGGCGACGGGAATCTCAAGATCGCGGATTTTGGTTTGGCGGCGCTGTTCGAATACAAGGGAACGCGAAAACTCTCAACCACATTCTGTGGCAGTCCCCCATATATTGCACCTGAGGTGATTAGCCGCAGTACCCGGGGTCAGAACAAAGGAGCTGGGTATCATCCAGACCTAGTGGACATTTGGTCTTGTGGCATCGTGCTTTTTGTCTTGTTGGCTGGCAACACGCCGTGGGATAGCCCGACAGACGATAGCTTCGAATATCACGAATATGTTGCCACAAAGGCGCGGACTACTGATGAGCTCTGGAAGAAACTACCACCCGCTACATTATCACTTTTACGTGGGATGTTGACGGTGGACCCCGAGAAGCGGTTCTCACTAGAGGATGTCCGAAGGCATCCTTGGTACACTCGTGCAAACAAATATCTCTCCACAGATGGCAGGCTGAGGGACTCAATTAATCTTGCCACTTCGATGTTCGAATCCCTTCATATCGACTTCAGCCAAGATCCCCTCTCCCAATCAGGAAAAGGGTCGAGTCGTAGCTTTGATCCTATGGACATGGACGATGACGGTGGAAATGCAGGGTTCTCGTCCACGCAACCAGAGATGTTGGGTGGTGGCATGTTGATGGACTGGGACAGTCCACAAAACGGGGATGTCTTTTCTTCGTCCCAGCCCTTTGGGAAGAAGTTTGCGTCCCAGGATGCAGCGATGGCAGGGCATCTCGAAGATGAACCTTCAATGTCACAATTCTCGCAGCAGCCTTCGGTGCCTGTGAGTCGAACCCAGAACGCACAAAGGTTCCAGGATATCATTCCCTCGCGTTCAATGACACGTTTCTATTCTGCATGGGAACTCAAGCTTCTCGTGCCTCTCATTTGTGAGGCCTTTCACCGACTGGGGGTTCCAGTTCCGAGCGTCCCTGCTGTTGGCGCTGAAGATACTTCTGCCATGATTCGCGTGATTGCCAAGGATGGGAGGATGTGTCCACTGCAAGGTAAAGTGCTCATCGAGTGTGTCTCGGAGGGATTGTTTGAAATCGAATTCGTCAAAATCAAAGGTGATCCACTTGAATGGCGACGTTTCTTCAAAAAGGTGGCTATCCTGTGCAAGGATGCTGTCTTTAGACCAGATGAGTAGAGCTGCCTGCCTCTGTGGATAGCTGTCTGCTTTTTTTTTTGCTTTTTTTAACACTTTGTTTGCCTACATAATTTTTCGGATGTACGATTCATGACCGATTGATGGTGGGGGAATTTGGCTGGACTGGAGTTTGTGCTGTGGGAACAAACTCATATCAAATACTTTCTAGTTCTAAGATGCATATAGATTCATAGATGGTTCTATATCTTAATTCTTTGTTTCCCCCCCATTAATGTGTAGTGTAAAATGTACTTTTGGAATATAAACATAGTACATGATATCGAATATTCTATGGTTATCGACGGTACTTTTAGTTTCCGTGTATAGAAGTTATCAGAATGTTCTCCCAGAATAACTCTATGGTGGATCTCCGGAAAGGCCTCCCGAACCTGTATTCACTCCATCACTGTAAACGGTTTTTTTTATGCTTGAAGACTCAAAACAATTTGCATCCTTCATCCCATGAATCCACGTGACAGTCTGGAGTGCAGATCGCGGGGAAAATCCGAAGAGTCTAGATTTTTGTGCAATAAGAGGCCCCGTTGACTTCCCACTGCCCTCAATGCGGTTGATCCTTCTCCATGGATAAGCTGCCGGTAGAGATTCTGTCCAAAATCATCGATTGTAAGCTTTCCGGACCTTCCAAAATTCCCCCGCATTGTCTCGAGAACTGATAGTGCGATAGACCTCGCGCCACGAGAAAAGGTCCAACTCCAATGCATCTCAAAAAAGTTCTTTGAACTCGCCCGTGATAATAATCAATGGAGATTGCATTGTTATGACCAGTCATGGGCTGCTCGAACTGCCCGCTCCGCTGCCAGGCCATCGGAGAGTGTTATCGCCGACGCGACTGTTTCGTTGACGACTCTAGGGCAGGAATCGCTACGCGATATCATTCAGCCTTCTGCCCCGCCCTCGAACGGAGATTCTGATGATATCCGGGGACTATCTGCAGGTGAGAGGGCGAGGGCAGCAGCGGAATGGGACTCGTCGGCTGAAGGGGAGCATGTGGACTGGTATTCAGAATATATTGCTCGCCACGCTCCCATCTCTTTATCATGGGTCGAACAGCCATCAGTCCGCAGTGGTGAAGGGAAGAAAGGGCAGTCCTATGAGGTCAAAGGCATGGGGCTGCTCAAAGACTGGAGTTCAGCCAGGCAAAATAAGATCGTTGCCCCGCTTGAAGATGGCAGCGTCTGTATCTGGGATCTGAACCACTCGCACTCGGCTGACTCCCAAGCAAGTAAAGGCAGGATCCTTGGTGTTAGTGACCCTGGCATTCTCATGACCAATTTGTCTGGTCGTCGGGATCATTCACCCTCTAAGACTTCATTGGAGTTTATAAATCTAGGCGAGGGGGTGAGCGTGGATTCTCTACGACAAAGAGCCTACCTAGCAGTTGGGAATGTCCTCAATGAAGTTGACCTGGAGACACTAAAGGTGATTTCACAGCAGCGGTATCCCTGGTCGATCTTCGCCCTTTCCCAGGAGACTGATTACTCTGTGCCCTTGACACTAGCGACTACGCTTAGTCTGCAGATATATGACTCCAGGCTGTCTGCCGTTGAGGAAGAAGAGGCGATCAGCTCGCGATGTGAGCAGGTGGCCAGCTCATATACTCCCGAATTGGATATATTTCCCCATTCTGACTCACCCTTGTTCCAACTCCAATCCAATGGACAGCCACCTACTCGTATTCGCAGTCCGGGACCCTCAGATACAGGAGCCAACTACGCGCCGCTGTTCCAACCTGGTCCTCTTTCGATCCTGCATCCACCAGCTCCTCATGTGAATACCATTCTCCTTGCGGGGCGCTTCCCCAGCATCCTATGTTATGACCGCCGCTACTTTCCTCGGCTACAGACCACAGTCCATTCCGGCGGCCGACTATGTGGTCTTGCCTCAGTACCTGCGCCTCGATTCCCTGTCTTCTCAGACCCCACCTACCCCGAGTCACATTCTGTTGTGGCATGTGGAGACTATAACGGACGGGGTTCGCTGGAACTCTATAATCTCAAATCAGTATCCGAAGGCCATAGCCCCTCGAACATGACATCCACCCTCAGTCCAGAATACAAGAACCGCCAAAGCGCCGCGAGCTCTAAATTACTTTCCGTGGGGTCGCACGGGAATCGCATCGTCTTTTCTGACGCCGAGGGGAACATCAAATGGACTGAGCGAAACGGTCGTTCAGAAGTCCGACGGTGGAATATCAACACCTCCCAGCCTCAGATTCCATTCGGTCGTCGCAGCCGACAGCAAGACGTAGGGGCAGAAGAGGATCAGCAACCGCGCGGGCTCTGGCCTTCCCAATCACCAGGAAATAATGAGGTAGCTCGCAAAATTCTCCCCACTGGTGGAAATCTCACTGGAGATGAGCTTCTTATCTGGACTGGAGAGCGCATTGGTCATCTCAAGTTCTCCATTTCTGCGAATCATGAGACGGAGGTTGAAGTTGATGACGATGACGATGTGTTTATGCATGCAGAGGTCGATGAAGCTACACGCGAAGAGATGCGACATAAACGGCGTGATGATTGGGAGAGAGAGCAGAGGTATGGGGACTACATGCGCCGCGCGCTTGAGAGACAGGCGGATGAGGTCCGCTGGATGGGCAGTCAAGGGCTTGGTTGATAGTAATTTCCTCGTATCTATTGCATCTGATACCTGGTCTCAAAAGCATGAATATATCTATATTTGGATAGTAATCCACGGAGTATAGAACCACCATCTCAAAACTCGGAACCAACGAAATTCCTAGACCTCGGAGCGAAGATTCCCCTTCTGGGCTCCCGAGGCTTAGCAATCGCCCGATCCGCAGCTCGGCTCCCCCGCGCCGATATCACGGACATTTCTAATGTTCTTGTCAGCCAGTGACTCAGTCTCCAGTTTTCTTCTTTCTTGGTCCTAAGACAATTCGAATATTCTTTCTCTTCATTCATTGTTTATTCACCCCTCAATCACATATCTGGCACCCTGGTGCATAAACTATTCGTCGGAATTCCGCAGTGAGGGGCAAAAAAGAAACCAAAATGCCTTCACCCACAGAGATTGCACACCAATTCGACTCAATTGAGGATTCAATTGCAGCATTTAGTAAGTCACTTTCTCGCACAGGGAATTGACTTCACCAGCATGAGCATCGAGGTGCTCGCGGCGCTTTCCGAACCGAACAACCGACTAACGAAGGCCTACAGAGAATGGCGAATTCATCATTGTCCTCGATTCGCAAGACCGCGAAAACGAAGGTGACCTAATTATCGCCGCCGAGTCCGTCACAGCCGCCCAGATGGCTTTCCTGGTGCGTTATACAAGGTAAGAGCGCCACCCAAGACACCGCCGAGACACAACTACAAAACCCTATACCCTCCTTTTATCTCCCCGCAATAGCATACCTAGAAAGATAAATGCGCCGATCCCAGTCACATGCCAGCAAACCTCGCTAATACTCCCAAAACACAGCGGTTTAATATGCGCCCCCATTACACCGGACCTCGCCACCCGCCTCGCACTCCCACAAATGGTGGCCGAGAACGCCGACCCTAAGTGTACAGCATACACAGTCACCATCGACTCCAGCGACGACTCCGTGACGACAGGAATATCTGCCGAGGACCGCGCGCTGACTTGCCGCACGCTCGCCTCACCCACGGCGCAGATCGACTCCTTCCGCCGGCCGGGTCATATTATTCCGCTCCAGGCGCGCCCGGGTGGCGTGCGCGAGCGAACGGGCCACACCGAGGCTGCGGTGGATTTCTGTAAGCTTGCTGGCAAGGCGCCTGCTGGTGTTATTGCCGAGCTTGTTGAGGAGGAGGGGGAGGTTGTTGAAGGTGTTGCGGAAGTCGGGGGCAATAATGGTATGATGCGTCGCGATGGATGTTTGCGATTTGGAAAGAAGTGGGGTATTAAGGTGTGTACTATTGAGGATCTAGTGTTGTACTTGGATCGTGTTGAGGGTGGTGCTACGAATGGAAAGCATTGAGCGGTGGACTTGAGTTTGATTTAGGGCCACTGTTTTGATCAGATCGCTTTCGTTGGATCGTGTGCTTCGGGTTACCTTGTACATCACTACGCCTTCTTTTGGATACCTTTTTTAGATGAATTGATGCATATGGATAGATTTGTGCCTCCGGTTGGTGAAAGTTTGGGCGTAGAGAGACTGCTTGGACGAACATTGGGAGACTAAAGGCTATATACAGAACATTTCTCTGTATGCCGTCTCGTCCATGTATAAATTCGACGAGGAAAACATCCAAGTTTACCAAGATGACAGAACAACAACACAAGGCCGCATAAACGAACGACTACTATGGTGCGTACATGTGAGTGAATAGTAGGATTGTAGTAAGGAATCAATTGACTGGTGTATTTGGGTATCTATCATTTTCTGCGTGTAGTGTACAAATGTCAATGCTGTCGAAGCATGTGTAAAAATCTTGGATGGGCTTCCATGCGCAACAACGAGTCCGCATGCAATTTCCTGAGAACGCTAAAGCAATGCAAAGCAATGAGTATATCAAAGCAACTTTTGATGTGGCAACGAATGAAGTGAAATCCTCGCGACAGCCCTAAACAACTCCCTTACCGTTTGAGATGCGAGTAGTCCCTGAGGATTCCTGTCATATGAGTGTTGGTGGTCTTGCCACTTCGGCGTGGCTTCTTGGCTTTCTTAGACGGCGCAATGACCCGAGGACCAACCACCTTGTTCTTGTTGGTGGGTGTGATGCCGAACTTATCCAATTCTTCTTTCACTATATTGGCATCGGGAACTTTGATCTTCTCCCAAATCTGCTTGAACTCATCGTCAAAATGTTCAATTAGGGACGGGTCGTTCGGCCACACCATCTTGGGATGGTCGTCCTTCTTGTTTCGAGTCACAAGCAATTTTCCCTCCTTCTCCATCTGGTTGATTTCCTCTTCAACGGTTGGCCAACCCTCCCTGAGCTCGCGAACACTCATACCCGCCGCAGTCTTCTGGGCTTGGAGGTATTTCAGGAGTTGCTCCGAGTTGCGAATGTTGTGAGGTGGCCGGAATCTGAATGTACCCTCGCCGTTCGCACCGCTCGGGTCATACTCAACCTTCTCGTGTATCTGCAGAATTCTCCGAAGAGCCTGCACATAGCCTTGGTCATGTGCTCGGTGCTGGAGGGAGAGGTACGAGACGATGTCCGAGAACTTGAGTGGCACGTTCTTGTTCTTCATGTGCTCGATCGCAAAGAGCACTTGCGTCATGATATCTTTGCCTGTTCCGGTATTTGCCGGCTGGGAGTAGACGATATCCGGGTCATGGCGCTTCTTTTTTATCTCGGTGGCGGATGACGGGGTCGGTGCAGAAGATGGGACTTGTGAACTGTTGGCAGAGACCGGTTGGTTACCGGCCACACGTCGTTGTGTTGGCATACGGTTTGCCGACTCCACAACACTAGCGTTGAAGCTTTTGAGCTGATTCTGAAGGTACGACATGGTTGCGAGGGAGGATCGGAGATCGCTGGGACTCAAGGGAAGGATGGAACGGAGGTGAGATGGTAGCCACTCAGTTTGAGGCAGATGGAGCTGGAGGGTTCAAATGGCGCGTGGCATAGATAGTGTGAGTGACGTCTGAGAGAAATTATGGCAATACACCTGAAAAGGGCTGTGTATGGAATGAGGACACCCTTGTCAAGCAGTTAAGCTTCGAGGAGAGTACCTAATAAAAGATTGAAGACAAAGAATGTCACGTGCCGCAGCTCAGCAACCCCAAAGCGCGGAAATGGATCTGGGACGCCCTTGGAATCACCTCACCACCATTTCTTCCAATTACCATTTCGTTCAATTCTCCGTCTTCTCCCCTCAGAAGACACACATATCTCTTATTCAGATCGTCATGACCTGAGGTCCCTCGCCCAGCGCTGTGTGTAGTTGTCTCTGAACAGTACACGGCGCGCCCGTCCTCGAAGACCCAGCTCTAGCTTGCGCCGCATTTGCTTACATTTCCTCATTTCTTCACCACGGCAGCTCAGTGCTGTTGCTGGCTGACAATATGGCCGACACTGCCATCCAACTACCATACCTATCCTCCCACTATGCGCTTCCCGAATCGACACTCACGACCTTGCAGCAGGCCCCAACTGTGGAGCTTGTCAATCAACTGTTAGAATCAATCAATAAGAAGGCCCACGAATCCGACGAGCTCAAGTCCGACAAGCTTCGCTTAGAAGTAGAGCTTGAGAATGCCGTGCGCAGCAATGAGTCGAAGGTCAAGGTTCTGAAAGCCACCGTTGAGAAGGGACACGCGGAGGTCGAAGATCTGAGGAAAAAGCTGCACGAAGCTGGTACACCTCTCTCCGTCCTTTTATCACTGACGAGCTTTTCTCTGACATTTAATAGAAACTACCCGTTCCTCACTCGAGACAGAGATCTCTACACTGAAATCCTCGTCCACATCCAACGAATCTGAAACAACGTCTTTGAAAGCGCGTATCTCATCTTTAGAGGCATCTAACAGGGACACATTGGGCTTGCTCGAATCGAAATCTGCGGCCTACGACAAATTGGCAGAGGAGCTCTCTCTCCAGCACAAGAAAACCATCGAATTACGACGTGAACTCTCCACTGCGGAGCAAAGTCTCCAGAATGCCAATGCGGCATCTGCAAGCGCCCGCTTCCGCGAACAGAGCCTTCAACAAGAACTGGATCTCACCAAAAAGAACAATGAATGGTTCGAGACTGAACTCAAGACCAAGTCTGCTGAATACATCAAGTTCCGTAAAGAAAAGGGTGCCCGGATCTCAGAGCTTCAGCGCGACAACGAAGAAGCGAACTCAACAATTGACTCTCTTCGGCGAAGTGAGAACTCGCTCAAGAGTCGCTTGGACGAAACAGAGCAGCGATACGAAACATCTCTGGCTACTATTCATCAGTTAAAAGAGGAAGCTATCCAGGCAACTGAATCCTTCCGCATTGAACTTGACAGCTCCAACCGACTGGCTGAACTGCAAGGCTCTGCTGCCCAGACGGCCAAGGAACGTGTCCAAGAATGCCAACTCGCCCTCGAAAAGACCAAGGATGACGCAGCACAGGAAATCTCACGCCTTCGCGTTGAGCTTGAGACAGAGTCTAACGACAAAGGAGCTGCGGAGCGCCGAATTGGCGAACTCGAGGCGCTTGTTGCCCAGCTTGAGTCTGAGCCTGCCAGAGGAAGATCTGCAAGCCCGGCCCTCTCTCTCAATGGAGGTGCACCCAGTACACCTTTACGATCCAGCATCATCCGTGCTAGCACTCCTACGGGCTCTTTCTCCCCCCGCGCATCCCGTGGTAAGGGTGGTATGAATGTTACTCAAATGTACGCTGAGTACGACAGAATGCGAACTGCTCTTGCAGCGGAGCAGAGAACCTGCCAAGAACTACGCAATACCGTTGACGAGATGGTTCAAGAACTTGATTCAACCAGACCCGAGATTGAGGAGGGACGGGCAGAACAAACCCGTCTCGACCATGCTGTTGTGGAAATGTCGACTCTCCTCGAATCAGCCGGGAAAGAACGGGATGCCGCCCTTAAGGAAGCCAGGAAATGGCAAGGTCAAGTTGAGGGATTAGCCCGCGAGGGCGATATTCTACGCCAGCAACTTCGCGATCTGAGTGCGGAAGTCAAGGTTCTCGTCCTGGAGGTTGCTGTCGCAAAACATGGCGAAGACTACGACCGCGAGGAACTCGAGAGAATCGCTCGGGGTGAAGTTGAAGAGTCAGCGAAGGATCTGAATGAAACTGGCCGCTTTATCAGCAAGCACCTCACAACTTTCAAGGATCTCCATGAACTCCAGGAACAGAATCATACTCTCCGACGTATGTTAAGGGAACTTGGTGACAAACAGGAAGGCGAAGAGGCGCAAGCCAAGGAAACTGCGCGACGAGCAGACATCGAAGAGTTGAAAGAATTGCGGATCCGGGCACAGACAAACCGTGATGAGATTGCGAACCTCAGCGCCCAGATGCAGAGCTACGTCAAGGAGCGCGACACATTCCGCAGTATGCTCATGCACAGAAAACCTACCGTTGACGACCAGTCTGTCTTCTCACAATCCATGCCTCTGGGTGCTGCTCCTCAAGGAGGTATGGAAACATCAGGACCTGACTACGCTGAGTTGCTCCGAAAGGTCCAAGCCCATTTTGACACTTTCCGCGAAGAAACGACGACAGACCACAAAGCCCTGCGCCAGCAGGTCAATGAGCTGTCGCGTAAAAACAGTGAGCTTATGTCTGATATCAGTCGGTCAAGTAGCCAGCTTGCTGCCGCTACCCAGCGTGCGGAGCTTTTGCAGAGCAACTTCAATATGCTCAAGAATGAGAATACTGAGATCCAAAAGCGCTATTCTGCTCTCTTTGAAAATGCCAACCGACAGGATCTCCGCACTCAGCAAGCTGCCGAAGACCTCGTAGAGGCTAAGGGTCTTGCTGAGAGCCTTCAGAGAGAAAACGCCAATCTGAAGGCTGAGAAGGATCTTTGGAAGAACATTGAGAAAAGGCTCATTGATGATACCGAGAATTTGCGGAATGAGCGCAGTCGTCTGGACTCATTGAACGCAAACCTTCAAACCATTCTCAACGAGCGTGAACACACCGACTCCGAGAGCCGACGCCGTCTCCAAGCCAGCGTCGAGGCTCTTGAAACCGAATTGCAGTCGACGAAGCGTAAGCTCAATGAGGAAGTGGAGGAATCCAAGAAGGCTAGTATGCGCCGGGAGTATGAGCAGGAGACATCACAAAAACGAATCGATGATTTGGTCACAAGCTTGGGCGCAGTCCGCGAGGAGCTAGTTGCCGCTAAGACCACTCGGGATCACTTGCAGTCCCGCGTGGATGAGCTTGCAGTTGAGCTTAAGAGCGCCGAAGAGCGTCTGCAGGTGTTGAACTCGAGACCAAGCGTGTCCGCTGGTACCACCGAGGGACCTACTGAGGGAGAGGAGTCTGCTGATGGAACTGGTCTCTCTCGCGAGCAGGAGCTTTCAATTGAAGTTTCCGAATTGAAACGAGACCTCGAATTGGCAAAGGGTGAATTAGAACATGCCAAGCAATTGGCTGAAGACTACCAGGCCATCAGCCAAGCGAGTGAGGAACGCCTGGAGTCCGCCACCGAGACACAGGAGCAATACCGCGAAGAGACTGATCGCCTTGTGGAGGAGAAGAACACCAAGATTCAGGACCTCGAAACTCGCATTGAAGAGATCTCGGCTGAACTGTCTGCCTCAAACACCGAGATGACCAATCTCCGCGAAGAGCAAGCGGAGGCAATGCGCCGTCTGGAAGAGCAGAAGGCAAACTTCGAGTCGGAAATTACCCGTCTCAAGGCTGACAATGAACGCCATGTTACCGCTGCCCAGTACCACCAGGAGGATCTGAATGCGCAGGCTGAAATCGCCAAGCATGCCCAACAGAACTACGAGACCGAGCTTGTTAAGCATGCTGAGGCAGCGAAAAATCTGCAGGTTGTTCGTGCAGAGAGCAATCAACTCAAGCTCGACATCGCTCAATTGCGAACCGAATCCGAAGGCTACAAAACGGATCTGTCTCAAAAGGAGGAAAGCTGGGCGGAGCAACGAGCCGCCTACGAGGGTGAGCTCTCTGAACTGCAGAAGCGCCGGGAGGAGGTCCTTCACCAGAACTCCGTCCTTCACACCCAGCTCGAGAATATCACTAGCCAGATCTCGTCCTTGCAGCGTGACCGAATGAATGTCTCGGACGACGAGCAAGAGGGAGAGCAGGCGGCACCCAACCTTGAGGGTCTGCAGGAAGTCATCAAGTTCTTGCGCCGCGAGAAGGAGATCGTCGAGGTCCAATACCACCTTTCGACCCAGGAAAGCAAGCGACTCAACCAGCAACTCGACTACACTCAGTCTCAACTCGATGAGACCCGTCTCAAGCTTGAGCAGCAGCGTCGTGCTGCGGCCGACAGCGACCACAACGCGTTGAACCACAGCAAGCTGTTGGACACTATCAATGAGCTCAACGTTTTCCGCGAAAGCAACGCTACTCTCAGAAACCAACTGAAACAGACAGAGGCCGTGCGCGATCAAAAGATCGCCCGCGAGAATGAGCTGGTCCAGGAGATCGAACCCCTCAAGACCAGAATCCACGAGTTGGAGAGTCAGAGCGAAGCCAAGGATGGAGAAATGCAGCTTCTACAGGCGGATCGCGACCGATACCAACAACGTATCCAGAATATTCTGCAAAAGTACGATCGTGTGGATCCTACTGAGATGCAGGAGCTGAAGGAGAAGCTCACCACCCTCGAGAAAGAAAAAGCCGAGGCAGTATCCGAGCGCGAAGCTCTCCAGACCCAGATGGAGGCACTTCAGGCTCAAATCGCGCAGTTCCCAGAGCAGCTCAAGCAGCATTCCGATGAACGTGCGCAGGAATTGCGATCTAAGCTCACAGAGCAATTCAAGGCCCGCTCTAAGGACCTTAGCGCTCGTGTCAAGGCCAAGCAAGATGAGCTCAATGTGGCGTTGCAGGAGAAGGAGGTCATCCAAGCCGAGCTTCAGACCACAAAGAGCGAATTGGAGGCATTGAAGACCAAGTTGGCAGAAGCGCCAGCCAATGTGGCTCCTGCTCCTGCTCCAGTACCAGCTGCAGCCGCGGCCGCAGGCGAAGAAGCCCCCGTCAACGCTACTCCAGCTTCACAATTCCCAACTGCGACCGTGACTGTCCCTGGTCCTGGCGACGCTCAGAAGATTCAAGCCCTTGAGCAGAAGATCCAGCGGCTCGAGGCAGCCCTTGCCGAGAAAGATAATCTTCTGGCAACACAGGCCAGCGAACATGATGCTAAGATCAAGGAACGCGCCGAACGCCTTAAAGAGATGTACAACTCCAAGCTTAACGAGGTCAGAGTTGCTCATCGTCAAGAACTTGAAAAGATTTCCGCCAGTGAACAATCCGTTCCTGGAACACCTGGTGCGGCCCCGGATGCAGCCCCTGCAACGCCTTCAAAGACGCTCGAGCTTGCCGGATTTACCATTCCCGAGTTGACAGATGCCCAAGCAAGAGAGCTGGTTGCGAAGCATGAGACTATTCGCACCATTGTTCGAAATAATATTCGCAGTCAAGTGGCGCGCGAGCAGCAAAGGTTGCAACAAGAAGCGCAAACTTCCTCCGGTGCCAATGAAACCGCATTGGCTGAGCTAAAACAAAAGTCGACCGAGGAAAGGGAGGCCTTGCTCAAGGCCCATGAGAATGAAATCAAGGAGAAGGTCACCTCCGCGGTTGAACTTGTCGAAAAGAAGACAGCTGCTCGCCTCAGCATGCTCGACACCAGATTCCGCACTGCGAATGCCAAGATTGATGTGGTATCTAAAGCTGCGACGGAAACCCCGCAAAAGCCCGTCGTTGAAGTATGGGAAATCGCAAAGACGGCCCGGCCTGCACCAGTCGCGGTTCCGGCTGCTAAGCCCCCGGTACCAGCGGCTCCAGTCCAACCCGCTGGTCCCGCTCCTACTATAGCAGCGCCACAAGCCCCAGTTACAGCCCCATCAGCGCCCGTCTCTGCTCCTGCCACTGTCCCTGCCGTCGCAGCCCCGAGTGCACCAACGGAGCAAGCCACTCTTGCCACAGCGCCTTCCCAGCCTGCTGCCCCCCAGCAAGGCGAGGCACAGCCTACAGCACCAGCCAATCCATTCGGGCAAGTTCAGCAACCCGATCAAAATCAGCAGGCCTCTTCTCTCCCCAGCAAACCTCCCGCTGGAAACCCACCTGGTCTGATGCGAGCTCTTCAATCTGGGCTTCCTATTGCACGAGGTGGACGTGGTGGGCGTGGCGGTGGCCCGCAATTTGGCCATCAACAACATGACCAGCAGCAGCAGCAGCAGCAGGGTCAAGGTCACGGCCAGAGCCAAAACCAGCGCGGCTCAGGACTTCAGCGAGGTCGCGGTGGTCGTGGTGGACAGGGTCGCGGTGGTAACCAAAATCAAAGCAACGTTGCCCAAACCCAGAACCCCGCTGCCACTCGTGGGAACCTGAATGCTTCGGCCCGCCAGTTCATTCCCGGGGGTAACAAGCGCTCTCGTGAAGATGGTCCCGACACAACCACCGAGGGTGGAAGCGGTGGAAAGAGGCAGAGAGGCGGCGGTGGCCCGCAGCCTCGTGGCGGAGCTTAACCAGCAATCCTCGATTATCCTTTTGTATTCCATTGATGTATTCTCGATTTCATTGACAAATGCGGTGTGGATTCGTTCATGAATAGGTTTCTTCGTCTGCGTATGCCATATGACGCATTGCTTTTCATGTTCTGACCTGCTATTTACAAATCAGTTCCTTTTCTTTTGTCTTGTATCTATTGAATGTGTGGCGTTCCTACGGGTTTTTATTGCTACTTGCAATTGTTCCAATTGATAGAGTTCAATTGCAAAGTATCTCGTGCATTATCCATCTAAATATCCACAAAACACTGGCCACCGTAAACAAAAATTGGGGTATAAGCTGCTAAAGACACGAATCTATCCAAGAAAACAAATTTCGTTTGACGCATAAGAACGCAAGTTAAACAAGAGAAGAGAGCACCTTGAAATCACTTCTTTCTCCCCCAGCAGTAGGAACAAGCATTCTCCCAAGTACCTCCCTCTCCTTCTGCAAAACCATCAACCTCGCATCCTCAATGACCTTGCCCGCCGGCGCAGGACCAGGAAGAGGCGTTTGTGCAACCTGCGCTGCACCCACAACAGCCGGACTCAAGTCCTTCACACCACGAGCTCTCTTCCTCCGCATCCCCGGTCCCTGCCCATAGACAACAACCCACTCAGCGACGGATCCACCAGCTACAATCTCACAACCGGAACACACCTTCGAGTGCGCACCGATATCCGCGCCCCGGCGAATCGTCGCCAGAGCCTCGATCGTAGCAGAGGAATGGATATGAGCACCGGGTTCAACCGTTGCCAACGGACCAACAGTAACAAAGTATGAGATCCGCGTCGATATCTCCTTCCTAAGCTCGGGCGTCGACGCCCCAGACTCGGTGGGTGTTGTGCTTGCTGGTCTGGACGGCGACGGTGAGCGAGATGAGGCTGGCGGTGCGCCGATTACCGCTTTCTCGCAGATTATACAGCCGTCTTCGACGAAAATTGGGCCTTCGTATGCGTAGAATTTCGCGCGCGGGTGGATGACTGTCCCTGCACCAATAGTGACGGCGTATCGGCCTTGGAAGACGACGCTGTCGGCGATTGTGGCTGTTGGGTCCGCTTTCAGGGGCGCTTTTGGTGGCCCGGAGCTGTGAGAGGATGATGAGGAGCGGTGGGTATTTGTTGGAGGCTTGAGTGTCGCCATTTTGGTAGATTGTGTTGCAGGAGTTGTGCTTCGGGAGATTCGTGTTGTATGATAGCATGGCGGAGCTAGCGCCGCTTTTTGGGGTACGATTCTTAGTCAGCTCCATAAAACGCTCGATATAGATCTATCCACCTGTACAACATAAGTTGAGATGCCGAGATACTCATTTCGTATAGAAGAACTGAGATATACCATAGGAAAGCGTATTCTTCTTATATTCCAAGCCGGGGTATCTAAAATGCAAAACCCAGTCTAAAGCGCAACATCCCCCAATGCGAAGCGTAAAAGTCCACCAGACAAGACCTTATGATTCCTCCACGGTCTCTTGCTTGATACCATTGCGTTTTCTCCAAGCTCTAACGCCCCGGTCAACCTCGTCCCTAGTCATCCCATCGCGTACCAAGCAAAATGTGACGCCCAACTCCGTCTCCACGTTCCGGTTCCGCGCCTCGTCATCGAAGAACAGCATATCCTCATAAGCAATACTGCTTGTCTGCTGGATTTTCGAGAAATGAGAGGTTTTATTCCCGGGGAAGATCTGGATGAAATCAAAGTAATCGAGGGCGCGGATGGTCTTAGCGTTCGCGGCAGGATTATCGGAGAAAGTGGGGATGATATGCAAGGATTTGAGCATGTCGCGCGCCAGATCGGGGGCATGGGTTCGGGATGCAAGGGCCAGTGGGATCGAGCGATGCTTGCAGGCATAGACTATGGACGAGACAGCCGGGTAGAACGCGAAGGACTCACCCCATCTATTTGAGATAAGGAATGCGGGGTTAGGAATCGGAGTAGTTTCGAAAGGGTCAAATAATATCAATCATGGGAATTGTCTTACCGGTCGACTGCACGCGAGTTATTGTCGCGTGCCTTGACTGGGGCGCTGACGTGTGTATCGACCCAGAACGGCCATAAGGTATAGTCCAGGTCAAAGGCGATCAACTTTGGGAGTGGGAGACCGTCGGTGAAGGTTTCGGGGGCCACAGAGGAATCCTCTAAAGGCTGGGTGTTTTGGCGCTTGGTTCGGAGCATGTTTGGTACAAGAAAGAACAAAGAACACACGAAGAATACGCGAAGAATCAAAAGAAGATTCGAAGAAGGAAATGGACCATGGAAACGATAGAAGATGACCGGTTGGGATGGCACGTGAGATCCTTACGGATGACGATTGTGACCAGGGAATATCCCCGACCCACTTTGTACATCTGTGCGTAGGTACATTCCAATCTACAAAATCCATGTGTAATCTAGTAACAGGCTGGGGGATTACTACAAAGACTATTCTGTCGATTGTATCATCTGGCCAGTAACCAGGTGAAGATAGCCCCATAGCCAGAGGCACGAGACAGCACAAGGTGTGTTGACACACAGGAACTCCATAGCAACAAGAGAGTTCTGTGTGGACAGGGTGGCGAGCAATTAAACTAACAAGAAGAGACACTACATTTAATCTAGGCCAAAAAACAAAAAACAAAAACAAAAACAAAAACAAAGAGAAAGTGAGGAAAGAAGGGAAACAGCCCTGGAGCTTCTCAGGGAATGGAGACGGTATTGTACTTATCGGATAAATAATACTCCGAGTCGCACCCACGTGGTCGGATAAACAAGAACCCGGGATATAAGTGTTGAATCGGGAAAACAATAATCCGAACTATAAATCTTATACACAACATCCCGGATATGAGAGTCAACGATAATCTAACAATGCAAGCAAGGTATTATTAAACAACAGCTTTCTTCTCCAAGCACCCGGGCAAGCCGAATAATTGATGAAAAAAGGAGTCGCATCAACCGGGGGTAGTGTGAGCCCAGTGACACAGTGCAAGAGGCATGTGCAAGCACAGAGACCACTTGCGAGGTCCAAATAATGTCTTCCTTTCCACAGTCTGCCAGGACGCCATCGAAGCTAGAATAATCGCCACCGGTCAGACTATGGGATTAGACGGAAGTGAGGGGGGTGGGGAGAAAAGAAGAAGAAGAAAGAATCGGGGTCGCGACGTCGCTTTATACACCCCAGGCGGTCGGGGCTAGGATGGCAGTAATCCATGAATGCTTCTCCGGGGATAGCAAGCGGGACGGCCCGTTCCGGGTAATACCGGCTATTTTGTATCGTCCCTGCCTAGTTAGGTAGGTATGCCCTCATTAATCCCAAACTCCATCCATCCCGGCGGGAGGTCCGGGCAGAGCAGGCTCCCAGAACTTCTTCTTTAATCCCCAACTTCTGCTTGCGCTCTGGCTCGGGCTTGGCCCAATCTTTGATGGGCGTCTATATCGTACAAACAGAGTGGTCAATCAGGATTTCTAGATTGGCGAAACTGGAGCATCCTACATACCGCCTTTTATATTATGCCCCGATATTCATGAAAGCAAATCGCGTGGCTTTGTACAGACATATCCAGCTTGCTCAACGCTATATTGGCCGCAGCAAAATGAAATTGTAATTTGTGACAGCACAGCGTGTACGTAAGGACAAATATGTCCAGAGATGATGGCAAAAGCGCAGAGAAAACGCGGTGTACAGTGGGCGCATAGAGGCTGATTGTCGGGGTCGTTCAAACGCTGAATATGCAGTATACTAGATCAGAAGGCGGTTTGGATCAGTACATCATTTTGGCCGAATATCAAATCGCCAATTCCGTAGGGCATCATAGCAAAACGTTGATGAAGATTTCGGTCCTCCTTTGTCCTTCATCATTATTCAATTGACATTGGAAAGATATTCAATGTATAGGGATACAGCTATAGAGTATATCCAATACGCATATCTATATCCGGATTGCGTCAAATAAAGGTTGTCATATTAGTCTGGGGGCGTAGATTAAACGTCCGTGCTTTTATTGGTATTGGGATGGCGGACATGGGAGGTGCAAGTAGGCTTTTGACAAAAATTTCGACAGTGAGACCTTTTAATTATTGCCGAACTATTGTCCCCATATAGACCAGCTTTCTCAAAGTCTTCCTTCCTCATAATTATACCTCCCTATGAGACATACTGCAAATACATAACGTTAGGAGAAGTCCATAATGTGAGAAACGTAAGAGTACATGGTGCAATGGGAGGGGATCGAGCTAAGGATTGAGAACGCGAGGCTCCATACCGTAGAGTATGCTACTTCACGAACCTGGACCCATGGATATTGACTCGTTGCCCGCAAACAGTACCTCTGCATTCCCTGTTGTTGAAGCTCTATTGCTCTTTATTGTCAAACAGGTTATTGTGTCTGAGAGTTGGCTTGCAGACAAAGATGGCGCTACGTGTGGAAATGACACATTTAGGGCGTAAAGGAGCAGGAAAAATATATACCACAGGGGACCTGTTCAGCCTTTCTGCTTTTGAATCATACAACTAGAATATCACAGATTGAAGTAGAGACATCTTTATACAGGTATCCAAATCACAACAGCTGACGGTGCTTACTTTTGCTATCCTTTGGTGTCACACCACATACCCAGGCCACTCTCGGGAAGATCTCCATCATTGGATCCGGTTTGTCTGGATTGCTGCTGGCCCTCATAGTGTAGTATATGGTGCAAGACCTGGTTCCTTCTCAATGTTCGTCTCCATGATGAAGGGGACCGGAGATATAGGACTTGTCGAAGCAAATGTTGTGATTTGGCATTGGGAAGGTCTTTAGAAAGCCCTGATAAGCGAGATGGACGTTGGGTACAGTATCTATATATGGTTCAATAGGCGCGTCAATTGTAGCTCGAATCTAAAAAGAGAGATGATGAAGCATACGAGTCTCCTCGAGAGGTCTCGTGTTTCGGAAACTCGCTGGCCGCGTCACGAGCAAGAAGGCCTGTAAGCTCTCACGAGGGTAGAGAGTGACAAGAGCATGCTTCATTGCGGGGGGGGGGGAAGGGAGGCGGAGTTGTTTTCACTAGTGTGGTTGAGTCGGGTTCCAGAACCTCAGTTCGGCGAAGTTGCTGAAAGGCGAAGACAAGTCGCCACGTGAGATTCAAAACGAGAGGAGTTGATCGCAGGGGGGGAGAATGAAAAGCTTTGTCGAAGGAGAGGCGTTGATCTCATCGAGTAGCGGATTGCTGAAGGCGTAGAGTAAGTCGAAGGAGAGAGTGGCCCTCCAAGGATAGTGGTACGTGGGTATGGCTGCTTGTGGGTGTGGAGACTGCGTAATCGGGTAGCATAGCTGGTTGGCTTTGATGAGGGGTGCGCTGTTAGGTTGTTTATGGTGACAGCAGCAACGGCGGTCGCGGTGATCCTTTGGAGAAAGAAGGACTCGGAGGGTTGGACGTGGAGAGGGGGTTAGATGATGCTCCAAAGGGCTCAGATTCTGTTCAATGAAAGAATCTCCAGAGACCTCGAGACACAGGGCGCAATATGAGCCTTTATGGAGTGACAGGAGACCTTGCCGCGGAATAGCTTGTTGGTTGATGCTAAGGTTTTCTTCTTCAAGCACCCGGGCAAGCCGAATAATTGATGAAAAAAAAAGAGTCGCGTCGACCGGGGGTAGTGTGAGCCCAGTGACACAGTGCAAGAGACATGTGCAAGCACAGAGGCCACTTGCGAGGTCCAAATATTGATAATCGAAACGTCCTGTGGTGGCAGGACTGCTAGCGATTAAGCTAACAAGAACAGTTACTACGCTTGATCAAAGCCAAAAGGCAAAGAGAGCTGGGGAGAAGAGAAGAGAAGGAGAGGCCGGGGGCTTCGGGCTCGCTTTATACCCCCAAGGCGGTCGGCAGAGCGGCAGTAAATGTGGGGTATCGGTGGGCGGGCTCGGCCCGTCCCGTACCAAATACCGGGGAGGTGCACACTATGGGTCTCCTTGAAATGTGCAAACGCCAAAGATACGATCTTTACCACGCTCAGTAGCACGTGAGCAGCAGCTCTCCACAATCATATTCGAGGTCTCTTCCCCTTTGCTTTTATAACAGGTAACCTACGTTATAGTGAAAAATTCCTAGTTCTAGGATACCGCCATTTCATTACTGGAAATGAAACAAAGAAACCCCCTTCATTGCTGCAAGATTTTCACATTTGTTTGCACAAGCATTGGTCAGAATCAGTATGGGCCAGCAAGAAAAGGCATTTCTAAAGTAGTGACATAGTATCTTATGTGACCCTGGAAATAGCTATTCTAAAGAGGGTCGGAGTCAAAACAGGGAGAGTTTTGGTCCTCGAGGTGGCCACTTAAGACCTTTGGCGTTGAATTCGGTCGCCTTCAATCTTGGAGTAAAGCCGGGACTTTCTTCGACGGGCAAGTTAGCTAGAATGATACAATATTCCAGACTAACTGATTCCAAATATAAATGCTTTTGGCCTTTCGGTGGCAATGGCGGTAATAGGAAAGATGTGATTCGTCCAATGCATCTTCTACCCTAGTAAATGTGATATGGATGGATTGCTTGCGTGTTTGGCTTCTGAGCTTGCACGGATATCCTATCATAATTCTCAATTTCTCTCGAGGCGCCAATTCTCGAGTATCGCTATGCACTAGGCTAGTTAGGCGATTGTCGTGGCTTGATCTGATAGGCTGCACTACGTTATAAGCCACAATTGCCCCAGAGTGTATATGAGCCGCATATCTGAATATATGTTTGACATTTCCACCCCAAAGATGCGAATATTTCGTGATTTTAGACAGTCATGGAGCCTATAGGTGTAGCTTTTGCTGCATTTTCCCTATTTAGTGAGCTCGAGGCCTGCGGCAAGAGCCTTTGTCGATTTTCTCGGGATATTCGCATGGCCAAAAAAGAGGTCATGCTACTCAAACACGAGATTTCAAATTGCCGACTGTTAGCCAGTATTTTTGAGGAGGTTATCAGGCCGGTTCAGAACAAAGTTATGCGAATTGCTAGGGAGGAGAAGCTCGATCAACGACTTCGTGATCAGTCAAAACTAGCCCACGATCAGATCCGAGAGATTACCCACAAACTCAGGCCATTACACCGGGGGAAAAGTACCGGTTTTACGAAATTACAGGCAAAGATTCGATGGCATTTCACGAAAGATGACCTTCAATTTCCGATGGCTACATTAGGTAGCGTGAAGTCCAGCCTCAATCTGTTGACAACACTCTCATTACTCGACTCTGCTGTTGCCAGCTTTTCCCGGGTTCCAAGTTCGGATCATGCAGGAAGAGTTCAAGCTCTTGAGAAGATGTTAGTAGCCCGGGTTTTTGGACTTCATTGAAAACTAACAAGCAGAAAATAGAACGGCTTTGAAAAAGCAAGCTCGCCGAACAGAAAGACAGTTCAGCGACTCGATGAAGGTACTTCACGAGCAAGGTCGTCTTGACGGACAAACACACAGTGCGGGAAATACCCGAGTGATAACTATCATTATCAAGGAAATTGAAAAGGGCACCATCAACGATGCGCGAGACTTGGTTAAGAGATTTTCCAACCAGTCTCAAGTAGTAGCACATCCAACAGATCCAGATGCTTCCTCGCATTTGACTTCTGAGGATGACATGTACTCACAACTCCCTACTTTCGTCATCAGAACCAGTTCCCCCCGGTACCCAGGCCCCGAAGCTCAGATAAGACGAAAGCCAAAGGGTTCTCCTCTTCGTTCTCGAAGCTTCACCCGCGACAGCCTGCGTACCCCCTCCAAAGAGCCGAGGCCAATTAGCAGTGGGTCGGAGCTTTGGAGGGAAGCTCGCGATCACAGCCCAGCCTCTTCTCATCATAGCGCCCGGGTTACAGTTGAGCCTGAGGTCGAGCTGCCTGTTTCCCACGCCTTTGATGATACAGTCACGGGCACTCCACATTCCCCTAGAAAATCTCGAAGCATGTACCAAGCCATGCCTCCTTTCAATGACTCCGACCTGCGGGAGAGAGAGACCCGAAACCGCCGACGTCAAAGCCATTCCCGGAGTCAAAAGAAAGAATGACACGCCAAACGTGAGCGATTGTTGAATCAGTCAAGCGATAGACATACCTATGTAGACCTATCATTTTGGCATCAGCACAATTGCCTTTGGCGTCTACTTGGCCTGATCATAACCGACATTGCGCGCTCCGACCTTGACGCTGGTTGTTGACCCAGTCCGCGCAGGGCGAGGCTGTATCCTAGAGATATCGCACACACTTGTCACTCGTGAAGTTCTCATAGTCATGCAATTTATATAACTCAAACCGCGTGGGATTATATTTGTGACGATATCCGGAGTACATCAGCAATGGTCATCGGAAGTGCTGGATGAGGATGAGTTGGGGGAACGCAATGGAGCTGAGCCACTGGAGGGTTGTAACGTGTACCAAGCATGATTTGGGATGGATGAATGTGCGCTATTGTGGTGTAGCAGTGTCTTTCTATATGACTGGTTTCAATTACTGGAATCTACATCACTCTCGTCCCCTGGAGATTCAAAAGTTGTGGCAGGTCAATCCAGCGCAAGAGGCCCATGGAGAGGGGGAAGTTTGAACAAGTATAAGTCCTTTTCCTTCAGATATTGCTACTAGGATATATGACTAGTCAATTGGATATGAGTTACATGGTCAGAGTATGATAGTCAATATACTTTGGATACTTAATCACCATGGCCATTTGCAAAGAGCATCCGACTATACAGCATCGTAGGAATTCACAAGAGCTAAATAGGTTTCTTTCGCAGTTCGACGTCAAAGCATAAAATTGTAACAAAAGGAGATGGATCTAAAGATAACTCAACAGTCAAGTCTGACATTCATCAGAAATCAAGACTCGTGATACATGATGCAATTGACCTCGAGAAGAAACTCCCATAACTCGTCCATTGGTGTTATCGCAGGTAAGAACATGCCACCCATAGACACCACGTATTCAAGAATACACTTCTTCTGATCGGTAGTGAGGAAGTTTCCTTTGTCCAGGGACATACCCATGATATCCACCCATGTGTCTAGCGATAATCCAAGCCAGGATTCCTCGGGTTCCTGGAGCTCTTGTCCATCCAACCGTTGACGGGAATGAAACAATCCAAGGTTGATGGCATCTATCATGTCCCTTTCAAGTCCAAAGCATTGAAGCATCTTTCCTGACAAAAGTTGAGCCTTTTTTTATTAGCACACTTCAAACAACACGAAAACATAATTCACTTACATAGATGCATTTCTTATTGAACAGGATGGTTTCCACCATCTTCCCCATCCTCACGGCAATTCCCCAGATCTCCGAGTCACGGATCTCACTCGCAGTCGCGAGATCGTAGAGCCGCTTAGCGACAATGTGAAATTTACTACAAGATGTATCTTCCCACGGTTTACCTTTGCGCGAGGCAATCGGAATGGGAGTCTCCAAATTGCTAATAGCCACAGACAAGGTGGGCCCATAGAAAGACGGAGCTTGCTTCGAAATTTCGGTTGCCCAGTACAGCAATTGACTGACCTTTTGAGGTAAATGCTCATTTGGTCGCCAAGTGATGCTCGGATTCTTTTCCTCAGCTTCCGATTGAGAGGCAGCCACCTCCGTCTCTGGAAGATAATAGCAGAGGAATTCGCGTGATTCCTGCATCTTTAACATTCCCGACAGGTGGATTACTCCAATGGCTGACATCGGAATCCCGGTCATAATCAGCTCTGGCACTGACCGCAGACCACGGGTTTTGCGGAAGTGTCTTTGGTTGCTCTCCGATGCAATCTCAGACGCTCCCTCGGGTTGAGGCGTTACATATTTATCCATGGGATGCGCGGAGCTTGGAGCTTTGTCTTCGATTGAGAGAGAGGTAAAATGATCAATGTTAGGACTGTTGTCATCAGAAGGCAAGTCCTCGCCTTCGCCAACAACACTGGACTGAGTTCCTTCGTCGGGGAGAGGAGCTTCCTGATTCGGAAATCCAAGGTTGCTGCGGATGTATACCCTAGCTAAAATCTCCACGCCGGGGGTACCAAGAGGATTCTCAGAAAGGTTGACTCTCTTGAGCATGTAGCACTCCTCAAAGGATGCCAAGAAATACTTCCAAGCCGCCTTTTGCCTGGCGGTACTGACCTGGATACAATTCTGAGACAGATCAATGTTGCTCAGATCACCGGTGCTGAGTCTGATTGCCCTACCCAACTTCGGCAACGACTTGTAGGTTAGACAATTGCCGCTCAGCTGGAGCTCGAAGAGCCGGACAAAGCCTTCCGGGTGTTTGTCGTCTCTCTCTTTCTGGAGAGTCTCAAGCAGGGCATCGATGAAAATATCAAAGCCCTCGTCAGTCAGCTTGCGGCCTGAGAGATCAATCTTGACTGTCGGATTGAAGGAGGCTGCGTCGCAGCTGTCTCCTCCAGGGAGTCTTAGTTTCTGTCGAAAATTAGAATCAATATCAGCGGGGGAATTTCTGTACGACACATACCAAGTCCCTGGCGGTTATCTCGGCCATCTCAACACCTTCCATCGTCCGCTGCAGAGGATATGTTAGTATCAACTACCGTTCCTGGGCCTTTTTTGGGTGATACTTACAGAAGCGTATTGCATGCGAGTCATTTTGATCGGTTTAGACGGTTCAGTCCTGCTGTCGTCTTGTCGTTTGGGATCGGATGGGATTCACGATTGAAGATTTGGAAGAGGGTCAAGTTTATTTGCAATTGGAATTTGTCACAAAAGGTTGGACCAAATGTTGTAGTGATATCTTGTTGCTGAATGCTGGGTGTATCTAAGAGTATCCCGGCGTGGAAGGAATCTTTTATATCTGGATTGCTGTAGTACTACAATATCCAATACTATGTCTTCCATGACATCTACCCCTGATTGAGTCAATAGTCAATCTGGCAAAGCACATGGGGTATAATATCAAAATGAAACGAGACGAAAACTGAGCTGTGATGGCAAGACAATAGTCCTCATTTTGGACAGCGAACACGACCAGAAACCTCAAAGAATTAGAACTTGAAGTTAAAAGAAACTTTATGTACTTGGGGTAGATGTCTCAAGTCAACAATGGTCGGATTCATCCAGTGTTTGGGAGTCAGACTTGAGGTGAGACATAGAGAATCAAAGCATGATCCATACAACCGAACGTTTTTGTGTATGATCACGGACAATGACTTCATTATTCGATGCTGAGAATTCTAACGTCAATAGAGGATGGCTCCAGTATTCTATATAAGAGTAAGACAAATTGCAACATTCACCAGTTCGCAGCAATCTGGCAGACGCAAAAGAACTCATAGAGATGAAGGGAAAGCAAAACAAAATAGATCCCATGGCTAGCAATAATCGGGCCACTTAAATAAACTTAATGATATCTCTGAACTCATCAAGTAGATCAATGCCATCGTCTTCCCATGCTGCAGTCAAATCAATCCGACCGCCGGTGACGGGAGAAACAGAAGACGCAGGCTGCTCAGAGATCGGTAGTTTTTCATCGATCAAAGAGGTCGAAGCCTGAAACTGTGAAGCAGGAACAAAAAAACTTTGTTTTACCCGCTTTCTCTGCTTTTCCTTCTGAGTCTCATCTTCACTTGCCTTCCGTTTCAGGCTGGGCGATTGGTCTCGTCCTGTTGAGAGCGACAGTGGGCTCTCCTTACCAGAAAGGACTTTGTTCACTGTCATTGGCAATTCTGTGGTTTCTGGCGGTGTATCGTCCGGAATTTCAATTATCTCACGCTGGGGCTGGGGAATTGAGGGCTTGGTTTTGTCTTTCTGAGGGAGCTCAGACCGTGAGCCAGACTGCTTGGGATCAGTACGCTTCTTTTTGATGGCCGGAGCACCTATGATGTTTTTCTTCGGCTGATCATCCACCACTGGAGGAACCGATGTTGCAAGCCCCAACCCTCTGTTGCCAAGGAGACGTGACGGAGATGGGAGGTCATCGAAGTTTTCATCGCCATAATCACTGGATAGGTGTTTTGCCGGACTCTTTTCTGGCTTTCTCTTATATGAAGAAATATTCTTGTCCCTCTCTGAAAGGACAGACTTCTCTCGGCTTGTATTCTTCTTTCCAGCTTGCGACGTCGACTTCACCTTTGAAACATGGTTGGAGATAGTCAGCTGATTAAGACCACTTCCTTTTTGAGTCGCGGGGATAGTTTGCTTTGGTGGCTTCGGGGGCTTTTCCAAACCCTCACGACAGCAAAAATGTTTGCAGCTGGGATTATTAGCTTGGCAATCAAGAAAGGTATGGTTACTTCAAACCTTGTCTTGTCTTTGCATTTGTGGTTGCAAGCCCATTTGCCATTCGCAAGTCTGACTGGCTCGTACTCATCCTCATCAATCGAAAACCACTCTAGATCATCAAACTGTTGAGATTTTGGCCTTTGAGGCTCATTTGCTTTGTCATGGCGCTCATTCGTAACGAGAAAATCATCGAGTTGCAGGTCATCGCCATCAAAATCGTCTACATCCCGCCGAGATTTGGCCTTGATGCTAGTCACATCGCGTCCGCGGGGTCGAGGCGTGCTGGTCTTTGAATTCTCTGTGTCTTTGGGTTTCGAATTCCCCTTAATGGGACGAGGTGGTAGGCTCCAGATTTCAGTCTTTTGGGCATCGGTGTTTCTATCTTGCACAGCAGCAAAGAGGTGAGACGGCAAGTTAGGTCTGAGCTCGGCGTGTCGCCATGTTCCCGCTGGAAAACTGTCAGTATGAATGTATCTGATGCACAAAGACAGAAGCAAAAGGAATTATCGCTTTTGTTCGCGTCCAAGGGACTTACCAATTTCATCGCACATGACATGGCATACAATGACATGCTCGGCGCTCGTCAGGTCTGCTGTCAGTTCAATTTCCATTTTCTCTTGAAGCTTGGTCCCACTGGAATAGAATCAGTTTTGCCCTATAATGAAAGAGTCATGGATACAGATCCCACCTTGTGCGTCTGAAATCAATCAGATGTCCATCGGACCTCTCTATCAAGCAACAGAGGTAAATAGGGCGACGTTGGAAGAACTTCGGCGTCTTGTCATTCATGAAGGCAACTTCAGCCTTGAATCGGACGTTAACACAGTTAATCTTCACATTCTGTATCCCCTATCAGTGAAAGGGCGGTTATCTTCGTGAAAGATTGCAAACCTTTCCAAGGATCTTCACAGCAACCCTCAATTTCGGAAACTCCTTCAGTCTTGAGAGCAACTTTGACCCGAAAGGCGGATTCTTGCTAAGAATCATCTCAATCTGATGAGCCTCCGCACATTCTAGCCCTTCGATACTGGTAATCCCAGCAGCAGCCAACTTGCGAACTGCAACGACACCAACTTGCTCGATCTGCTTCATTTGGAGAGGCGAGCGGTCCCAGACCTTTGCTCCGAAGCTCCGGGCGAGTTCAAGGGCATTACGGATAGCGATTGAGTCACTGCGGGCTATTTGGCAGTCAATCAAGCATCGGATTAGTCGGTTCACATGTGCGAATACCAGACTTTTGTCTTGTTGGAATGTAAATTTGAGCTTTTGGAGTTGCTCGTTGTCGGGATACTCAATTGCCCCTAGCTCGGATTGAAGGAGTAGTGAGATTTTGTGGGCTGGGAGCGCCAAGTCCACTTTGATGGGAAAGCGTATGCCTGGGTCACGGTTGATCTCTCGGTAGAGTGACTTCTCGCCGGCTTTGAGGCGGATCTCGCGAAATTCTTCAGCTTGTGCGATCACGTTAAGCTGAAATTATCTGTCAATTGAAGTTCTTCTCAGCAACCTAGGAAACATGGACTCACAATATCAGACACGGATGCTTGGGGCTTCAGTGACAAAAGAACTTTCATAGTCTCAAATTGGATGTAGTACCGAGCCATAGCCTCGCCAAACTGGGTTGAACAAAGTCTCTCGGCTTCTACCAGATCGCATTTTCGAAGAAGATCGATATCCTTCTCACAGATCTGGCGAAGCAACTCGTCCTCGTCTTCTTGGTTTGCACCCTCTTTAAGCTTGTAGTGCGTCGGATTTCGGCGAAGCCTCACGAACAAAAATGTACCAGCAAGCCACTTAACAGCTGATTCGACATCTGAGATGTTACCCAAGCCAATTTCGGCGTTGAGGTGATCAATCAGGTTCAGATGTAGACAGCTCTCCAGACTCTCGGAGCCCTGAACCAGTTTCTCGTAGTGGGCTACGCGTTCCTTCCTGGTGAGAATGACTGCTATCGCATTATCGTCGAATTGAGGTCTGCCTGCGCGGCCGAGCATCTGCATCATCTCCAAATCTGAGTACTCCTTGCAGCCTCCATCTTGCCAACTGACAGTATTTTTTATTATGACGAGGTGGCAAGGCAGATTGACTCCCACTGCAAGTGTAGACGTGCAGCAAATGACATTTATATGCCCTTCTCTGAAGCCTGTTTCAATAGTGTGGCGATCAGCAGGACCCAAGCCAGCGTGGTGGAATGCTACACCAGCAGGGAGTGTTGCTATTCCAAGTTAGCACTACGCATTTGAAGTAGGGCCCAGCACATACTTTTGAGGTCCTCGTTATGAGCTTCGAGGCGTTTCTTGGGCTCTTTCCAAAGCCGGGCGGGTGGATTCGTCAATGTAAAAAGCCGAGCCAATTCTTTTGCCGTCGCGAGCGATGAGTTCCGGGTGCAACAGAAGATCATAATGGGCTTCTGGCATGAATGCATTCCGATCACCTCGGGTAACCTTGTCAAGCACAAGTTAGAATGCCAAACCAATGAGTTCAAGAGAAAGACGAGATAAAAACATAGTTTCACCAAGAAGACTTGAAAAGAAATGCCACATACTTTGCACCGCAGACTTTATCAAATGCAAAGTCATTCGAGCTAGAAGGATACCCATAAACAAACCTTTTCAGCGTGACAGGACGAAATTCCTCGCCGAAATGCTCCCGGTGCGCAGGAACATGCTGATTTGTCGCATCCTTGCCAAGCCACGTAGCAATATCCTCGGAGTTGGGAACAGTAGCACTCAGCGCTACAAATCGCACATTCGATCCGATATTCTTCATCCGAGAAACCACTGCCTCAAGCGTAGCACCACGCGTCTCCTTGAGAATATGAACCTCATCAATAAGAAAGAGCTTCACGAGCTGCATCAACTTCATATGATCTTTCCATTTCCGAGTCATACTATCCCATTTCTCGGGAGTGGTAATGATGATCTGGCTACTCTGGACATTGCGTAGCTGCATGTAATCTGTGTCTCCGGTCAGTTCTGCGCACTTGAGATTCAAGCTGGAGAACTTGGTGTGCCAGTCTCGAAAGCGCTCGCTGCATAGTGACTTAGTGGGTGCTTGGTAGACGACTTTGAAGCGTTCATCTTTCAGGGTGTTGAGAAGTCTACAAATAGCCAACTCCATCACCACTGTCTTGCCGCTCCCGGTTGGTGCCGACAGGACGATATTGTCATTGCTGTTGTAGACGGAGTGGAAGGACTTAGATTGAATGGCATTAAAAAGCGGGAAGGGAAACATCGAGCGGTACTTCTCTGGCATGACATTCACTGATACGAGGACGACTCCACGTACAGACGGTGGGATGTTGCTGAATACATTTTGACGTTGTCTATTGCTACTCAAAGTCACTGGGCTTGCTTGGGCGATCGATCCACGAGGCGACGACTGACTAGTCTCATCATTCGCCTCTAGTCTGTGCTGTCCGATCTGTTTTCCATTTTTTCTCTTCTGGAACAAAGCCAGCGGGCTTGACGATGGCCCTAATACAGGGTCCGACGAATTGGATCCATTCCATCGAGAAGAGGCGATGCTCGAGCTTGCTGTTAATTGTCAACCTTCAACCAACAAGACAGAAACACTAATACTCGTATACAAGCAACTCACGCTGAAAGAAACGAGAGAATTGTGGTGACTGTAGATCAGGTTGACGAGACGCTTGAAGCGGCGTGGAGTTCGGACCTCCAAATCCTCGATCTTGAATTGCATCCTCTCTGTCCTCTGAGGCTAATAGTTCCAGGTCTGGCTTCAATCAGCATCCACCACGATGATAAGCTGCCAGACTCACCGAAGGCATCCAATTGAACATCATCATCCCGAGCTGATGATGCTAGGTCAGTGACAGCAGTTCTGCTGCTCTTGGATGGGGACCAAGCGGTTGTGGGCCTCTGGGGAGGCAATTGAAAGGACTCAAAGTTTGAAGTCTGATGATTCCGACGCATTTGGAGATACACTTTAGTGAATGGTAGGTATTGAAGCTGAGATTTGTAGTAATGAGTTGCAGAAGCGCCTTAAGAGCTGGTTCCAAGGTCCACGAACCCGATAACGTGACGGCACGTGGACCATGCCTTTGTAGAAACTGATTCAAATGTAGCAGCATCATTTCAGAAATCAGTAATTATAGGAATTTTGAAGTATTGTGGGGTATATGAAAGTATTTCATTGCTTCGTATATATGCGTACATGAGCCAAAATCCAGCCAACATCTGACAGTCAGATGACGCGCAAATTCGGCAGCGAAGAGTAGTAGGCTCCAAATTAGGAACAGCATCAAGAATAGTACAAAGGCTCGCGACTGGCGACTTTCTTAAAAGCAGCACTTACATCCGCATCTATCAAGTATCCAATATCATTTCCCGTAAAGAAGAATCTCATCACATAGACCGGTAGGGATGCGTATGGAACAGCAATCATGAGTCAACAGCAATCATTTCTCATCAAAATAGCTGCCCACGCTTGCATTTCGGCCAGCGCTTACTCTAGTGTGGCCAGGTGAGGTGGGACGGGAGGACGACATGCCGTCAGAGAGAAAAGGTGAGGTTGGAAGTTTGATAGAAAAGTCATTGGGAGGCGCCACAGGGGATGCCCCGGGGCCTGCAGGATCTTTTTCGTAGGCGTCAATACGGATAGGAGGTGGACGCAAGGCACTCATTACAGGGTTGTGGGTGGGGTTCCCATAGTAGTGGGTTGCTACCAGTACTGCAGCCGAGCCCAGGAGGAACTATAATGCCCCAGTCAGTCTTGTTCGTAATGTTCATGTCAAGGGTGGGGAGCTAGAAAAGAAGCCGGGGAGTGTTTAAAGAGGCAAGGGACATACGCTTGCATTGACCTCGAAGTCAAACAACCAGATACTTCCAACAATGCTCAAAATGATGTTGGCAGTCGTGGCTAAACTCCTTGCGTCCTTTTGTGCATGGCTGACATAAAATGCAGAAAAGATACCACCCAAGGCCTGGATGATGATGGTAGACCACACCGCCCAATTGTAGCCCTGGAAGAAGCCATCTTCGGCGATTTTTTCGCCCTCCCGGAAGACAATCCCAATGAAGAAAGCCGGGAAAACAGAGTAAATCGCTAATTGCACATTGCGGACCCACAACGAGATATGGTTCGAGCTGTCTTTCAGGACTTTCTCAAAATAAATACCCGCAAGTCCAGAAGCGAAAGCAGCTCCGATGGTCGCCAGGAGACCGATTGTGGGGTTCAAGTGAGGGTCAGCCGTTAGGATATCCTCTTCGATACCCTCGTATGTTGCAGACCGCTTTTGTAAACTGCTGCCAGATCCAGCAACTTGCTTGACAGCCTTCCACTCCTCTAAGGACCGAGGGAAATGATGACCAGGATGATCATCCTGCAGCATCTGCTCGGGGCTTGCATCGGGGATTTGCACCAACGCCACGCCCACCACGAGAAGCAAAAGCAAGCCCCACTTGCGGGGAGGGATGCTCCGTTTCATGAGCATCAGACCAAAGACCGCAGTGGTAAGGAACTTCAACTGGAATGTAATCTGGAATGACGCAGCTCGTAGGTTTGAGAGTGCAATGAACAGCAGGGAGTTGGACAAGACGTCGAGCCCGGCGGGAATAGCAAGTTTCCAGCTGTCGCCTGAGAACACGGTGCTTGTGAGGGAGAAGAAGAGGGAGGTTGCGGGCATCGAAGGTGGTGCAGCTTTGGAGACGTCATAGAGCGCCATTGTGAGGGAGATGGCCAGCTTGACGACTTCGACTAGGAACACGGCCGTAGAGGTCAGGTAGCGTTTACCACCGGCGGGGGGCATTACTCGAGAATAATGAGCTAACTAGAATATTGTAGAAAACATAAATTAGTCTTCGGTTCCTATTGCAAGGATTTTCCTTGTCGCACGGGTTGACTTACCAACACGAACGCAGTAGACTCCGCAGTCAACTACAGATAAACAAAGAGAAATCAGCGAACAATGTCCCCAAAATCGCAGACACATAGTGTCCAAGAAGCCCATACCAGAAGCCATGGTGCAATATTGGCCGCAACTCGCAGCGGAGACGGCTGGCGTTGGGCGCGATCCCCCATAACGAAGTAGTAGATCGCGTGTTCCCTCTAAACAGTGGATAATGTTTCCGCAAAAGGGGCACGCAGTGCAATTCCCAATCCGGTGAATGTAGTAGACAAGTTCAGTAAAGGGAGAGAGAATAGAAGGATGTACGATGTAAAGCAAGCTGTAAATCCCAAGTCACGAACCAGGGGTTGTGGGTTGTTCTGGAGATCTTCGTTTTTAGGTCCCGATAGGGTTTCCCGAGGGTGATCGGAGGCGATGCGGGTGGCTGGGAGGCGAAAGAGAGGATGGGAGTCGGCTCCACTAATTGAAGGAGGTGATCTCAAAAGAGAAAAAAATTGCAAAAAGAAACGAAAGGATGAAATGTCAAAACAATAATCTGGGGTTATACCTACAACCTAGGTACCGAAAGGCTCGGCGGTCAGATCGAGAGTGGATCAATGGAATCACAGGCCAAAGGTTCGTTCGTGTACGGAGTACTCCGTACTGGGTAGGTCTTTGTAGTAATTGTGTCCAGAGAGTAGGATATATACTATTGAGTCAACTGTGCAGGGCAATATCATATCATATCATATCAGTATCATATTTAATATGATCTCCTCAATTTTTGACCCCTTAAATCTTGAAAGCTAATGACGTCGAGGCTCCAGGTCCTCTCAGGTCCTCTCTCCACCCACCGGGGTCCACGTCTTCTTGTCCCCATAATTATTCCTCCCATGTCGTCATTCGATACGAAGTATTGATATCTAGATTTTATTTTACTCAGGACTTTTATAAACAGACCCCAAAGTAACTAAATGTCCAGTTTCTCCGAGCCTATATCGTCAGGTTTGGTCGTATAAGTGGCTATTGTGCTTCTACACAAATGACTGGCTCATTATAGACACAACCCCCCCCCCATGAGGTTGGCATAATGATTAAAATCATATATATTATTAAAAATGCTGTGAAGAACGTACAGATATGAGCGGTGAATCTTGAAAGCCTAGTGATTGCCATGCATTGCCATATTATATATACAAGTCCAGCTAAGCAGGATTGCTATTGTGTGGTAAGAACTGTGGGGAATCGACCAAAATTGCACAAGTTCGGCTGTTGAGTTGGCGATCATTGAGAATATTATGGTACAAGCGTCCGAAATATTGTAATCATGAACAAGACACAAGTACCACCCAAGTAAAACATAATAGCAGGTATGGAAGCCTGCGTGTGAACGCTAATTCAAAAAGTAATGGAGAAATATTCAGAAGACATAAGCAGGAGAGTCATGTAGGAAACGGATAGGTGAAGTCTATGTGGTTGGGTAAACAGAAGCTTGAAGCAAAGTGCTGCAAGATGCAATCAAATCAAGGAAATGCAGGAAAGACTGTAGGGGATTAGATCAAGTAGGAATACAGAGAGAGGGAAAGGTTAGAATAGGAAATGTAAGGGGTGGAGTGGGATTGTTGGGTATCAGAATCCAAGCGATCAATGCACAGGAGCGACATTGGTGTGTTCCTGGTTCCAATCAAAGTCGAATGACCAAAGAGGAAGGTCGTGGCTGTGCTTCGACTCACCGCCATCCAGCAGGATAGCCTCACTACTATCGGTACGACGGCGAGTGTGCTGCTTCTGGTCTTCAGGGATGGCAGGCGGAAGGCCTCTTGGGGGTGGTTTGGGGGAGGGAATCGGCGAGAATCGATGAATTGGTAAAGTGGGGGTCAGCGGCGAAGCACCACTGGTGGAAGGGGAGGGCAAGCTCTCGGAGTAGTCTGCACTGAAACCTGAAGAGGAAGCGGCAGTGTGGGGCTTCCGTTCGCTATCCGAGCCTGAGCTTTGGGAATCTTTGTATTGGGTAACACTCTTTTCTGACCGGACGTCGAATGGCGGGAAAACGCTGCTGAGACGCAAGAATGAGGTGTCGGATCCGCAGAAGGACTCACGCGATGGACCGGAGGCCGACGATCTTCTGTCGGCTCTGGGGGCATTAAATAGACTAGGTGTGATTTTGCCCTTTCGAATGCGCATCGCCTCAAGAAGATCTTGCTCTTGGCGTGTCACCGCGATCACACGACTCCTCCGATTCAACTCTTTCAACTCTGCGGGGGAGCGAAGAGGCTGCTGTGGGAATTGCGCAAGAATTTCATCTGGGATAGTCGGAACTCCACTTGAACGGCGAGTTTGGGTGGTTCGTCGAGTTGTCTGAGAAGATTTACTAGTCGAGGACGCGGAAACCTTTCGTGGGCGAACTGCTGGCACTGGCTGGCTCTTTTCAGTTTGGTGGGAGCCACGGGTGCTCGTCGAGAGTGCTCGGTCACAGCGTCTTACTGCCTTGGCAGTGGTGGCCTGGGCAGTGGAAGCCGTATAGATCTCGGGCTCGTATTCACCGTAGGTAGCCACACTGTCTCTTCTAGATTTGTTCGCATTGCGCTTTGAGTCGGTGACTGGAGCATGGTCCTCATCATCCTCATCTTCTGAAGACGAGGACAGGCAAAGCATACTGACGTTTCGCAGATCCTTGTTTTTCAAGGTGCTTTTGCTGCTCTTTTTGGTCAATAAGCTCTTCTCGCTCTTGGATTTCGACTCATTAGTCTTCCAAGATTCCTGGGAAGTGCTCAAGCCGCGACCACGCTTCGGGTCTGGACATGAGGCAGGACTCAAGTGCGTTTCCTTAGCTCGAGATGGGCTATGAGCACGTCTTGAGCTCTTTCGAGGTTCTTGGGGGCGTGATTGTTCCGACTGCAATTGCTCTCGGCTATTTGTATACATGCTTGAGTGACTCAAAAGTGATCGGCGCGCCGCATATCTATCCAGAGCCAAATCGATCTCACTCGTTCCTACTGTTCGCTCAAGTGGTTGTTCTGACCACTCGCTAGTTTTGCTCTCTGCAATGGAAGGCAAATCTGAGTTATCGACACCATGTTTAGGCGGGGGTGGGTCATTATTGGTGAGCGGAGATCGGCGAGGTGCGTCGAGGTAGCTCCTAGCGGTGTTGCTTGTAGTTTTCGTCCTGTCGACAGATGCGTGGGAAGGGTCCGGGCCAACTGTCGAGACAGGAGAGGGAGAGTTGACCATTCGGTGGGGGGACAAAAGTGTTTGTGGGGCGGGATTCCGCGGCTTCGGGAACAGAACGGAAAGATCAATTTTTGGAGGACGCATCTTTCGCTTGGATTCCTTTGCTGGATCCTGGGCCTGCGTGTATGTCACTTGTGGCTCAATGCTGAGTCCATGGCGTACTCTAGGCTGGAGTCCTTGGTTTTTGGCTGATTTGGATTCCTTCGAGCTAAAATAGGAGAAAAGAGTAGACGATGAACCGGAATGGTGGACTTTTTTCGATGGCTTCGGAAGCGGCGGCGCCGGCTCCAGCGATCGGTAGTCATGGCCTAGCAGAGGTGATGAAGCCCGCACGCGAAGGTTATGATCGGGAATCAGGGCGTTGTCTGAAGAGCTCGGGAACGGAACGAAGCCGCTGTTCTGTTTGGGAGCACTATTGGGCTTAACAAAGCTCGGTCGGGGTACATCTGGAGCTTCCTGCCACCCGCCATGTTCATTTGGAAGTGATATATCGGTTCCGAAGAATCTTTGGGCTTTCGACGTTCGTCGATCTGCGATTCGCTGTTCCTGAGTGGTCATCGGTTCGTGTATGGCCGGGGTGCGACTCGATGTTCGCAGTGGCACATGGACCGGTGTGAGTTCTCGGTGTCCCATGATGGGAGATGTAGGACAAGTTTAATTCATCAAATCATATGATGCGATGGGCTCATGGGCTCGCAAAATGTGTGCTGAGCGGGTCTCAGGTTCAGGTATCTCGCTTCCAACACTTCAACTCGATCTACTCCACAAGTCAGATGGGTTATTTAAGACAGCAATCTCGGGGGAAATTGGTGGCATCAGCGTACCTGGAAATCGAAATCAATATTCTTTAAGGGTTGAGACTGGGGAAGGTATATAATAGCCCAAAAAAAGATCCGAAGAAAATGTGTAACAAGATGGGGTTGTGATGTTATTTTGTACGAGTACGGAGTACTGACAGGCTAATCATTCAGAAGGATTATTATCATTATTCCTGTTCACAGGCTTAAAGGGGGATCTCCACAGAACATCTGGAACAAAATCCTTATAGGCTCAGATGTGGTGTTTCATTTTTGTTCCAATTTTAATTGCAGTGGAGCACGGCTTGTCAAAAGCTGATCGACATTGAATATTAGAAATACTTGAAATATTAAAAAAAGATTACTTGTGATACATGTTTTGTGTGAATTTTTGTGTATATTGGAGAATAGATCTCAGGGGTTATTTCTACCTGTCATGTCTCATATTATATTGCAATGCATATATATAGAGTACATCTGCATACCGCTATTCTGCTACTATTCTCCGTACTTTTGAGGAGGAGATTCTACCCCTTACTGCGGCATCGGCAACCTAAAAAAATTATAGTCAACTCCCCGAAGGTGAAGAACGTGGTTGTGGGATCCTCCGTGCTCCGTATTCTCCGTGGATTCACGCTATTGACGCCTCCCACGAATTCCTCACATCCTTGCTGTTAATTGGAATCATTTATTAACCTTTTACTCCACTTAATTAGGTAGCCAATCCCCTCCTCCTATCCTCTCGCAAGGATGCTTTTTCCTGAGCTATCACCACAATGTGGAGTCAGGCTAGAGCCAGAAACTATGGAGAATCCACGATAGTTCAGCGATTGCAATTCACCCGCGTCTCAGAGCTCAGATCGACTACCCGATCGTTCGACCCAATACGCTGGAGCGAGGCTGAGATCTCGTTCAGAAGGCTCCAGCACGCGCACCTACAATGATTGTAGGTAAATTCCCGGTCCCCGGGGCCGATTTGCTCCATGACAAATCCCAGCCCGTGTTTTCCCTTCTGGGTCCCCCCGGTCAACTAAAAATACTCGCCTTGCCGCGGTAGCCATTGCACATGTACGGAGTACGCACCGAGACATCCAAGACCTCCACAGGAACTGGTAGCGATCGACTAACATGTGGGCTCTTGCACACGCACGTACAAAAGCCCCCCCACAGGAACTGGTAATGATCGACTGAATGCTGCCTCGCTCTCGTACATGCACGTATCAAGACTCGGGGACTGGTACCGATCGACTTACATGCGGGTTCCTTTGAACGCCAAAACTTCGCATGTGCTGCTCGGGAAGGGAGACATGAATCTAATCGTTTGCGGCTGACGGCTCGATGGCGCTTAGCTGTGGATACTGTGAGTCGCGAAGGTACGGTGTTCCTATATTCAAACAGTTTTTCACGTGGTGTAAATACGTGGGAACAAGTAAGACACGGCCATTCGCACTATCAAGACACTTTGTATCGTTGCAATCTCGCCTTCAGAGATCCGACCCGATCACGGAGATCCTCTCTGTCTGTGTTCTGAGCCGCGTCAGACCCACGAGGCGGTGATGACACTCCGGGGGCGCAATTTTACTTATCGAGATCCCTGTCCATCCGATCTACTGGGTCGAATGTCGATCGGCCCCCTGTACGTAATTAGCGACTGTGCATTTTCAGTCTGCTCCAACTTGGTGCTCGTCCAGAGTAGACCAAAAAAAATGAAGTTCAAACACATCGTCGACCAGCCGTTTAAAACACAACTTGAGAAAAAAAAATCATCCCGTACTTTATCCATGACCAGTCAAACGGAACACTATTGAATCCAGGCTAGTGGTTTGACAGTTGGCTAGGCCAAATAGTAATGCGGATACCCCCCTGATGGTCGCCAATAGTCGACTCCAAAAGCCCTGGTCTGGTTCCAGGGTTTTGGATACGCTCTATCAACCATCTATTGTCTTCAGTGTGGATCAAGACGTGAACATCACGAAAATCCTCCACAGTCCACATCCCACTTTCCAAATTTTGGATCTCGACATCACTGTACGACAAAACGTACAAAGAGCCCTGATATATCTCTATCGGTCGGGGACTGGACAAGATTTAGCAGGAAGGCAAAATATGTGGATGCACAGTGATTCCGTATGCAAGAGCTATTTCCATTGTGAAGCTTCTTCTTGTTATGTCCTCAGAATTTTGCTATGATGTGCGTCAAAAGACTCACTCTGGACTGTACTGCATTCGACACAACCTATCGTTCTGGAATAAGCGGGTATCCCAAAACTTGGGAAACACTAGTACAAAGTATACTCCGACTACTGCGATCATTCCTCCATTCTAAGCTCTATGCTAAGCTTCATCTTCAACCCCCCCTTTATTTTTTATCTGGCAAATCCAGAAATTACTTCGAAACGCTATCAAAGGTCTGTCCATCAAACAAATACCCATTGGCAGAAGGGTTAGAGCGCACACGCTTCCAAAGTTTAGGTTGCAAGCGAGGGTCGATGCTAGTAGGCCCCTCAGCCAACTCACCCGTGAAATCGCCCAAGATCGGTTGACAAGACCGGGACCCATGTGATCGAATCATTGGGTATTTCGTACTTCTAATCAGATAGTGTATACGGAGTACTCGTGGACCTTTCGCAAATGTATGGAACATACTCGCGAATGAGCAACATCGAGTCCAAAATTTCGCTGCAAACACTGTTACAGAGTGATATTGTCTTCTTAAGGTGGAATATTCAGTACCCTGCCTCATGGAGGTATTTCACCCCCTTGAAACCGAATGATTTCAGAATGCCTAGTCTCTTTTGACTTACAGACTTGCTGAGCGTGAATTTTGAAGTTTTGCGCTCGCACCGATTGTGACGCCAGTCCTTCTGTTCATGCTCGGCCATGCTGCCACTTGTCAGGTTCTTCTGGTTGTCTTTATTTATGCCCGTCTAGCGTTATGGTGGTACCGTGGCGAATTTGAACATAATCTACTATTCTTGCTATGACAATGGGCGAACCTGCAGCCTGAAAACAAAGAATATATCCAGCTGCAGGGGGTTTCTTCGAATATCCCGACGAGCCTGAGAAAAGTGGACTTCATCGCGGCTGATGGGACATTTTGCATCAGGTTCTTCTTGAGGCACATTGAGAGAAATCCGGAATTTTCTCGAGCCTTCAGGATGTTTTCTTTCAAGCTTGATCTCGGAAACGTCGTCTGAGTCGACTGCAATAGGGTAGCAATGATTATATGTGGACACATACCCCTCCCCAACTACGTCAAGGGTCATTTGAGCGGGCGTGGGAGTTCCGACTTCGTCAGAATAGAGCGCTACATCATCGTTCGCCTCCTCCACCGAAGGGAAGCCTGTCACCGGGGTAGAAAGAAGAGACTTTAGCTCTCAATCCAACACTTCTGCATTATAGACCTCAGCCATGATCAACTAAAGGAAAATGTAAAAACAATCGAAGAAACAAAATGAAACATACATGTGAAAGCCGCTATCTACACTTCCGTAGAGCGCCTCGTCCTGTTGCAGTACGATGCCCGGGGATTTTCAATGGTGTCATCTCGGGAATCAGTAAACCCGGGCATATCGTATGATTCGGGATACTCCGGTTTGTAGAAGACTTGTACTCCCGAACTACTTTCGTTTGTTCAACTCTTGAGTGGTAAGACCAGAAACGGGCAACAATAGGGTATTCACGCACTAGGCTATGCCGGGCTTTCGTCACACATTGTGATCAGGAGTTGACCAGCCTCGTCGCTCATGTGTCTTTCAATTACCCGTATAGGAACATACTACGATCTGTTACGTGCGAGAGTGCCATTGTCTTTCCCAGTTATAAAGATGGAGTAGTTGTAGCGCTCATGGGAGCGGTTTGCTCGCAGAATTCGCTCGTCGAAGGCATCCGTGGGCCATAATCCACTAGATTCTATATCTCGGCCTTATTTAGGCCATGCCTAACTGCATGTATGAACGCGATGCAATCTATAAGGCATATATGAGATCACAATTACCAAAGCATGCACCTCGTGGGGAAATCGACTTGGGTTGATATGTAGTGTTATCTTCATTAGCTCCAGGCTTTATGCCTTTTGTACTATAAGAATCTGATGGATCCCTCTCTGCTGCTATTAGTTCATCATAGTTGATCCAGAAGGCTATTTACAATCACGGGAAACCGGTAAAGTTGATCTGCTTCAATTTTGAGTATCCCAAACCGGAGATAGCTACTAGAGCTACTGGATTTCTGGAGAGAGGCATGCTCCTGACTGTATGGATATTCAAAGTTTAAATTTGAACCCTGTATTGGAATGAAGACGAGGATCGGTGATTTCTCTGCCTGGATCTGGACAAAGAGATACAAAGAAAGGTTAGAGAATTGCGAGCTCTAAGAATAAAATTTCTTTGCTTCGCTCGACATTGACAAAGGAATACCGTGTATCGTCCAGATTTGAAACATCTTGGGAATCAGCGAGCCTATTCATAGATCCTGAAAGTAATGACCACTATATCCTATAGTCCGCATCAAGACTCCAATCGTCTATCGTCTCTCTCTCTTTTTCTGTTGTAAATACCAGCACTATATAAACGTCACTTGGCTGCAATATATATATAGGGACACAACCCTGTCTTCTATTGAGCCTCCGGCTTACAATCGACCTGGTGATTCGACATCGATATATGACTCCCCGTGAGCTTGTCTGTCAAGTTCAGTTTAATCATCATCGAAAATATCATGGGCAGATTGGAAAGTTGCAGTAGCCAACCAAACCCTAAATACTCCGTAGATGCGGGGGAGACCGAGACACACCTAGGTATAGACATCGACCCGTGGGTATTTCACCAAGAACAGGACATGACTTGCATATAGTGTGTGTAGTAAGGGGCAACGGAGATGATTCTTCTGTACCCCTGTGCCCTGTGCCCTGTGCCCCGTGCCCAATAAGCCCCTAGTAGATTATTTCTTCACAACAATGAGATAACTGCCAAGAAGCCACCCGGAGCACGCCCCCACTTCACGTGATATGTGGCGATGGCAAAACAAAAACCTGATAGTGGAATTGGATGAATTGGATGAATGAAGAGGTAGATATAGGGGCAAAATAGATGTATGTATTTATGACATATCGTTGGAAATGGCTTGAGATGAAAGGAAGTAAACCTGCTTATCTTGAGGTCATATCGGTCCCACCTTTATCTGGTAATGATTTCTGCCGGTCTAGAATAGAAAGGGGGAATTTCTCCAGGTTTCACACTCGGATCATATTGCACAAGAAATGGTAAAGAGACAATATCTTGAACACATTTTTACTGTGAGATAGTAAATTAGAAACATAGAAGAATCAAATTAAAAAAAAAAAGACGGGCCCATGACATCTTCCACTACGGGAACCGGAATAAATGTTGTTCTCCGCCCCAACTCCTTGTCAGCCGCCACTGTTTCTTTCTCCCCTTTGCTTTGCTTCTACTTCCTTGCTTCCTGTTTGTTTCCTTTCCCCCCTAACAACTTGATCATTCTTCTACTATGTGCTGAATACCCTTTGCATCGATGGTTTCGCTGGTGTACCGTGAGGGGCGTTTTACTAAAAAAAAAAAGAGAAGATAATTTGGGGCACAGTTCATTTTGTCTTCTGCACATGAGCTTGCTTTAACAATGGCTTCAAGTGCTGCCAGTTCCCTTCGGATATCTGAAGTTGACTCGACTTTGAACGATCACAACGTGTCTGTATCTGCGTCTCATGCGACCCACAGTCCGAGATCTCGATTCATTCATCCTCGAAAACGTGAAATGGACGAAAGAGAAGAGCTAGGCCAAAGGCCATCAAATGCAGCCATCGGACAGTTCACCTTCGCCCCTACTACCCAAACAACTGTAGTAACGACTACTACCACCACGACCACTTCCTTCCCGCCTTTGACAATCAACCCCCCGCGAGCCGTCAAGGATCTGGACGCCCGACAATACCCTCTCGCCTCGTCTCCGACTCCAGCGGTTCTAAGAAATCTCAAGTTCAAGATCGGTGATAAGTCAATCATCTTCAATGAGCCCGAGGATACCACAAATGCTGCCGCTGAGGTATGATTTTATTCTATTCTCTCGGTCTTGGTTCCAATGCTCACATTACAATAATCTATAGTACAAGGAGAAGAGCGAGGCGTTGAAATCGTCAAATGGCCAGATTCGCTCTGTGAACTCGTTCACCTCCGAGGGCGAGAATCCCACTCGGCGACTGGCCCCTCCGAGAATGGCGAGCCAACCTTCTAGTCACCCTTCCAGTACTCGCCGTCGTGCCGCCTCCCCCGTCACGCTTTTTGATACTCGGCCCTCGGTCCTTCCCCGGACTCGCCCTTCACGGGTTCCTTCCGAGCCCATTACACGCCGCACTCGCCAAAGTGGTATAGGATCAACTCATCTTGCCGCTGGTCTTGCCACCCCAGACACCGAATCCAACCTTGGGGGACTTGGTGAAAATGTAGCCCCAAGACCGAGAATGCATAGCTCGGTGTTTCCGCGCAGGGAGCCTCCTTTGCCGTCGCCTCTCTCGTCTGAACTCGGAGCTAAAGGCATACAGGCATCCAATCAAAATGCCTACTTGCAGAATGCATTGTCTGGGATTCGTTCAAACCCTGGAACTCAAGAGTCTCAGGCCACTGAAGTGGATGAGAGTTGTTCAATTGCACATGAATCGGCTTCATTCGATCATGATACAACATATGGAACCCAGGAATCTTCGACGCAAGAAAGACTTGAGCCTCTGTCTCAACTATCGGCAATAGACAATGCCATGGCGCAAGATATGTGCCTCCCGAGCCCGAGTCTCTCACCGGTCGCTGCTATGAATGCCCTCCATGGCGAATCCTCCTTTGAGTCAGAAGGTCTTGACGTTGATACAGATTCCAGTATAGATCATAATGTCTCGCGCTTTTCCAAGGCTTTGCGACTTCAAGATGCAGATGAGACTAGGGTAAATGGCCAATTTCTCGCAAACTCAAGGTCACCTTCCTCCCTTCTAGATATGCCCAAGGTGCTGGAATTCTTTGATTCGGTACCGGATGAGGTCAAGACCTATCTCATGTATCAATTCCTTAGGAGATGTCCCAAACCTACTCTTCATTTTGTGGCCGATGTGGTCAATCCCACCTTGAAGTGCGACTTCCTGGCCCTTCTGCCGCTTGAGCTCAGTCTAAACATCGTCAAGTATCTTGACGTTCAGACTATGTGCCGTGCCGCGCAGGTGTCTAAGAGGTGGAGACATATTACCAACTCTGATGAAAAGAGCTGGAAAAGCCTCCTTGACCAGGATGGATATCATCTCTCAGACGGAGAATTAGAACGGGCTATAAAACAGGGCTGGGGATGGCAGTTGTCTAGCGGCCCTGAAGATCACGAGGAAGACCTCAGCCTCGTTGTCTTAGCCAGGGCAGATATGGAGGCGTCCCCTGTTCCCTCGGCGGCCGGCCCCAGCAGCAGAAGTCCTCTGGGCTCTCTTCCATCGATCCGACGAGGCAAGCGGAAAGCAAACACGCGTGCGTCAAGCCGGAAGCTTGCCAAGCGGAAGGTCTCATCCACTGGAGGTGAAATCGCCGACCCAGACTGGAGGAGAGACGTTGCCGCGTCCGAGGCCCCATACGCTGCGGCCAACGCTGCAGCTGCGGCAGTGCCCTACGCCGAAGTTGGTCTACCATCTCTCCGTGGGCTGTTTCTCTTCAAGGTCCTCTACCGTCGCCATGTTGCCATCCACAAGGGATGGATGCAACCAGATGTCAAGCCGCAACATATCGCTTTTCGCGCTCATGACCGCCATGTTGTTACTTGCCTACAATTTGATGCTGACAAAGTCCTTACGGGAAGTGATGACACTAACATCAACGTATACGACACCAAAACAGGTGCGTTGCAGGCAACATTAGAGGGCCACGAAGGTGGAGTGTGGGCTCTTGAATACCATGGCAACACGCTAGTCTCCGGCTCCACGGATCGCTCAGTGCGAGTCTGGGACATTGAGCGGGCCAGGTGTACTCAGATCTTCCACGGCCACACCTCCACCGTCCGATGCCTGCAAATCGTTCTGCCTACTGAGGTCGGTAGGGATGCAGATGGTCAGCCTGAGATCATGCCTAAAGAACCATTGATCATCACTGGGTCTCGTGACTCAAACCTGCGGGTGTGGAAGCTTCCCAAATCCGGTGACCCAGTGTACTATCAAAATGGCCCTACCGTGGATGACACTAGCTGTCCATACTTCATGCGTGTGCTATCTGGCCATTCGCATTCTGTTCGTGCAATTGCAGCCCACGGTGATACCCTTGTCAGTGGGAGCTATGATTGCACGGTGAAGGTCTGGAAAATCTCCACCGGGCAGACTTTGCACACTCTGCAGGGTCACTCGATGAAAGTCTACAGCGTGGTTCTTGACCATAAGCGCAATCGTTGCATCAGTGGAGCCATGGACCACATGGTCAAGGTGTGGTCACTGGATGATGGAGCCGTTCTATACAACCTCGAGGGCCATACCTCCCTCGTTGGTCTACTCGCTTTGGAGCATGACTTCCTTGTCTCGGCTGCCGCCGATTCCACCCTCCGAATCTGGGACTCCGTGCATGGCCACTGCAAGAACACCTTGAGTGCACACACCGGTGCCATTACCTGCTTCCAGCATGATGGGCAGAAGGTCATCTCCGGGTCTGATCGGACGCTGAAGATGTGGGATGTGCGAAACGGCGAATGTGTTCGAGACCTCCTCACAGACCTCAGCGGCGTGTG